AGTAATATACACGTATGCAATCGTACCCCACAATAGGCCAATATCCTCCTTTTCCATCCATCTAAAGCACACTTCAGCAGTGTAGAATTCACCAGGATTTGTTTCTTTAAACCAGTTTGTTAATTACCTCCATGAAATGTGTCATGGAGGTTATATTTTCAGTTGCGTTTATCCGTCCGTCCTTCTGTCTGTCTGTTGGTCAACAAGATAACTCAAGAACGCCTGGATGGATTGGTTTCATACTTGGTGTGTTGGTAGGGTGTGACAAAAACTGGAAATGATGAGATTTTGGTCCCCCCAGTGGCTTCCCTTGGTACTGCAGCGCAACTTCCGGTTTTGATATCTCGCGATCTGGACATGCTAGGGTCATGAAATTTTGATGGAAGGTAGCTCTCGTGCTTGGGAAGAAGTCATATGAGTTTGGGCCCCCTAGCGGCTTGTTCTGGAACTGCAGGGCACTTTCTGGCGAAATGTTTAAAAGCCAATAAGTCCAGACAGGAACAACATATTTTCATTATTTTTGGTGTGTAGGTAGCTGAGAGAGAGATGTACATAATTAAATGCAAATTATGCAAATGAGGACTTTATTTGCATAATTAATGAGGAAATTCTATAATTACAGTGTTTTACATTATACTATGTAACCTAGGGCAGGCGGAACTTCAACAGATACTAATTATGCAAATGATGACCTAATTTGCATAATTAATGTGAAAATTCTATGATTTTGTAATGGTGAATGATGAGAATGTCATACTTGGGACATCTGTAAGTTAATCAAAAGTTAACATACATCACGATGCATATATCATGTTAATGCAGAGGTCATTTGAACAATTAAAGAAGAAATTTACATTTACATATCAAGATCATATTTCATGGAGGTATGAGATCTCGGAATTCTAGTTCATGAATTGAAATCAGCCTGCAGGCTTTTTGTTCATTCAAGTTAACTTATTCTTGAGACAAATAGACCATAAAGTACAGAGGCAGCCACAATTATTCGGGACATCTCATGCTACATCATATACTTCAGTTGAAATGCCACAAGCTATATATAAAGTATGTGTTTTGAATGGCAAATTGCTATAGGGTGTGGCACAGGTCTGGCCTCAAATCACACAGTCTGCCACCTCATCACTTCTGTTTACAGCTGGGGAAAGAGTTTTATTTATACTTAACTGACAGATGAGTTTGCTACCATATTTTCTGCCGCTATAATATTGATCTTTTCTTGATGGGAAGGAGTTGGTTATGAGAGCAAGGACGGTCATATCTAGAGATGGTTTATTATATTCATATGACGGCGGTATCCAACAAGAATCCCCCAATGATGTTTGGAATAATAACAACCACCATCTGACTGCACAATCGAATCTTTTCCCCGCCGTACAAGATATGCAAATGTTGTCCCAGTGCCGGAACACAGCAAAACCTCAGGGCTCCTCCAAAATTCCATCACATTCTAATCATAGCCAGGGGCCATTCCAATCACATGCACAGGGATTGGGCAGGTCACTTCTAATCTTGGAAGGAGATGTCAGAGAATTCCAAATGCTAGGGGGAGAGGAAGGTAAAAAAAAGTGTGAAGGAAGAAGGTTGGAAAAATTCAAAGTCTTTCTGTAGATCTCTAAAACTAAAACTAAAACTGGATTTTTAGAAACTTGATATTGTAATTACATTTGTACATTGTATTTACAACTTTTCTTCAAAAAGTGCTTTACATCTTCTTTTGTTACCAAAAAAAATGAGAAGTTGAAATTAAATAAGAATCAAGAATATTTGGGGTCACCACATTCTAATTAGTTGTAATTGAAGCTTCTTCCAGAATGCACAAGATATTGTATAATTAAGTTAGGGAAAAAAATCCACGATGCTCTATTTCCATGTCAATAATCATACAAAAGTGCTTACAGAGTTTATTTATGCTATAAAGTTAACATTTTTAACAAGCAAACTATGCATTCCAACAGGTCATCATATTCAAGCAATACTCTCAAATTAGACAATACATGACTGTGCAGGGCTTGAAATTCATTTTTGGCAATAGGTGCACTGGTGCACCCAACCTAAAAAAATTGGGTGCACAAAAATATTTTAGGTGCACCATATAAGATTAAGTAAGCAGAATGTCAACAAAAACTAATAATGTTTGTATTCATTTCTAAAGAAAAGTAGTACAATAATGATTTTATTATTTTTCTGACACCTAGAAATTTAACATCTTGACATACGTAAACCTATGAAAATATTTGGGTGCACTGGTGCACCCACAGAAAAAAATGGGTGCACAGCTCCAAATTTGGCTGCACTAATTACCCAGTATTTCGGGCCCTAATGTATATACGTGGAAAGTGACAAGCATATTGTACTAATAAGTGTAGATCGGCTCACCATTGATACTAGTAGTATGTGGAAACTACAGCAGAGATGAGCATCAATCAATGCGTATTTAATGGTTATGAGGTTGTCGCAGCATGCATGACAACCTAATCACGTGGAACGGACATGCCATCCATCATCCGTTATTACACAGCCAAACTAGCTCTCACCACCGCCATCAACTGTCCATTCTTTACTGTACTTCTTCATCCATCACGACTAATAAGTTTTCAACTTACTGGCCATGTTCCATTTAGGCACAGGTTAGAAAAGCTCAGGTGTTCCATCTTGAACTCCATCTTAGATCAAGACTTTTGTCATGTTACATAAGGGGGCGTACTCATGGGAAAGTCAAAGGCATCCGAGGCAATTTCAGCGCAGCGAAACAAGAAATATTCTGGATGAGGAAATCTGTCTGATTGACATTTACTGCCATTTCTTAGCACATTTTCATCATTTCGTACTTGAAGCGTTTGAAATAAACCATAAACATACGCTACGTAAGGAGTCCCTGTATCTTTTGGTTCCACCAGATAGGTTTAAAACCAAAATCAACCTCCTTGCAATTGATAATCATATTAGGTAAAACCAAACTACGATACGAAACAAGCTAGAGATATTTTCATCAGCGACATCACATTTTTGCCTCACATATAACAGTTTGCTATGGGATAGGGTTGATTCAAAATGACTGTAAAATTATGAGTTTGAGTTTATTACCTTTGATTCAAAATTTGATACCAGTAATCCAGTTTTACTACCTTGAAATCACTTTTTGGGTGTCTTAAAATTAAAGTTTAATGCCATGAAACAGTATTAATTCTATATCTAATATCATTCTTAGAACTTTTTGTTTGCTTCTGTTTGCAAAAGAAAACACACAGTTTGAGTATCACAATGATTACAATAACAGAGAGAGAAGAGCCCTGATGAGAAATGATGCTACTTTCTTCAGAATCATATATTTCCACGCACTCTCATCCGAGGATAAGCCCTGGATCTTTTGAAGTCAGTGAGGTTTACAGCACTAGTTTATATCAGTGTAAATCTGGACGAATGTCAATCCAGGGCTTTGGAATGATCCATCACTGGAAAACAACAATTGATCCATGACTTTTTTACAGTCTGCTGCCATGAATTATTGCAGGTGGCCATGCATGAGGGTTGTAATGTTTGTGTTGTAGCGTACACGTACAACTATGGAACCTAACTTAATAATATTGAAATTGAAAATGAACGTGTCTCAGAATTTAACAGTCATAATTTTTATACATGTCAGTCTAATTTGTCATTAAATCATGATAAGGCCTAGGAAGAAAATGTTGTGTTTCCAGATGCATAACTCATATCATTTTAATAACATTGAAATTGAAAATGAACGTCTCAGAATATAACAGTCATATACATGTCATTTTAATTTTTTTAAAATCATGATACAGTGTAAGGCCTAGGAAGAAAATGTTGTGTTTCCAGATGCATACATGTACATGTAACTGACACTAGCAAAAACCAACCATTTAACCAGGTAATTTCTAAATTTCAAATAATCTCTAAATTTCTTAAACGTCATTTAATGCATTTTCAGAAGCAACTTTTCCTCAGTAAATTGGATGAATTCGAACTATTTGTCCACAAGCATATATAATTATTATAAATATATACAGGTGGACTGGTCCTTGAGGGAGACAGTAAACTTTATTTGTTACCTGAAATCTAAAGAAAAAAAAATTTAAAACATGAATGAATATCCTTTAACCTACCAACCCTATTTTTGTCAGGATTGAAAGTGACTGCAAATAATCACAATAAAATAAAACATTTCTTTGTCATCGTTTTAGGAATCTATCAACTTTACCCTTTACCTTTTAAGTAATTCTTTGCAGTATAATTCCATACAAATCCTGAGTATGTTGACAATGTAAAAGTATTCTACATGTACATATTACAGACCCCACAGGGGGAGGTTAGGAGTGGCAGTTAACATAAATAAGCAGTCGGTCTAAAGAAAACACAAAATAAACATGCTTTTCTCCACCTTTTGTTATGACTACATTTTACCGTTAGACACTAATAATACTTTATATATTTGAAGACTGCACATAATTTCAGAATTAAGAAATCACGGCATGTTAGACTTCAGGAATTAAAACAATGTAGTCTAAAGTAACATGTCTTTAATTGTATATAACATTACATACATAATGTCACGTACAACACATGCAAGCTCCTTGGCCAACGCTTGACCCCTGTGTTTTTATTTACTGCCCTAAAGCTTTGTATTGACCAGCCATTCAGTAACACTATACACTGTAACAGATCTTAACAGTATAATACTTGACAACTTTAAGCCATCTTTTCCATGTGTTGAAACACATGTGCATAGCACAACAACAATGCAATGCAAAGTCAGTAAGTCTACTTGTCTAGTTTAAACTTAACCTTCCATGTAACGTCCATGGTCGCTGGATGTTGAAACATGAGGTACTTGAGAATGCTGTCAACAAAAGCACAGCAGCAGACAATACCTGAACAGAAACAAAAGCCAGGGCGTGACATCGATACGGTCGCAGACAAAAAGAGCTGAAACCAAACGCCCCGCCCAGGGTTTAAACGGCAGTTGTATTCACACAGTACAGTGATAGCGATATCAACACAGTCCGCAGATTGACGTCAGTGTGTCGCAATAACTTGTAGAGAGAAGACGACCAAAACGCAGTCTACGATGGCTGTCACTTTGCTGTCACTTCTCTTGCTGTCCATGTCAGTTCTGCTGGTCCACGGCTGTGGTTACAGCAGCACCACCTGCCCAACAAGCAGCAGTGAGAATGAACAGCTGGCCAGGAGACAGGGGGAAACGCTGCAGCAGAAGGTGACGCACTTGGAAGACATCAACACAGAGCTGCAGGAGGAAGTGGTGGGATTGCGACGGACCCTTTCCGACCAGGTGGAGGTTCAACACGTCGTGAACGACCACAACAAGGCTCGGACCGAGATCAACCACCTGAAACTCCACCAGACAGAGCTGCAGAAGATGATGAAGAGGGTGGAAAATGAGAACGAGTACCTGAAATCTACCATGAGAAAAGCCGGGATAATCTCCCAGGCTGACTCCGCCAAGACAACGCGGGAAAACCAGTCGCGACTGCCCGGAGCGATTGCTACAAGTAACACCCAGCTCTGCAAAGCACTGAAGACATGGCAACAGGAAACCGGCATGGAGTGTACAACTGAGGATAGCCCGACATGCACGGCGTACGATGTGGTCTTCGCTGGCCGTTCCGTCCCGGTGTACTGCGACGAGGGCAGCGCTCACGACTGGATCGTCATCCAGCGGAGACTGAACGGAACTGTCAACTTCAACAGGGACTGGCACGAGTACAAGGAGGGGTTTGGTGACCCCGATGGGGAGTACTGGCTGGGGCTGAAGCTCATCCACAAGCTGACGGAGAACGGGAAATGGACGCTCCGCATCGACATGGAAGACTGGGAGGGCAACGTCCGGTGGGCGCAGTATTCCAGCTTCCACGTGTCCGGCGAAGGAAAGAACTTCAAGCTCCACATAGCAGGGTACAGGGGAACTGCAGGAGATGCCATGACGTACCACCATGGCATGTCCTTCTCCACGTCCAACAAGAGTAACGTTGACCTTCAGGCGTCGCGCCGTAACCCGGACTGTTCGCAGGACTATCGCAGTGGCTGGTGGTTCGGACCCTGCTTCAAGGCACTTCTGACCGGTCCTTACGCTGGAAACTGTGGGTACAGCTGTCCATATGGAGAGGGACTGTACTGGAACACTTGGAGAACTGGCTACTCACTGAAGACTGTCACAATGAAAATCAGGCCTGTCGTCACAAAGTGAGAGCAGAGTGTACTGCACAGACTTCATATCATAGTGTGTTCGTCACAATTGAGAAGGTCGAGTTGGATAAACATTGGAATTACTGAGGCCAGTCTGGGCAGCCTGGCTTTATAACTAGGCAAACTTGTTTTAGTCTGCTTATATATAGATATTGCTAAAAAAAGTTACATATTTAAATGTCAAAAAATATGAAAACTGATACCATGATTAATCAACTAGTTCACAAGATGACATTCCAGTTTTTTTTTGCTGTACGACGTTGCTATCATGAGATTAAAATCATTGATTTTATGAAATAATATGTTAACTTAACCCTGAGAATAAGTTTGACCGATTTAACAAGTGTTTTGTTCTTTTTCGGTATTTATAATTTGATACTGTTGCTGCTGCTACTGAAATTACATGTACATGTGACAATTGTAAGACAATGCAAAAAAAATACATTTAATTGTGACTTAGACCTAGTGTAGAAAGGGAGAATGAGAAGCTTGTAAATAGGCTGAAGTTGTTATAGATAAATTCCTTGACGTTACCAAGGAGGTTCAAAGAGAAATTTCTTTTTGACGCTACCAAGTTTGCATAACATTTTGTTAAAAGTAATCTACTTGCCTGTTGTATATTCCTGTCATAAATTAATGAAAAAAACTTGGAACATTTTTCTATGTCTGATACAGAGATGCTATACCAAGAGAGAATGACATGATAATTCTACATCAAACATGCAGAAGATGAGAAATAGAAAAAGTATGCATATTAAAGCATATGATGCCATCTTCATTAATAATATTTTATACAATTTGACTCATTCTTACCTTTTTTTACTAAATCCATCTTGATTGCAGATATCTAGGCTCAAAGATCTCGGCGGCACGTTATTTACAATTGTATCATCATGAAAAGAATCAATAGAAATAGATTGTAAAGCTTTATAAAAAAATTGTGCAAAATTATCGCAAAATCACAATGCCCGAGCGTCCAAGGTCGGCAAACACCCCATGATAATTAAAGAACATTCCCAAAGCTTTACACAAGGACAAATTAATTTAACATTAAGCATTGCCGGCCTGCCTGAATTTACCACTAAGCATTGTCAGGCCCTTCTATAGCTACATTGACCGTTAAGCATTGTCAGTACATGTACTCTCCAAGCAGAGGTTTGGGTTTTGGCTTATTTTTGGCATGTCTTTACTATTTTAGGACTTTTTGTCGGGCTTCCTTTTTTGCAATGGTATCTTTTTTTTTACACCAACCCCGTCAAAAAAGATACCTGTGTAAAAAAAGAAAGCCAGATACATGTAAAAAGCCTAAAAACATGCCAAAAGTCCAAACCTAAACCTCTGCTTGAAGAGTACCCCCCACGCAGACCCTCCTACATTAGCATGCAGCGAGTAAGAGAAAACTGATTACCTGGCGTGCACTCCCATTAGGAGGCTGAGTCTGGATCAGTAGGGAGGAGGGGGTTGCCATGGAGACAGCATCCAGACTGAGAAGACGAGCTTGCTGCTGGGATCTCAGGTAATAAAGAAACAAGGCAGGACCCATGGAGTGGTGATCAGCAGAGGTGTGTTGGAAGGCCGGGCTGTTAGGTAAAGAGTATCATCAGTATTCTTCAGACATGAAAGGAACATCAAGGAATGGCCAGGTAATAAGTTAAGGGTCATGGATAGTGACCGCAAGGTCTAAGGTACCAGCATCCAATACTGGTATGTTAGGCCTGTTTCTGGTTTCAGACATGAAAAAATAGGGTCGGTAAGTAGGGATTTTCCTTTTTTTTAGTTTTTTTTTTCAATTTCAGCTAAGTATAACAAATAAAGTTACTAGTAATCAACAATGCTGTCTCAATGGCCCAACCAACTGTTGGCTTGTAGACAAATATTTCAGCCGATTTACTGAAGAAAAAACTGATTGCTTCTGAAAAAAAGTTAAATGACGTTTCTGAAATTCAGAGGGTTTCAGATCGAAAATTTTGTGGCATTTTCTGTGGTCCATAGGGTTGGTGGGGTTTTGCTAGGGTTGAAGGAAACCATAAACACAACATATTAACGTTTATAGCACACACAAACACTAAAAGTACAAAATGTACAGGGATCGAAATTCATTTTTTTGATTAGGTGCACTGGTGCACCTAACCAAAAAAATTAGGTGCACCAAAAAAAATTTGGGTGCACCACATATTTCCAGTAGTACATTAATAAGTTAAATATTATTAATATCAAATTAATATTCCACACGTAAAGAATGCTAAAAATGATCGTAGCAAGAGTGGAAATTGCATCGCTATGGAAATAACACAGTAATGATCTTACCGAAAAAGGGCAAATTAGGATGCCGAGATCGAAAAAAAAATATAAAAAAAATCTAGAAATGAAAAAAAAATCACACAAAGCCTCAATCTTTTTTGCACTTGACTTCTCGGTTGATTCGGTTTCGGACTCCGACTCTGATGACCCGGAACTGGACAGTCGGAAGGAGCTCGGGAGGCCGTGGAGGAGGGCCCGGGAATGTTGTCGAGAGCACATGGCCGCCCCCTCCCCCTCTGTCTCGGCGCTCCCACGGCACGGTCTGTCCACTTCTCGCTCGTCCGGGCGTGTTTCCCGTTGGTTTCCAGCTTCATCGCTTCCTTCGGGGTTCTGAAGAGCTTGGGCTGATGTTGCCACATCTCGTCGTCATCACGATCGGACCTCGGCTGAAGGAACCGTAGAAGCGAAGTCTGTCTCGACATATTTGTTTTGCTTTGTCATCCACGAATTTCATGGCCGAATTTTGTCGACACCCGGGTTTTGACGATGTGACCTCGAAGATTATCGAAGTCAAGCGAAAACTGCACGAAAACAACATTTTCTCACATGACAAGCCCCCGAGGTAACTCCCAAAAAGCGTCGGAAAGTTCCGGAAGCGAGTTCGCGATGTTTTGGTCACATGACTATCAAGAAACCGGGGAACGAGAGGGAAGAGATCTCATGTCCAGTGTTGTAGTCGGGATCCGGAAGTTGGTGGGTAACGCGAAGTCGGCACTGCGCCGACACATAATTTTTCGGGCTTTAAAAACTGAAGTAAATCTAATTCTATCTCAAGAATTTCAAACAAGCAGTGCATCAAAGGTTTTTTATTATTTTATTCCATCAAAGCAATGTTGGAATTACAGTGTTTTGTACCTTTACCGTACTAATACTACAAAAATATTTAGGTGCACCGGTGCACCCACAGTCAAAAATTGGGTGCACCGATCCAGATTTGGGTGCACTAAGGTGCACATGCACCCATTATTTCGATCCCTGAATGTATCAGCATGCATCAGGATAGCCTGGGTACCATCTAAGCTCAAAACCACTCCTACGAAATGATACCCATCAGAGGTCATCTTCAGTGTCATCTTCAGCATCCCAGCTAGGAACAGTGGCAATCTAAAAAGTCATTTTCGAGAACCTCGTATTGATAAAATGTGCATTTTGACATTTGACCAAGAACAAATTCAAGTTCAAATGTGACCCTGATGTCATGCAGAGATGGTGGGAATTTTCCATTTAGGAGAGATGGGATTTTCATGCCTCTCTGCAGAATGCTCGTATGTACGTGTTGAATCTGTGCAAAAATGGCAGCGGGCCCAAATGTGTTCCACCTCGTGCTTCGGAGATGGTTTCTTCACGCAGGCAAAACACATTTCTGTATGGCCAAAATGGGATTGTAGGAAGTCATTTTTGTCCCACAGCTTGTCCTAAACTCCACATAATCAAATTTCGAGCCTTTGATGGGGTGACATCTGTCTGCTGATCACCAGCGTGGCAACTGAGAGGAAATTCGACGTAACGTTATATGTAGCCGTGGCGACTATTGATTCGGGCTTACATTGCATTACCCTCAGCAATGTAAGCCCGAATCAATAGTCGCCACGGCTACGTTATATGTAACGTTAGCCTAAGAATAAGCTAAACTTACAACTAATTTTTACTTTTCCAAATAATACTTTCAAAACCTTTTGCAAGGTTTGCCCCCCTCCCAGCTCCCCCTTAATCGAAACCAGATGCTGACATCCACACACAATGTATTTTCATCATCACGTGTAACGGACCGTTAGATTTCAACAACATCGGAGCCTGAACATCAGCAAAAATTATTTGAGTTCACAATGATAAACTACTGACCAACAATTTTATGAACCCTCCTACTAGAGACGTAGGCTTCTGCAGTTTCGTTGGACTTCCCGTCAACAGCTACAAACTGGCATATTTTGCCAACCAGGAGACCAGCGATGAAGAAATCCCTGGAGAAATCTGATGTTTTGCGCCTTATGCAAATCAAGTGTCCCGGGAAACTTTTCCAGCCAATCACAGGATATATTTATCAGCAGGGTAACATAAGCGGCACATTCGCCACCAGCAGATACGTACATGTACTGCAGTTTTTATTCAAACTGCTAGAGGTCGCCCTCAAAAGGCGTTCTCGTACTCAGGTTCCTAAATGGTGACATGGGAACGAGATCTCCTTCCCATCATTCTTCACTCCCTACCAACGAAACCAAACATTTCCGGTCGAGCTTCGTTGATTTCTCCACATTTACAGCGCTTTTAGACCGCGTACGAAGACACTAATAAGACACAATGGACGACTTTCAAACAGGAGAAGAGGTAATGTCTAAAGTTTAGTGTTGCTAAGAGGAATCATTGACGAAAATCGTTAGAATTCCGTTGACAACCAAGTCAGTGTTTAATAATTTTGGCAGGCGCCATGTTTTTTTAATCACAGAAAAAGTCATATATTTTGAGGCGTTTCTCATTATTTACCCTGACCTGTGAACATTGTACTAAGATACGTTTGTAGCTGGGTGATCTACCCCCCAAATAGAACCATAAAACACAGTTTTTCATCCTACCAGGACGTGTAACTTGTAGAATAATGCCAAACAGTTGGGGTGTGTCTATGATGAGAGTTCAAAAAGATGCCTGTTTCATGTCATCAAGGATGCAATTAGCATCTTTTAGAAATACTCTTCACCGCAAATTTATGTTTCCATATTGTGAAATTCATGAATCCCATCCAGAGCCCGTGTAACTGTTTTGATGTTACATCTGTTTCCATAACTCTGCACTTAATATTATAGAACTAGGTTAAAAGGAAATTTGACACTTTTGTAGTAACAAACAACTTTTGTAATAACAAACAATCTGAAGATGCATAGCAACAATTTGTGCGAAACGAATAATGAAGAAGAAAGGAGACTTTGGCCTAGTGCTGTATAGGTTTTTTGTCTGTAATCTCATACATATGTTTCTTCATGAATCCGCAGACAGCCTTTGTAGTGGATGAAGTCAGCAACATCATCAAAGAGGTATGTATGAATATGATGAAATAAATCCATTCAGTTTGAACTTGCTGTTATCATTGCAAAACTGATGATTTATACACAATCACAGCATACCTACACTACAATGTATAGACAAGCATTTATAATATTAATAACTCTCTCAGTCTCTGTGTCAGTCAATCTCGAAAAACTATGACATGTACATAACATACACGTACATGTACATATGTGCCAGAAGCCTGAACAATTTGTTTACATGTATCCCTATGCTTAAGTAATATCCATTCATTCTAGAATTAGTATTCTTATATTTATTTCTGTATACTATAGTTTGAGCCCAAATACATGATTTCTGTAGTGTAGAAAAGGAGCCAAATGTTGGTTGTTACTTCAACACAATCTGTGAATGTTATTTTTTCTCCAGTCTGTTGAAGGTGCCATCGGTGGCAATGCCTACCAACACAACAAGGTGAACCAGTGGACATCCAATGTGGTGGAGCAGTGCCTGAACCAGCTTACAAAGCTTAACAAACCATTCAAGTACATAGGTAAGCTTCTACATATGATATATTTCTTGAGTCTCTGAGTTTGATGTAGAATGTACTAATATATGTCAGGGTACCAATGTACTTTGTTTTAATGATGCAATATGCGTGGTCTTAAATTGGGTATGTAGGGCTCAAAATACTGGGTGCATGTGCACCTTAGTGCACCCAAATTTGGAGCTGTGCACCTTTTCTTTTCAAATACATGTAGTTTCGTAGGTTTACATATGTTATAAGTTAAACGTATAGTAGTATACAGCATATTCTTAGATTCTAAGTGTCAGAAAAATTTTAAAAAGTCAATGTAGTAGTACTTTTCTTTAGAAATGAAACATAATTAGTTTTTGCTAGCATTCTACTTGTTTTATTCTATATGGTGCATCCAGAAAATTTTAGGTTGGGTGCACCAGTGCACCTATTGCCAAAAATGAGTTTCAAGTCCTGGTATGTACATGTATGCTACATGACAAAACCATGTTTCACATCCTACCATTGCCTGTTTTGTCCCACAGTGACCTGTGTCATCATGCAGAAGAACGGTGCAGGGCTGCACACAGCCAGCTCCTGCTTCTGGGACAACACCACTGACGGTCAGACAACTTCACTAACTCACAAATAAGTAGTGTCAGGGCTCTAGCCAGCATCCATTTTTCCATCAATGGGCCTATACCATTATTACGTCACAGTTTGTTTACCTGTTCTAAAGAACATTCTAGAACGGTCAGTTAAAGAATAAAGATCATTTCAAAGTTTTCAAAGTAAGGTATGTCTGATTTTTGCTGCGTCTAGTTGTTTTGACACAGCATTACATGCCGCATGGATGATTTAGTTGTGACATTAGACGAAATTAGTACTGTATTAAAAGCCTTATATTAAGGCTAACGCTACACAAACACACACCGCGCTACGCACCCCTGTACAATATAAACGTCGATTGATCGGCAGTCATTGCGGTAAACAAACTGTGACGTAATAATGGTATAGGTCCATTGTAGGCACTTTGCAATGTGTGACGGAAAATTTTTTAAACCAATCCGTCAACCTCGATGGGCAAAATTGACAAAAATCTAGGGAAGAAATATAAAAACATCCAGAGGACCACCACCAACCACTCTTATATCTCAACCCCATGATTTGACTCTCAAAATAAGGGTAATTGCAGTTTTAAAGGCTTGAAAATCCAAAATTTACCCCAGGACACCCCCTCCCCCTAGATTGCAAGCTATCTCCCCCCAGGTCTGCTCATGAACCTGGACTGACGGGAAGAAAATTCAAGCTTGCTAGAGTCCTGAGTAGTATATAATAGTGAGAGCCCTGAGTGCTAGAGCCTTGAGTAGTTTTCATGCTAGGAAGATTGGTTCTAGCATGAATTGTATGTCGCACACATTGTATAGCATGTATTTAACCACTACAGTTGACCTGGAAATAAAATGAATCTGTGACATACAGTTTTAGTGGGATTTATATTTCCTAAATTCTGAGTGGTGCAGGTAAAATTTGACTGGTGCAGGTACTTTCCAGTGTTACCTGTACCAGTACAGAAAAAAGTATTTTGAGACTGGTTGTATTTTTCCATGTAAACCATAATTTAACATTGCTTCCCATGAATATAGCACTGATGGTATACTGTAGACTGTACACAGTAGACTGTAGAATGATATTACCTAAACATGTTTTTTTGTTTGTTTGCCTTTACAGGTAGCTGTACAGTGAGGTGGGAAAACAAGACCATGTACTGTATCGTCAGTGTTTTCGGTCTGGCCATCTGAGCTGACTTCAACCCACAACATTCTACCATTATAGCTTCCACACATAACCATCGTCGATCAATGTCCAAGTTTAGGGGATCTGTACAGAATTTCTACGTTCACTGCTTGTCAGAGATAGCTGTCTTCAGCCAGAAATGTAGTCACAAGTTTGACTCATGTTGAACTTTTGTGCTTCAACTGGCTTAGTTAGCTGTCCTGACTGTGTGTTTATATCAATCTATTAATAAAGGGTTTTATTCATTAGTATATTGACTACGTTAACCTGCTATTTCTAACAAGATTGACATTTGTATGGCTTAATAAGTACTACTGGCGGTGGTGTGTTTAGCTACCTATTATTATTACATGCACATATATAGGTCAAAGTCCACAAAATTGTGTTTTATGTGGCTAATTCAGAGAATATATTCTCCACCTATTACTAGCATATAGAATATGTATTATGAAATGTTGATATCCCAGTAGTTTTGATTACTTTGTTTCACCACTATAACCTCCTTGGTTTCACATACGTCTTTTAGACAACAAATCGTTTGGTGTGTACTTACAATGTATTACATACATAAAGCTACACAAGTTTCAACTTGATGTCAGTGCCTTTCTCACTGCTGTATCATGCCTTCAATAGCAAAAAACATACTACCACAAATGTTGACTTGTCATTCTATATGCAGTGACAGAATTGCTACCCTTACTTTTATCTGTTAGGATAAATTGAAAGTTTCAATGGTTGCAAAATATTATCTTAGTTGTCACACTATATCTATAGTACATGACAAGTGGTTGTGCTTTATATAGTGTGTGACTATATAGCATAAGTTGATACAGCACTGGATTTTGGCTGTCAAACATTTCTGTGTGCAGTTTTGGAATATATATAACATGATGCTTTACGCATCCTGAGATGTAGCCTTGGCCAATACATTATACACCACCTACAACTCTATCCTGGTATTTTTGGTTTAAATGCAAACTTTGGCATTTGATATGCACTGTTTTTTGTTGTGTACCAGTTTCAGTAGAAAGTCATTGAAGAATGTTGGACTGAAAGAATCTGGTGAAATCTGGATATCCAAGTTAGACCATCTGTACAACTATTCAAACCATCTCTGACTCCTTACAGCTTTTAGCAGTGTTAGATTCTGGGTTGTGTTGGGATGTTTCTTTGCTAGAAGGAGAAACAATTTTTTTGCACCTTTTTTCTCAAGTGTGTTATTCATTTCATAGCACTTCCCGATCTTGTTTGTTCTTGGTTTCTGTAAATATAGCATAGTGCTGCATTATAGATGCCAGCTGAATGAAATGGTTAGAATAAAAACTGTACAACCTCACATAACAGAGTGGAACTGTCATTTGCTTCAGTACCCTTGCCTTTTTTTTTATTCCAACATTTTGTGACTAGACATGGTGAGAGCACACTCAATTACATGTATATCAACTTATTTTATGCCGCCACCGACGCAGAGGACGAATACAGGACAAGACAATACACGGGAAAGTCGTGTAAAGTGCCTTTCCCAAGGGCACAAGATCTGTGGCATGTCAGGACTCGAACCCGGGACCTCATGGTTCCATGTCGAGCACGCTGCCGCTTCGCCAAACGACCCCAGACTATCCTTGCCTTTAGAGGATGAGAGGTACAGGACGAGTGAAGAAGTCGAACCTATAGGTCTATTATCTCCGTGTTGACATCCTATGTCCCTGTTCAAGAGGAATCCAATCCAATTGCAATTTCACGGCGACAAATCGAAAATATTCTGGATGAAGAAATCTGTTACATGTATTGACATTTACTGCCGTTCCATAGCACATTTTCGTCATCATTTCATACTAGAAGCTTTGAAATGGCACCAAATCTAGGTACGTGCGGATTTCCCTTTGCTATTTGGCGCACAATTATCACTGCACTAAATCCTATCTTTAAGCATATCGTAAAGCATACGAAAAGGTACGCTCTATGAATGAAGCGGAAACTTTACACTTGCTTTAAAGGTGTGCCTGAAGAATGGATTTTGTGCAGCTCATTGATTGGAATTCGCTGCTCGACATGACCAACCGGTGAACTGATACAAGTACATTCAGTAGTGTCTGTCCTTGGTGCTGAATTTCGTTTATTCAGGCAGGAAAAATCTATTTTCTATTCTGGTCGCCACTGTAGGCTTCCCTCTCGTAAACGGTCGTTGCCATTTCAAACGGTCGATACCATATCGCTGGATGGTGGGTGCCATATCCTAGCGTATCATAACTTTTCTGAGGGGTAAAACCATTGAAAACGTATTAAAAGCAACATTTTGAATGTAACTGCGTGGTGAAAATGGTAAAGATATGAGTGAAGAAAGACAAAGCTAGGAGTTAAAACACCTCATCCTAAAACCTTAATCCTCAACGCCACGTGTTGACGGAGCGTTTTAATGCACTCAAAATTTACCTTTCTGTGATATACCACAGTTTCATAGCAACAACCGTATATGAAACGGAAAATAGCGTCGCAGTTTATGCATTAGAACGGACCTGTTTCTGAACAACATTCAACATGCGAAGACACGTCGTGGCGCTAGGTGGCGCAGTAGGACAAAGCATCGTCCGCACACCGCCACTTAGGTCTGTCCTTGGTGCTGAAGATGCAACAAACTGGCAAAACGTTCAATCACTTGTTTTCAATACTGCCAATAGACAAACCTTTCGCAGAAGGAAAAGAAAACTGCCTGGAACTCTCGCTGGCTGATACACGGCTACCGATACACAAGTACACCGTGTTCTAGAATATCTAGTGTTTTTGTCCGTTGCCAAGCTACTAAATGTAGACGTCTGCTTTAGATGCTAACAATCGATGGAACGTTGACGTTGACGTCTCCACGGAAACAAACACGGTTGCGAAAACAAGTTGTGAAAACTCTTCGCGAGAATGTAGCCCTTCATTTAGGTGAGAACATATAGCTTTTCTACCACTGATTTGTGTTACAACATTTTAAAGAATGGTCGTGTTGATGCATTCATACTGTAGAAACTCCGGGCGAAGTTTGTTTTGACTACTTTGAAAAATAGCAATGAGACAGATGCAGTCGTTTCTGTTGTCTTTGTACAAAGATGATGAAGTAAGATTGTTTGTTTACTTTGAGCCCTTGCTACGTTCAGCTGTAGTCAACGTTACGGTAAACGTGTTCTTTGATGTTCATCAATCACAATTGACAGTAGTATTTGATTACGACGTTGTGGGTATATTGCTATTTGTCCGCTTAGATCACATACGTATGAAAGCCTATATTCCTTCTTGTTGTTGTTGTTGAAGTCCCTGTACACGCTAGACGTAGTCTACAGGTGCTATTCTCTCCCTGGTACTTTTTGGTTATGGTTACACAGGTGCTTGTTCACTGGTGCTTTGCACTTGCATCTTTACGGGTAATTCCCTATTTCTTTACCGAGGCCTCTATATATAATTTTAAAATGCTGAGTACATCATTCTGTTCATGTCGTCTCTGGCATATTCCGTAACTTGTATCTCCATCGATACTTTTCAGGTATGTGTGATGTTTAGCTTGATGACTGTCCACCATGAGTGACTATGACGATTGGAGCAGTGATGAGGAGAGCTATGATGAAGAGTCAGCCAACCGACTGGGGAAACTTGTGTCCGCGGAGGAGTACAGGGCATTCGTCAACGAAGTCACCCTGGAAAACGACTTCTTCGGTAAAGTCACAGAAGTCTTGATTTTCTTTATTCTTGTACTTGAGAGCTTTTATTTAGTGGAGCTTGTTTGGGAACGCTGGAATGGCCCCTGTCATAGGTAGTGACAGAAACTGTTAATGTTATATCGACTGTCGTTTGAAGGTTCGTGTGTCATGTTTACACCATATACAATCTGAAGACCCATTCATTTCCATCATTATTACTTGTTTGTTTGTTTGTTTCACCAGGGAAATCATATCTGATTCGTTCACTTGTGTTAATATTCTGATATATATTGATAATATTGTATAATAATCTCCAGTTAATTTGTTTTTATTGCAGGACTTGTACTTCTATAGGAGATTACTTTTAATCCTTCCTGCTTTGTATTATGTCTGTATCTTGTGGGACAGCCGTTACCAGTCTCGACTGCCTGCTCCATGTAATGATCTTTATCAGTGCCAATAAATGAATAAATGTTAACTTGTCTTGACTTCTCCCTCTACAGAAATCACTTCAGACGGAAGGCTGGTGGAGCTGGTAACTCTCGGCCTCTCCTCCACCTGTCTCGTCATAGGGAAGGACAACTGTGACATCTACAGCGGGGACACAACGCCCTCTTGCGGCGGCCCGGATCCCTGCAGCCCGTACGTCGGCACCTTCGAGCTGAAGAGGATCCTGTTCCTGGAGCAGGTCCGTCTGACGGTGCACGAGGCGTGGCGGTCCCGGCTCAAACTGGAGCTACCCAACGGGAAGAACTACTTTTATCAGGTGTGAAAGGCTTTGGATAGAACATAAGACTCTCATCTGTATGTTGTTGTTTGTTTCCTTTATTTTATTTCACCAGGGAAACCATATTGAATACCGGCGTTTTACGTTTCGATGCCCATCGGACATCTTCATAATCTTTCCATGGCCATCAGAGATTTGACTGGAGTACTGCTTCTCTCAATTTCTTTGTAGCCGAGCAGTCTAAATCCCTCCTGCTGTAAAATTGCAACATGATGTAACCCAACACTAGTTACCATGGTGATAGACGTCTGGTTCAGGCCATTGACCTTATTTGTTTGGAGAAGAAGAGGAAACGTAGAAACAACAACATGTTTTCCTTCGGTAAACATAAATATAGATGGGTAACGTGAATCTTTGTGAATCTCGGACCCGCTAGCTTCACCAGGAGACGGGACACTTCCTGGTGTGGAAGCGGTGGCAGGACCTGGTGTCCACGTTAGAGACAGACTTCCCCGCCTACCGCGCAGAGTACCTCAGGATCAAGAGACAAGGGACGAGAGAGAGGAGAGAGGAAACGTGGAAGTCCAGATACAGGTGGGGAACACTTCGCCCCAAGGGGCACATATGAAACTTACAAGTGTAGGACATCGTTGTAAATATCTTCATTCTTCCACCTTGGTCCGTACGAAACTGGATTCTGTAAGAATTAAACAACTGCATAATTTTTAAGAATTGTCAGACGTTTCAGGTAGCATACTTTTCGTTTGTGACTAACGGAATCTGTTACAGTAGTTGAACAGGTATTTATATTATCCAAAGCGAAGTATTCCGTTGGTCACTGACGAAAAGAAGTACTTGAAACGTCTAACCAGTTGAGTAACGTTTTTCTTGTGTATCTAATTACCTGGATGTCTAACCTTCATCGATATATACATCGGCGAAACACTTATGTTAGATTTGAAATTGATCCTCGTTTTTTAATGATTTTAAGCAATACTATCATGAAAGTTCATCTGTTTTGGTAGTTACATGTTTAAAGTTAAAACTTTTGGTCCAACACAAAAAAAGAGCTTTCGACAAGCTTCACTGGGCCAGTCTACTGAGGAAGACGAGAGTGACTGGTCTAGGCGAGAGAACTTTTTGTGTTGGACCAAAAGTTTTAACTTTAAACACGATTTTAAACAATGTTATAACGGATTGTTATCGGCACACAGGCCATATGGCAATGGTAGCGGAGAGGGCCACGACTCAGATGAAGATGACCTCACTACAGGGCCGAAGAGAATAACGTCTGCCGAGCTTTATGCCGAGATCTCCCATCCAAACGTTCGCTCCGACGTCACGTCTGGGCCGGGGGTAGATCAGAGTCCACCCCGTCTGGAAAGGAACGAATTATTCGAACCTGCCGCGCAAAGTGAGCCGAGTTCCTTCACTAACATCACCCCGAGAAGTGAGGATCCAGACGGCCTAGATGAAAGCGATGACGATGTGGAAGACTGGAACGTACCGGAGTCCAGCGACGACAGCGACGGGGACATCTCGCTGAGCCCTTCGGACCGGGACCTCGGGCGCCTGCCGCCGAAGTACCTCACACTCCGCGTGCGGTCGCTTTTCGAGAAGACCAGCGTGGAGTTTCACAGGCACGGGGACACCAGGCTGTGCCGGGCGGCGTCGCTTGGAGGGATCTCCGAGCAGGATGGTGACGAGAGCTGGTGCGAACTGGCCGGCACAACCCGGTCCTCACTTCTGCGTTACTCGTCCTTACCGGACATCCTGGAGGGCCAGGCGGGGTTCCTGTGGCAGCGGTCCCGTGTGGTGGTGAGGGAGGTGACGGTAGACGGGCACCACGTGGAGCTGACACCGGAGGAGGTGGGATATAGAATAAATACACTTAATATTATCTCGATTGGTTTGCTTTAATTTCCTTGTATGAATTTGTACATACACGTGTACTACCCATAATCACGGTATAGCATACACGTGCTAAGGTCACATTTCCAAACCGCGGCCCGGCCGGGCTGTTTGCATAAACGAGAACTACACCATTCATATCACATTGTGCAAGTTACAGTTGTTGAGCAATTAAGTTGATTGATTGATTGATTGATTGATTGATTGACTGACTGACTGACTGACTGACTGACTGACTGACTGACTGACTGACTGACTGACTGATTGATTGATTGATTGATTAATATCAAGAACATACGCGAATGCTGCTCATGAATAATTAGTTTTTGATAATTTGTTTTGTTTTAATTTATGAATAATTAGTTTAGTTTTTTCAACTTGCCCGGCCGGGCCCCGAGTTGGTAATTGTGACTTGAGCATTTCGTTGAGGATTCATCCGATGTTCATTGTAAAGAGGCACACGTACTCCTGCATCGTGCTGTAAGTTCCCCTCCCCTCCCCCCCTCCAGGTGTCCCTGTTACGTGAGGTCGCGACCCTGAGGAAGACCCCGGCAGACCTGGACATCCTGGTCATCACGGACTTCACGTCAGGCCAGACTGGTCAAGTGGTCAGGGTCAGCAGGAGCGTCGGAAAGTACGAAGTTCGTTCTTTATTACCTAGACTCCTTGTTTTTAAAGGCACCCAGGGAGGCAAAACAAAAATATTCTGGATGAGGAAATGCATGTCTGATATTGACATTTATTGTCAGTTCGTAACACTTTTTCGTCATCTTTTCATACTTGAAGCGTTTGCAATAGCCCCGAAACAAGCTACGTGAGAAGTCTCTTTATTTTTGGTACCACCAATAAATAGTTAGAACCAGCCTATAATACGAAACAAGCAACTGTTTTCCGTCAGCTACAACGTATTTTTGTCTCACCGCTATCAGTATGCTATGGGATAGGGTTAATTCAACTTACTACATTTAAAAATCCAGTTCTACTGCCCTAAATCGCGTCTTCACGTTTATAGGAAAGACCGGCTGAATATAATCATTTTAAAAAGGAAATTCGTTCATTTTAAAGTCTTACCTATAGTTTAGAATCTCGTCTAAAACGTTACAGAATTTTTGAACTTGATATCGCGTTATGTTGGACACAGTCTCGGTCGACACCTGGAGAACGTGAAGTTCATCAACGCGCCATCTAGCGGAAACCCCGAGAAACGACTGCCAGACAATCAGATAAAGGAGGATTTCTCCATCGATGACGCGTTCCAAAAATACATCGTGCAGCATCCAGAAATGAGCCCCACAAAACGTAAGGTGTAATTGTTATTACATGTAAAATTCACATTGTACATTGTAAATTTCAAATACGAGAAATTTTAACTCTTAATGGTTCTTGGTAGTAACTGCCCTTGGTACTGAATCCCTGGTTATACTAATGCTTATTTAAGGGCAGGAGGATGATGCAGGGCTTGTTCTGGAACGCTAACCTGTTCTAGAGTATTAGTCATTAGCATGACCATTTCTAGCCTGGGTGCCATCCCCCGTAGCGCGGGCAAATACTAGTACTACGGGGGATGGCACCCAGGCTAGGCCATTTCAGGGCTTTAGATTAACTTCTGAACAAGGCATGACTTTATAAGATAGATTGGTATAGCCCCAAACATAGATGTTTTGTATATTCACTGTTTCAGAAAAGACTGACCGTCGAAAGAGTGTCGCCGCTGCTTTCAACAGTATCTTTCACAGCCCTAAGGCCCAGTCACCCTCTCCAAAAAAGAGAGGCCATAATCGTCAAGACAGAAACTCAAAGGAAAACACTGGAAAAAAGACACCTTCGTCTTTGAGCCCGTCACCTATGACAGAGAATAAAGGAAGAAGAAAATCTGTGGCACAAACCTTGGCTAAGCCATTTGTGAAATTAAAGAAGTCCAGCTCCAAACTCCTACACAAGAGGATCACGCCACTATCTGAGGTTTCAGAGGAAATGCCCTGTGCAGAATTAGAAAATGGCAACCAGACTGTCGACCTCCACAACAACACACAGGTGAGAAAACGTCTGAAACTGCTTCTTGTACAAGTTTGATAACATGATGACAAGACACGTATGAACCAAGGAAATTGCTTGGTCTTTATTTTTTGAAGCGCACCATCGATATACATTACAAACTGAACAAAAACTATGTTAACTTCCCTTTTCTGTACAAGTTTCTGTTATATTGTTGTTTCTTCACACATTACACGTTTGTTTTTCAATGCCGATGGGCTACGTGGAGCTAGCGATCAGCGCTTGGTATTTAAATACAGACTTATATTTCTACAATCACTCATCCATATACATTCATATGCATAATATATACATAAGATCTGAATATATTCATAAGATATACATTAAAAGCTTGAGTCTTACAAACCGCCATTCCGGGTTTGTACTGTCGATATTACACACACAGTGCACATATCATTTTCTAGTATGGTAGAGAACAAGTGCTTTTGAAAAAGCTGTCGTTTGCCGACGTTGTACGAGTATACATCACAAATTTGTGCATAAAACGGTATGTAACCAAGAACAAAATGTGCATAAGAACTTTGTACTAAGACCAAAATTAAAGCTACCCGTATATAGTTGAAACCATTTCTGAACGAAAATGACCCATAAAGTGATGCACGTACCTGCCACTAGACGTATATCGGTGTGTCATTAACATAATATATTCACAAACAAGAAGATAGTGATTCTTCTCAGTTTTGAGTCACTAATGCAAAAATTTATTGTAATATGATCTATTTCAAATGTATATTTTAGTCCATCATATGGCTATGCCCAGTTCCAAGTTTTTCTGTGCAATATTGAATAGAAACCAGAAATTGCAAATAGTTTTAAAACCCCGTCAAGAGCAGTACGCTCCCGATTGGACGACCGAAAGCAATTTCGTTTGCCGCCCTAAAACACCACACGACTACTTTACACACATTTTACTCCATGCGAGCTTGAGGGCAAAATAAAGTATACCCACGAACGACCCCACAGTCAATGCGAAGTACACCGAGATCTCAACGAGAGTGAAAATATCTTTGTGCGAGGGGTTAGAGTCGGAAATAGGGTTGGAATCTAACAAAATAACGACTTCCGTGGTTTGACGAAGTGGCTTGTTGTTGACGTCGTTTCGGCCAGTGGTGCTCTTTTTTGTGGTTGTCGTGAAACGCCATACTGTTGTGGGATTTGAAGGCGTGAGTGTGCGGTTGTGCGACGACTCGCTCTGCACCGTCATGGTAGAGACCGAAGAAACTGGCTTTGTCGTTACATTTGCAACACTGAACCTTTTAAACATTTCGCTCGTTTCACCGGATTTGCATACAGGGCTTTCTGATCCATTTGTAGGACAGCATGTTGACACTATTCCTTTTATACCAGCTACCAAAACATCTAACGTTTCCCCTTTTAAGTTTTCAGGCCCGGCACAGGCCATTTTGTCCCTGTCTCGGACATGTATGTTGTCGCCAGCGGTCTCTAGACTTTTTAGGAAGTGGGTTAGTTCACAGTCACAGCCCCAGGGGTTTTCGCCGAACCAGATATCCAAGCTTGAAGCTGTTTCTACGTTGGGAATGGCGGGGGAGGTCTGTAGACGAATCAAATAAAGGAAGGTGTTACGAAACTCATGGCTTACGTGACGTGTGTATGACATAGTTTAATCAATGTCTGGAGATATAACATTTGCCGACCCACTAAATTTTTAGAAAAAAATATAATTGGCACGCCTAGAGTCGGTTGTGGTAGAACAAAGAAAAGGAAAGAACAGAAGTAAATTCAAACACAGGAAGGTGTTACGACATTGCATGGCCTATGTGACGTGTGCATGACATACAAGTAGTTCAATCAATGTCTGTGGATATGACATTTGCCTACCCAACAAATTTGCAGAAAAAACGATTGACACTTCTAGAGTCAGTTGTGGTAGAACAAAGAAAAGGAAATAACATAAGTAAAGCTACTAAATTACCCATGTTTATCAATGCACAATGTGTATGTGATTACTTGTTTGTTGCGCTTCTTATACCCCCTCCACATGCACTTAGGTGTGGGTATCATTATTGTTTTTATAAATTGTAATCACAAGACATGGTGACGGCACACTCAAGTTTTTTACAAACTTATTTTCACACTGCCACCAACACAAAGGATAATACGTTACTCATTTTTTACCTGAGTTAATTGAGGAAAGTCGTGTTACAGTGCCTTTCCCAAGGGCACAAGATCGGTGGCATGACAGGGTTCGAACCCGGGACCTCTTGGTTCCGAGGCGAACACTCTACAGTTACTCTAGACGACCATTATTTTGGATATAGACTTACCTGTATCAAATTCCTGCTCACGTCAAACTTCTCTAACACATCGGCCGATCCCGGCCAGGGTACCTCAGTTAGTCTGTTGCCACTGAAGTTAAGACGTCGGATGTTTATAATCCCGAGAAAAGCATTCTCCGACACGGATTTGATCATGTTGTTTTGAAGATACAGGTACCTTAACCGCCGCAGTCCCCTGAAGCTATAGTCCGTCACTAGAGACAAGTTGTTTCTTGAGAGGTCAAGAGTAAACAGATTTGTCAGTGTCTCCAACGCGTGGTCCTCTATGAACAGGAGACCGTTATTGGACATGTTCAGGCGGGAGGGTTTTGAAGAATTCGAAATGCCTTTGAACGCCGCCCTTGGGAGTTGGGTGATCTTGTTGTCCTGCAAGTCTATTTGCATCACCGTCGGAGAAAAGCTACGGGGGACGGAGAACAGCCCTCTGTCGGCACACGCAGCTATATAGGCCCCCTCGTAGCAAGCACAACTCCTCTCGCACGGTAGGGCGAGTGAGATGGGTACGTAATTTGGAATCAACGCTACCGCTAGTACAAAAATCAGCAACATTTTTGTAGTTGTAGGTTGTGCGAGACGCGGCCAACACAATTCCTTACGCACACACACACATACACGGAGACGACTGACGCCTACGCACAGCTTTGATAGTCTTCCCTTCGAATTATTCGCAATCTGGCACGCGTCGTTCCGCGAATCGAATCGCGATGAATATATATTTCTTCTCCAGTCTAATTTACGAGGCATTGCGCAAATACTGAATAAACATCAACACATGTACACTAGATTTTTACCTTTACGTGACGGAATTTTAATTAAGTAAAACATTGATACTGGGACATTTTGTTTACCTACAAGTGGTACGTTTATGCTTTAAAAAATTGTAACCTTCTTAATATTTAATTAATCCTTCATTACATTGCTAGACCTTAACTAACAGAGGTACGAATGGAAAAGCCACTGAAACGGACCTTTGCTTCTCTATGTTGTTATTGGTGTCAAAAATCTGTTTTGAAAGTAACAGTCATTCACACAAATACAGAAAAATTTATAGGCGATATTTGTCTATGACTGATGACTATTCATGTTCTACGACATACCTTACGTGATTTTCATGTCAGGACAGACTAAAACATATTAAAATATCTTTTTTGTTGTACGTTCTTATGTAGACATCACCATCAGCGGATGAGGACGTTGCCATCAGTTGTCTGGTGGCAGATGTGAAGGATAGTGTGGAAAACTTCCGCCGTATCATGTCAACTGTCTCCTTCGGCAAATGTCACCTGAGCTCATCCCCGTCCAGAACAAGTCAACAGGTAAGAGAAGCACTGTCTAAGGTAAAACGAGCAGTACTTTCTACTAAATGTGTTGGAGTAATCGATTTAAAACAGTTTTTGATGTAGACAATGAGAATCGTGGGGTCGTATGGCGCAACGGCAGAGCTTTCGACTTGGGTCCAAGAGATCCCGGGTTCGAAACTTACCATGTCACCGATCTTGTGCCCCTGGAAAAGGCACTTTACACGACTTTCCTGGATGGAGGCCTGGCGAACCCCATCTCGTATTAGCCACAAAAAGGCGGCAAAATCTTCAGCTAGTTGAAAGCGGCTGCCTCAAAATGAAAGAAGAGAAGAAGAAGAAAAAAGAAATATTTCCAGAGAGTGTTTAGATGAATTATTTACTATCACCCGACTCAATATCTGGGAACGATATTTGTGCCACGGGGCTTTTACGTTGGCAATAATGTAAGTACTAAGTAGTCTGTTTCATTTCCCTACTGCATGTCTGAACCAAGCGCCTAGAGCGGCGGGATAAGACCTACACCCGTGCCTGGCAAATCCAACCGTCCGAAATCGCGCGAGAACTGGCCGTGATTGAACGAGACTTGCTGGTGAGGGTCCTGGAGGCAGAGTTGGTGGACTGTGTCTGGACTGGACATGACAAAGTGGGTAAAAGGTGCACATTGATAGATGTAATGAGATGTGTAGTTGCCTGCTAAAGGTTTGTTTTAAAGAATGCCATCAAATTCAATCAGAACGCCTTTCAGCACCAAGGACAGACGTTATAACTTGTGACAAACGATTTTAGCACCAAGGACAGAGGTAAGAATTTATTAGGACGAGCGATTTCAGCACCAAGGACAGAGGTAAGAACTTATTGTGGCAAACGATTTCAGTACCAAGGACAGAGGTAAGAACTTATTGTGGCAAACGATTTCAGTACCAAGGACAGAGGTAAGAACTTATTGCGACAGACGATTTCAGCACCAAGGACAGAGGTAAGAACTTATTGTGACAAGCCATTTCAGCACCAAGGACAGAGGTACGAACTTATTGTGACAAGCCATTTCAGCACCAAGGACAGAGGTAAGAACTTATTGTGACAAGCCATTTCAGCACCAAGGACAGAGGTAAGAACTTATTGTGGCAAACGATTTCAGTACCAAGGACAGAGGTAAGAACTTATTATGACAAACGATTTCAGCACCAAGGACAGTGGTAAGAACTTATTATGACAAGCGATTTCAGTACCAAGGACAGAGGTAAGAACTTATTGTGACAAACTATTTCGGCACCAAGGACATGTGTGATATGTTCCAAGTTATTTTCCACGCCACGTCAATATGAGATTTATTTGCATGATTGTACTATGATAAGAAGATATGTAAGTAAAAGTATTTACGGTTGTTACATAACTTGGGAATGGATGTTTGTTGAACAAATGATTTCAAAGAATACACGAACATGTTTATACACGAGGAAATCTTACATACAGGAAAAGAGAGCCCCAAACATCACTAAGATGGTGGCATTTTTTGAGCGGCTGGTTCACCTGGTTGGGTCAGAGGTCATGCACGAGGAGACCCCGGAGAGCAGGGCGAACGTCATCGCGGGGTTCATCACCGTGAGTGGGAAATAATTACTCATTTGTAATTGTTCATTTGTAAATCACACGGGGGCGCTCTCTAGCTCTACATTTATCGGTTTCAGACATGGAAAATTTTATCTCGGAGAAAGAATGGAAGTATCGTGGGGATGATCGGTGTGTAAAATGTTTTGCACAGAATTTTTTTGGAGAGGGACAACGGTTCTCGATTTTTTCCGTCATGAGATCTTCTCGCTTGTCCTTTTTTTATATTCCCAGCTTGGCTTATATGCCAAATCAAACTTGATAGAAGTACTACGAATGCAGAAATTAAGAAACTATCATTGGGCAATAATGAACATGTCAACCTCTTTGTGCTAAAAGGTTTTTACACTAGCATGACTGACCTGTTTATCTTTCATAGATTGCAAGAATCTTTCATGGACTGCTTACGTCACATGGGGGACATTTCTTTAAAAATGTAGTTCTAGAACCCGGGGGTTTTGCAGCTTTCGCTTGCGGTGTCCCCCCTTGCAGATCACTGCGATAGTCTGCATTCTGCTCTCAGATACCAGAATCGGCTGTTGAGATTGGGTGGAAGGAAACAGGGGACAGCCTTCCTTCAGTGAAGTTTCTATAAGCTTTAGACTCCTTGTACGTACTAGGGAAAGTCCGGAACTTTCGGAAACTAATGTTACACACACCAGGAAATCTGCCAGGGGGGACAACGCAAGCAAAAGCCAGTTCTAGAATGGTGTTCTATTGGAAATGTTTTCACCTGTGACGTAGGCAGTTCATACGATCAGTGAAAGGAAAACTGGTCTGTTGGATGTTTCCGTTGCGTGCAGGTAGCGGACCACTGCCGGGTGATGCGGAACTTTGACTCTCTGCGGGCGGTGTTGGCGGGGTTACAGCTCCTGCCCGTGTTCCGTCTGGAGCGGACCTGGGACATCCTCAGGACACAACACGCGGTCCAGTACAGGTACACTCAACCCCACACCAATTCCAATTGTTGGTTCTCGGATTTTTTTAAAGAAAAAGTATGAAGCGACAGGGCGAAAAAAATAAAAACAAAAACAGGCCAAGGTATCCTCTGATAGCCCCAAAAGCTACATAATAGGCGCGCTGATGTCAACATAACAAGCATGTTTATAATACATGTACAAACAATGAATGTTAACCTTTTTATTAAACCAATGTATTGTTAAATGGATGAACTGTAACAATTGTGAAGGCAAGGAGCTGTCTTCAACCGATTGGATCAAAATATGAGCATTTTGTAGTTGATTCAAAACTTGAACAAAAGATACACAAATATTGTATGATATACACGATACTTACTACATAGAGTAAGACTGACTTTTTTGTCGCAATAGTTTTGTACAACCAAAACAAAACCGATCGCCTCTACTGTGTTCGTAAATAGCCTAAGCCCAATACCTACATCACAGTCTGGAATTAGCATACCACTCTATTATAAAGTGGAATCTACAACATGTACACTCGTGAATAATCAATTTTCGTTTTCTGTACTTGTAAACAGTACCAGACAATCTGTGTTGGTAGTTAGATGTTTAAAGTTAAAACTTTTGGTCCAACACAAAAAATTCTCTCACCTAGAGCTTTCGACCAGTCACTCTGGTCTTCCTGAGATAACTTTGACCCAGTGTTGACGTCACACTTCAAAGAAGCCTTGTGACAAGCTTCACTGGGTCAGTCTACTGAGGAAGACCAGAGTGACTGGTCGAAAGCTCATCTAGGTGAGAGAACTTTTGTGTTGGACCAAAAGTTTTAAATTCAAACAAGTACCAGACAATGGTAGTAAATAAAAAGCCACATACAGTTATTTCCGGTACTGTTTACAAAGTAAACTTTACCCTAGTTTACTGGCATTTATTACTGCTAGTGTTGGTAAATCCAACTTTCGTACAGTTGCTCTTACATAAGTCCTCAAACTGGTGACGTTTTAGATTATCTAAGACCACGGATTGGGCACGCCACTGATGACTGTAAGGCTGCCACTGACCGAGAACGCGGGATAGACCGGCTCCGTGAAAAGGCAGTCCTTAAACACGTGGATGAGACGCCCGGTCTCCGCGTCGCTCAGGGTGACCGTGCCGGCGTCGTGATCCAGGAGGACGCCGATCGTCCGGAACACGCAGCCGAGCGTGAAGGACGCTCCGGTCGGGCCGTGGAGAACCACGCCGATGTCGTCGCGGTTACAGATGCACAGCGCCCAGGACTGCAGGGTCGACCCGACGTGCTGGTCCCGGGGAGTCCAGCGGTGCGCCACGCCTATTGTGCACCAGTTGTCGTCCACGACCGCCTGCCAGTAGTGCCTCCCCGACGTCACGCCCGTGTCGCCCAGAACGGAGAACTTCTGATCCACAAACCGGGACGGTAGGTCGGGGAGAAGGGCGTCAGACCCGGGCTCGTAGGTGGCGCAGGAGTTGTTTTCCGACAGACGGAGTTGCCTGTGAGCTGTGTTCGGGTCCAGGGCGAAGACGAAAGGCTTGGTGGTTAACTCCAGCTCGTGACTCGAGGTTTTGGTCACTCCGTTCTTGGCGGTCACCACGAACCTGTAGCTAGAGTCGGAGTCCAGTCCTCTCACGGTACAGGAGAAGCCGTGCACGTTCTCCAGCACCACCCACGCTTCTTCTTGCACTTCCCGTGAGCTTGGCTCTTGGCTCTTGGCGTACCTGACGTCAAACATGACGTCGGCGTCCTCCCCCGTCCACTGGAGCGTCGCCGCGCACATGGACGTCCAGCACCTGTGATGAGATTATAAACAAAACCGTCAGTATAGGTATCAGAACAACTAACCGCTTCAAGGTCGCGCAACCAGGGTGGAAGTGGCGCATTGTGTTTGCAGAAATATCTTCATATGACCCTTTGCTAGCCTCCACCAGGCCTTTCTACGGGAATACGGATCGTAGAATTCGGCAAAATAGAGAGTAAAATTGGCCAAGGGAGTCCGGCCACGGGGAGGTAGTTTCTTTCCCTCCGAAGCGGCTAGTCAAACCTACAAGGCGGCCAAACTCCCCTGGTAATTATTCTCCTATATATAGCCAGCGTAGTTAGTCTGGTAGTGCACCCTTTCCCCGCTTCACACGACTGTTCAACCGTAACCAGAGTAAAGCGGGCTTGACTATGTAGAAACTGAATGTCTCTAAATGCCGTGTTGCATACAGTAACTGTTATGAATTTGCTTTGGCGATGCAGCGCTAGTGGAAGGTTTGTTTGTCACTCGCGATCTACTGACACATTTTAATCAAGATAAAGGAGAATATGCTATTCTTCCCTCATTAGATTCCTCTGGGTTATTATGCATGGGTTATTATGCAGCTAGGCTATCTATTTTTAATAGTTCGTATGTCCTTTCCGTGCAAATATCTAAGTCTGTATTATATTAATGTGTATTGTATTGGGTTCGTATACCTGAAGTTAAGAATAAATGAAAATTGAATGGAATGATAACATTTAGTGACCATTCGCGGCACAAAAGCAAACGGGGTGAGGAGAAAGCATTTTTGGCAGCGTGCCAAAAGGATGCTATCCCGGAAATTAAACAAGAAGATGTTTATTTTTCTCATCCCACTTGGCCTACACAAAACAAAGAAAAATGTGCAACAATATTGTATCAAAAGTCACAACAACAATTTTCCATGCAGGTTGAGCACCAGTGAGGAAAGTGCAGCACTCAGCTACATGTATTTACCTGTCCAATAGAATGTCAGGTGCCTTGGGAGCCCGACCAAAGTCCAGCAGGTGCAGGGTGTGTGCTGTGCAGCTGAAGTCTACAGACAGGTGCTCCAGGTGCTGCCACACCGTGTCGTCCTTCAGCTCCGGCAACTGCAGGGCCTTCTGCACGTGCGTGTGGAGCGTCTTCCACGTCTGTAAGAACGCCGCGGCGTCTCTTTCCTTCAGAACCTCGGTCACGTAGGTCACCAGGGCGCCGACCTTACGCTCGTTGTCTCGCGTTCTCTCCAGGAATGCCTCTACCGCTTCCTCTTCAGTCTCTTTGGCTTTGTCGACGCCACGTTCCATGTCAGTTTCTCGCTGCTGTATGATTTCCACAAGCTTCTTACACTCGTCTCTGACCTTGGATTTCAGCTCTGCCGCACGTTGGCTCATTCCTTCCCTGAACGTTTCCATCCGTTTCAAACCGTCTCTCAGGGACGTCAGCTTCTCCTTCAGTCTGTCAGAGCTTTGGAGCAAAACTGCGAAGTTTTTCTCGAACACCTGTCCGAGATCTTCCATGTCGTGCTCCTTGTGCTTGCCGACCAGTTTGCAGAGGGAGCACACGGGGGTCTGGTCCGTCAGACAGAACATGTTCAGCCGCTCGTTCCTGTGGTCGGGGCACGTCAGCACCCGGGGCTGGTCTAGCTTTGTCGTCGGTTCCACGAGCTCGTGAGAGGCGAGAGGGCCGCGCATCGGGTGCAGGGTCGACAGGCACTGCTCACAGTACGAAGCCCTGCACGTCACGCAAGTCATACAGGCCTCCATCGGCGCGTCTTCGCAGAGCTGGCAAGGAACTTTGGTGAATGAGGCACCCTCTGTCATGGACAGGTGCTGGTAGCGTTCCACGATGTTTGCTAGCATCATATTTCGACGCAGCCCGTCCAAACCACGGTCGTCGATGGGCACTCGTTCCCGACAGATAGGGCAAGGGAACCCGGTGGTGGTGTCTTCGCGATCGGTGGAAGGCGACGCCTCCGCTGACTCCTCGACTACTGGTTTCGCCTTCAGGGTCTGTAAGAGGATATCGTCGGCGCACCTGAAACACAAACTGTGGAGACATGGCAACAGCAAGGGACAGCTGAACAGTTCCAGACAGACAGGGCACGTCAGTTCACTTTCTAAACCCTCCATAGTGAGAGGTTTTCGTCAAAATGTGTACCGAGCGTTATTCTGGAGAGACAGGTGGAAAATTACTGTAACAGTGGACACCGACACCTGATCCCAACGACAAGGCCATTTCCTTATTCCCATCATCCAATGCAAACCGTGCATTAGCGCCACCTTACAATTAAAGTAGGAACTGCAGTTCGTTGCTTGTGTTGAATTAACTTCTTTGCCATTCCCATGCTGTCGTTGCCACACTGCTTTGTCCAGCACAGTTCAACGTTCAATATCAGCTTAGTTTGTAAAAGCAGACATCAGTGAGCTAATTTCATATAATGATAGTGAAGTAGCAAGGGTATATCAATGGACATCAAAGATATACACATTTTAGACACATCATCTAACTCCATGGACACATATAATATCGGCCTGTCTCTGTTGCTAGCCTTTGTCAACAACAGTAAATAGTATTATATTACCTACAATTCAAAGAGTCCATTCTCCTGTTTTAGAATGTATGCAATCTTTCCCAGATTTTTTAAAACTGTCATGATCTTTTATGCTACCATTCCTTGTTGTTGTTTTGACCATAGTTATTATATAAGTATGACCGTGATGTGACATGGATCCCCTCCACCAGGCTCTTTCTGGAGCTGTGTGATCTCATGAGTGAGGAATCCAACTATCGTCTGTACCATAAGGCCCTGAAACATGCTCCCACATATGAACTTTCATGCTAACATTACTTGCTGTTGTTGTTGTTGTTGTGACCACAATGTTATATGTACTCTCAACCAGGCTCTTTCTGGAGCTGTGTGATCTGATGAGTGAGGAGTCCAACTATCGTCTGTACCAGAAGGCCCTGAAACATGCCCTGAAGGACTCGGCCTGTGTGCCACTCCTGGGTGTCTTTCTGCAGACCACTGCTGTCATCAACTCCATAGCACATGTCGACCCGGGGCAGGTAACAACAAGGGAGCTACGGTCTGTTAGGAGAGAACAACAGGCAAGTTGTTTTACTGTAGTATGTTGAGGATCAATGATACTCGATTTTACAGCTTCTGCAGAAAATTTGAGAGGAACAAAATTAACGCTCTCCTTGCTTAAAAGTCCACATCAATGAATCAGTAAGTCAGGGGTATTATACAGAGTGCAAGTGCAAAGTAACGTAAAGAAGCAAAAATAAAGGAAAAAACGTTGATTCCTGCATGATACTGCGGCGCAAAATAAAGGGAAGTCAGCACTAAATGTTGATGTTTTGAATATGGTAAAGAATTTGAAGTTGGTGGCTTGCTTTTGATTATTTTTGAAATTTTCTGTACATCGGTAATTCAGGAGGCTCGGTAGGGGAGTCGTTGTCAACTGTGTACTGTCCTTGTAGTTGTAAAATTATCACTTACACCTACAAGCTATAAAAGAAAGGCCTTGTTGTAGCTACATGTCCAGCCAATTGTCCTTCACTTCAACAGGCCAGAGAACGAGGAATAACACTGACTGAACGGGAGCCAGCCGACTTGTTGGCCAGCATGACTGAGGAAGAGAAGAATTTACTCATCCGTGTGATCAGAAAATGGAAAGAGCAAAGGGCACTTAGACTCGAGAGAGATGCTCAAAGAAAAATCAGAGACGCCACTGAAATGCCAACAGAGGAGCCAAAGGGATGGTGGCAAAGAAGAAAATTCAGAAGAAATTCCAAGAAAAAAGTAGCAATGCAGCCCGAAGCAAAGAAATCTTGGATCGGATGGATGTCAAAGGAAACCTCTGTCATAAAGGAAGAGTCGGGGGGACACAGAACAGGAGAGGGACATTCTTTCTTGAAGAGCACCTTCAATCTTGACAAGTGGGGCCAGCTCCTGCAGGGCTTGCCAACAGAGGTAGGGGGCGCCACAGGACTGTTTCAGAAATTTAAACTCTGGCAAGACAGCTAAGAGTGTCTTACATCCAGCCTATTTTTCCACAAATATTTTTTAGATGAAAGGAAAAAATGTACAACTGATTTCATTGGTCACTATAATTTACAGCACAAAACTTGGTCCCCAACTTCCCGCTCATGGGGCAAGAGGCACCAGGAGGACCAGTCCATTCTCCCTACAGGGGTGTCATCCCACCATCACATCCTCGACTCAGACAAGAATCTGGACCATGAGTTGGAGATCGCCCACCATGATGACATTCACGACAACGACCTGGAAGTGTCAAGGTGACGAAATCTGCAGTCTGAAACTTTCATTTTAACAGTTCATTCTTCAAGTTACGTAACAATCGTGGAAAAGATGTCGTGTAACCTTCTTATAACAGTAGTATAACAATCTTGCAAATAGTTTGCTAACACTTCCATTGGCATGGACAAAAACTTAGGAACATGTTATACCTGTCCTTGGTGCTGCAATCGTTTGTCATGATAAGTTCTTACCTCTGTCCTTGGTACTGAAATCGTTTGTCATGATAAGTTCTTACCTCTGTCCTTGGTGCTGAAATCGTTTGTTACAATAGGTTGTTGCCTCTGTCCCTGGTGCTGAAAGGCGTTCTAATAGAAATTTGATGTTATTCTTTGATCAACACCCTTTATTGGCATTGGAAATATTCCTTCACTTTTCAGACTTATTTGATAACATGTGTGTCCATAATATCACCAGGGTCCATAATATCGCCACCTTGAGAAACAGTGTGCTTAAAGATATTTCTACTGCAACATACTTTTGGTACGCACTCCTTCACACATGAAATGTACATACCTAGGGTATCTTTAAGCACACTATTTCTCAAGGTGGCGATATTATCGACCCCGGTGATATTATGGACACATATGTTAAATGCAAAGCTTGTCAGTTTTTCTACTAAATGTTCTGTGAGCTGATTTAATTTTTCATTTTACTGTCGCATCTTAACATGGTATTTCTCCATGTCCAGGTACAAGTCTGTTGACAAAAAAAAGATTCTGGCCCTTGCATTTGGATCTGCAGACAGTGATGATGATGATGATATCCCTGCTAACTTGGCACACAAACCTTTTGAGATGCTGCAGCAATACCAGGTAGAGGGGAGTCTTTGTTACATGTACCGAAGGAAAACATATTGGTTTTGCTCTGTTTCCTCTTCTTCTCCAAACCAAAAAGGTCAATGACCTGAACCAGACATCTGTCACCACGGTAACTGGTGTTGGATTACATCATGATAGCAGGAGGGATTTAGACTCCTGTCTGACCATATATATATATACATATATTAAATGTATTTGAGTAAGATTTAACAGAGCAGACCACATATTATATATATATATGTACAATGTTTACCTTCCCATATATCATGTGTATTATGTGACTGTAAACCCTGCATCAATTCAGCGCTATAAAAGGCTGTGATGGCACGGGTAATGTTTGACCAATAAACCATTTATTATCATTATCATTATAGATGTCTGCTGTCCAGTACAGACATGAGAGTGACCCTGCAGTTCGTGACTTCCTCCTGAGGGCAGACTACAACACAGAGACAGACAACTATCGACTGTCACACGAGAGAGAGCCATCCCACAACATGTCATGACCATACAAGACCCTCACCACATCCGTCTTTCTTTCTTTATTTTATTTTTTAATATGATGATGATGATTTGTTTATCAAGCATTACCAGCATGCTGGCAGAACGTACTGCGCCTAAGCTAAACATGCAATGTATTGTGCAAAGCACTTCGGCAGAATGTCTCATTTAAGGTTCTGTTTGCATATTTAAGGATGACATCCCATCTGTAGTTTTCAAATGTTGTGTCAGAAAAGATATGCAAAATTCTGATGCAACATCCAATGAAAACCATGAATAATCTTGGATTTGCACAGGCGCAGTGCATTCCGCTAATGTGACAATATTGCATATGATTTAATTTATCCCTTGTCATTAATGAAACATGCTTACGCAGTGGCTATAATGCTATAAGCTTTTAATGTGTCCACTGAAGGTATGTGTCCAGTCTTCAGATGTTCCCTTTTTTTATATGGGTCATAGCTACGGAGTTCTAACCAATAAACATGTCACAAGAAAGAATGGGTCATTTATTTATTTTCATATTTGATTGTCTACATGTGTTTGGTAATATTGTATAATCATCATAACATCAGATTCAGCGATATACAATGTATGCTTATCATTTCAAATATTATTCTATGATTTTAGATTACTAGACTAAAAAAGTACACTGCAAAAAGTACAAAACTAGTAGTACTGCAAATCCCATAAGCAGTTAATGTTCCTGCTATAAATACACCTGCTAATCCTTTGAATACCGCTGTGGTCTACAATGGACTCCTCTATATACTACCTCCCTCTTCTTGCTATCTGAGTGGCCACTCTAGCTGTGATTCTGCCAACCTAAAGGCATCCACTGACACTGTGACTGTTCCGTCATGCTTTGGTCATCTTGTCCCTGTTATGAGGCAGATTGAAGTCCAGGTCTGGACCAATGGCCACGATGGCATAGGGGTTGATCGATGTGTGACTTGCCTGTAAGACAGAGACAACTTTAAGTCTTGGTCACACAAATATGTCCTCCCAAACTCCCCCCAACCATAGTTAGGAGTACATGTAGGTTGGGAGCAACGTCGGATGTGGTTGGATGGTGTTCGGCAGCGCAGACTGAATGTTTCAAAATGATTTGATAACAGTGGACAGGAGGTTCGGCAATGGTTGGCCAGTGTTCAGAAATAGGTTTAATCATTGTTCAGGACCTGTTTTCAGGATCAAATTTGACTCAAATTTAACTTTAATTTGATTCAATTTGTATAGAAAGATTGGTGTGCTCAGGAACTTCACCCAACCAAAGTCGGGAAGGTTCTGACTGTGCGACAGGGGCTTTACTATATGATGTACTGTGTTATAACTGACTCTGTGTATTGATATGAAGAATTGCATCTGGTATAAAGGAAGCATGTTTTCATAGTCTATTTCAAATTAACAAATCACCTTTAATCAGCTCATTCATAAGGATCTACTGTCCCTACCTGGTAATGCTTCTCGATGTGTTCCCTGTCCACAGTCTCTGCCACCCCGGGGAGCTGGTACACATCCCTGGTGTAACCCCACAGGTTAGGGTAGTCCATGATCCGCTTCTTGTTACACTGGGAAAGAAAAATCATAAACACAACTACATTTGGTGTCCAGTTTCCTGGAAAATAATCCCAGCTACAGTGATTCAACTCCACTGCAACACAATAAGTGAAGAATATAAATAATTAACTAGAGAAGTAACATTTGCAAAGCAAATGCATAATGTTTACCTTCGGACATGGTCTGCCCTGTTAATTTTTACTCAAACATATTCACATACATGTACTACTAGTATATGGTGACAGGAGCAGAGCAGACCATGAAGTTTGCAACATTATGTAACCAAACACCAGTCACCATGGTGACAGACGTCAACAAATCATGTCATTGGCCAGGTCAGAGATTAGTGTTTAGAGAAGAAGAGGAAGAGGAAATTGAGTAAAAACAATATGTTTTCCTTCGGTAAACATAATTAGACTCAACGATACATCAAATATTCGGAATGTCCATGATCTGCTTTTTGTTACACTAGGAAAGAAAAGTGTCAATGTGACTGCTTTTTAGAGCGGTTGAGATTTTATAGAAAAAATACCCAGTAATTCAACTTCACTGCAACACACTGTCACAGATCAATATTCATGTTCAATGATAATGTAAGTCAAAGATTCAGAAAGTGATAACCTTGCTCTTACCTTGAAGTGCCCCACATAGACCGGATCAAACCGGACCAGGGTGGTGAAGAGCCGGATGTCGGCCAGAGTCAGCTGGTCACCTGCCAGGTACCTGGTCTTGGATAGGATCTCCTCCACCTGCAGTATTAAAAGTCAACATAGAATTTATACTAAATTTGTATGGGTTGGTGGAAAACAATGTCCAGTCTGATTGGCGGAAAACAAAGTTCAGTCCGGGGTTTGGGGTTGGAAAATCCGGACGTTTATGGGTGTAGTATTGCCCCCTTGTAAAATACGATAAAAGTGCACGCATTGGATACGGGCGTGACAACTGCGTGAATGTGAGCAATACTTTACATAAATAATAACAGACAGTGCGGCAGTTAAGCAGGTCCTACAAAAGGTGCACCCCCCCCCCCCCAGTGTTCTATATGTACCGTATGCACAAACTGTATGTTGCTCAGGTACATCTTGGAGCAATGAGGTTTAAAAGCTACATTCTAAACCTCCTTGGTAAGGAATATTTTGTGCCTTGAGTTTAAGCTCAAATTTGATTTGTAAAGGAATTGTATCATCTTGTTTTTTAACTGACTGACAGAAAGAGAGGGAGGTAAAGGAGAGAACAGAAGTCTACATACCCGGTCCAGAGAAGCAAACAGCTGTGTGACAGCTTTGTCGTAGGCCTCCTGACTCCTGGCAAACCCAGACTTGTACACACCATTGTTGATGTCACTGTGAAAGTCAATAATACATGAATAACTACATCCTTTCATTAAACAATGGGTCACAACTACTGTAACACTAAATGCACATACAGGTATAAGCCACAAAAAGGTCTTGTTAATCTAAGAGTCTCAGATGACTTTTACATGTATATACATTGTACAATGTACATGTACTCAATCTGGTAGACATAACTGATACTTGACACTGGAAAGAAGATGAAATGTTGCAATTCTGGGATACATGCAATTGGCCATTTTTCTGAAAGCATGAAACTCTTGCTATTCAATTCATGTTAATCTTTTTTTCACATTCTGACCTTAGATGCATTACTAGTGCATGTATTTGAACTTTAACCTGCAAAACTTTTGACAAAAAAATTATTACAGTACTTAAAATGTATAAGATGAAAGTCTTACTGGTAAATCCACTCGTTCACTTCATCCACCCTTGCCCTGAGGTGTTCTGGGTACAAGTCGAGCTCCTTCTGCTCAACTGTGGCACAGAAGTCATTAAACTCACTGTTGAACATCTGAAAGGGAATAGAATAAAATAAAATAAATAAAAGAAAGGGAATAGGAAGATGATAAGCATTAGGAGGAGGCAGAAGACAAAATCGTCATTGTACAGTCAAACTTGTCTAAGATGACCACCCAGGGGAAGACAGGAACAGTAAGTCCTTCTTAGACAAGAGGTCTTCTTATACAACATGCAGCAAAATTTCCCCCATTAATATATATACATTAGGCTGCTGCATTGATCTGATAAATGACCCAACAGGCACCATTTTATTTTGCCCAAAGACTCACATCAGTGATTCACTATCAGGGCCATGTGCGGTCACACTGGAGAAGTGGTAGGTAAGGCTTTAATGCTTTTGTCTTTATGGAGACAAAATCTGGACCCCAAAAAACAGTCATTAAGATTTACTACTAATATGGCCAGATGGCCGGCTTATACATGTAGAGGTGGTTGCTTGGGCAAGTTTGACTGAACAAAAAAATTAAATTGGAATTCTCACAGAAGCCACCATATTAGAACAAACTTAAACATCATAACTATAATATTTAAGTGCATATAAACTGCATTTCTCCTCTGGTCTCTCAGTCACTGACGAAAGCTAGTGGATACTAGCTGAAACGTCTGACGTTTCCAAAATCATATCCAGTGTTGCTTGAGTAACTGCTCATTGATGTATGGTATTACCTGGATGTCTAACCTTCATTGACGTATATCATATTAACATTGTAACGTTAAATGTATCATCAATCTGGTAGAAAGACATGTAAATTTATTTTTAATATGTGTATATACACTGAGAGATTTTAAAATGTTTGTTCATAAACTGAGTGTTACCTGAATAATCTCACTGGACTCATTAGTCACAATGGTGTTGTTCTTCTTGTCCCACACCATTGGCACAGTGAAGCGCCCCTCATATTCTGCAAGCATAAAATTATCCAAACTGAGCAATGTATTGACATTCATAGGCATTCATAAAACTTGCCCAGGTTGTATCTAGAGGTACAGAATATACTTTTTGACTTATTTTATAATAATTAAGTTGTTTAATGCTATTAAAGAGACAATCTTACCTGGGTTAGCCTTGAAATAGAGCTCTCGGATGTACTGGGCACCAAAGAGGGGGTCTGCTGAACACTTTGGTTTCTGGGAAAAATATCAGGAAGATTTTTAGCATTTCACTGTCATTATCCAGAAATCTTTTACATTTACAATTAATATTGTAAATCATTAATTGTAGAATTAATTTATATTTCTATAACTAATTTCTAGAACCTTTCTAGGTAAGAAATACAGCACACTGCACTAAGAAGGAAGAAAGAAATTCAATATTACTTGTGAATTTACACTGTAAATTGTACCTTCCATGAATAGTTTCATCAAGTCACTGAATAAAGATACTTTTTTAAACAATCAAGTGTTTTATTCAGCCGAAGTATATATTGTATTACACTCTGCTGTATGTTGGGGCCACATTATAGATACCGTGCAGATTATATTAAATAATACTTTACATTCAGGAATGCATCTTTTGCAATGACATGTTTGAACCAGTAAGAAATGCTCAGAGGAAAGTGACAGACAGTCAGCAAAACGTCTGCTGACTGGTGGCGTAAAAAGAAACTTTACATAATATTCTATAAATTGTACCTTGTCAGTGAAGTTCCATCCCTTCTCTCCCATCAGCCAGTCAACGACAGTATATGGGATGACATCCTCCAGCCCCTTAAGTTTCCGGACGATGAGCGTACGATGTGCCCAGGGACAGGCGAGGGACACGTACAGGTGATACCTGTCTCGTTCTGCCTTAAAACCACTGGAGCCGTCAGCTACATATACACACGGCAGCAAAAAATAACATCAGCATATTTCTTTGTTAGTTTGTTTCCCATGACTTTTGTACCAGCTTGTAAGACCAGGCTGTAAAGTTTGAACCACTCACACCGGGAAGGACCCTTAATCTTTTTCGAAATACATGCGTACTAGTGCAGTGGGGTCTTAAATGTGCTCAAGGTGTCAGGCTCTCCTCAAACATGGGACCTCCGGCTTTATGTCCTATCCAACAATATGTCCCTAACTGAGGTCAGGTACTCATTTTCACCCGAGTCAAGTGAGGAATTAGGTGTGAAGTGCCTTTCCCGAGGACACAACAGTAGCAACCCTAACCACAAGACCACATTGCCACCCATCATGATCATGCTTTAATTTTCTGAAGGCAAACCATGAAAAAGAAAATGGCAAGACTAGAGGGACTCTGGACTAAAGGAGATGTGTTTGAAAAGTACCTACCTGTGATCCAATTCCTGAAAGCTGAATCTTTCCTCACAAATTCCCCTTTAGATCCCATGTAAGACTTCAAAAATTTATCAGACATCTTAAGATTCCTTCTTTGGATGATTCCTGGCTGGTTCTGAAATGACATGCAGAGATTTTGATTATTGTGCCTCTAACTTCTAAGACAATTTAAACCAATGCCCTGCATATGAATGTAAAAAATTGCAGACAGATAGAAAGGGTCAGTTGTAACATAAAAACACATAATTGCAATTGCCACACTTACACAGTGATTGGTATTGTTGATTTGGAGTGATTTCAAAGAAAACTATGCAGTTACAAAATGCTCACTCAGAGCTTTTTAAGAATTTACCAGCAAGAGGACAGAAATTTGCCTGACTTGTCTCTCTGGTTTCAGTCTAATCAGCATGAATAATCTGCAGGAGATTAAGAAAGGTAATCATGTGTTAAATCTCAAGACAAACAGGTCTGTCTACAGTACTGATGGGTAGATGATGCATGCCAGTGTTGTTTAGAAGCTTTATGCCTGATGGTGACCCCTGGGAGCTTACAGACTAAACTATAAGACATTTGGCTGGCATCCAGGCTAGATAAATGGAAGGCTTACATGAGGGCCTGCAAGGGGGGGTCCCGACAACGCTCTACGCTGAATTCGGAAACCTCTCGATTACTTTACGATAAATTCCAAGTGGCTACAACGTATTACGTAGAATTAAAATGGCAAATACGCTCTACGCAAAAATATTAGAGTGGTCTGTGTACGCTCGACGTAGCATTAAAATGGCCGATTACGCTCTACGGAAAAGGGCTTGCTTTTTTGTATAATACTGTAATTCACAATTTTTTCACGGTATTATGTTTGCAGTTTTTGTGGTGTCTGACACTTCTGTACTGGGACCTTATCATTACCATATTAAAAAGATAATACATGTATCATTATCATATTAAAAGATAATATGCCAACTTTCTTTTTTCTGCACCTGCCGCCACTGCGAACATATAGTTCCGCAAAGATGTCCATTTTTCTCAGACTGCGAACTTTTGGGCTTTGCTACCGTGAAAATAAAGTAACTTACAGTAAAACAGAGATTAGACATCCATATAGGTCATCCTTTGCATGATGTTTTATGGCAATCAGGCATAATATGCCATTTAGGGGAAAAATTAACCTTTAAATTACACAATAATTGACAAAATAATAGTTTCTTTTTTTTTTAACGTTAGGTTCGGCCTTAAGTCAACAACCCTTACCCCTGAGGTACAATAATTAATCTATTAACTTACCTGCACCAAATAGATACCGCAATTGCAAGAAAAACAAAATTTCTGTCACCTGTCTTTTCACCAGAGGTTATACCTTACACTCTTATGTACTCTTAAACCACATATGATACCGTCCTCCACTTTCGCATCTTCTTAGTCTACAAGAAAACAGAAATAACCTTGAACTAGAAGAAAAGAAGCATATATGCAAGGCTGCATGCAGCTGACTTGTTAGGAATTTCCCATTGCAGATACTTAAGACCTCAACAGTTAGTTTACCTCAAAAAGTCTTACTTGAAGCACTCAGTGTCCAAGCTTGACCTCCTAGTCTGGCCTTAACTCCGACAATCAAGGAGAAATGAGATGCTTTGGAAGTAAACAGCCTCTCCTCTTAACAAGCCTTTTGACAACCACTCAGCTTGAAATCTGGTAGCATATTACCTGGTGACCCTTAAGACGCTAATTTTTTGCTTACTCATGCCAAGGGACTAATTTGCATTGATGTATGAGTATCATTGGCCATGCTGACTTAACATTTTCCTGCTATCCATGCTGACTTGCAGGTTAGTACAATAATAACAACTGGAGAAAGTTGAAAGGTCATACCAGGGATCTTACATAATCGTAAACAAAAGGGGAAAACTGCTACATCATTGTTGCTGGCATAAATTTTCAACTGCACTGAAAACTTCACCCCCTCGGTAAGAGTGGACTCGTCTGAACCTAATGAGCATTATGGGTACTTTCAACATGGCGGTCGTTTCTGAATTTTTGTAGTTTCTCGTTTTTGTAGAAGTTTTATTCGAAAGAGTGAAGCTTTGATGAGCAAGTAACACGATTTCCAGACCTATAAGACTCTAGTGTAGGTTATTATGTAGTTTTGGGTGGCCTAAGTTCGTGCGCGCGCCTTTTGAAAGGTAAGTTTTCTCGTCACTCACACAGTCTGGGAAAAACAAATTTTTGACAACACGTGAAAAATGTGTTCTTTTTTATGGACACATTTTCTTCTTCAGCTTCTGTGGCGTTTTCCAGGGCAGGTCTTCAGGGAAGGTATATAATAAGTCAGCTACTGTATTATATGTATTTTCGTTTTTCTTTGTTTATTCCAGTGCAGCTAGTAAATCGTCAGGCATCGACACAGGTTTTGTTTTTCTTGTGATGAAGCTTTACTGATGACACACAGGGATGTCTGCTTCCAACCCGGGAAAACCCAAAACTTTACAGGACACCATTCAGGACATTGAAAACCAGATAGCTGTGAGTAAGAGATGTTGGTGTTGGGAATCAGGCTGTCGTCTGAGACATTAGCACTTTTCTTTAGCTTAGGAGCACATAAAACAACCTTGGTGATTCTCACACGTGGTACAAATTATGTAATAAATTTTAGGGGAGCAGGTTGATTCGCTCCATGTCCATTTCACCCCAAAATTTACTACCAGTTCTAACCCATGATGATGAGGCGACCAGCACTACGTATACATGTATATGTCCTACTTCAGAATATTAGTAAATATTACAAAATATTGTCACATGGCTTGCTAGCATGTACTCTGTAAAGTAATATTTAGAAGTTGGATATATGCATATAATGATAACCTTTATTGTACATTCATGCCCTACCGGGCTAAGTACAGGCGAACAGATGAAATCGGTAATATACCGGTACATGTTTGTAGTACAAACAGCTCTAAAGCTGTTTAATTCAAACATAGTGCCACCCGGTCATCCTAACATGGGTCAAACTGGTAGTAATTTAAATACATGTAGTTGGGGCAAAAAGAACGTGGGGAAAACCGTCTAGAAACCTAAAGGAGCGTAAGCAAGGGGCCCTCCAAAATTAAAAGTTAAATTTTAGTACATGTACTAGATGCACTAGATAAGAGTCAAATGCACATGTTTCATTCAGCGATACACCATTATTTCCAATCAGTCGATTTACCACAGAATGAATTATAGATCTTCAAGCACCACCGTACCGTAGAACGAAGTGCACCACCCACAATTTTACAAATCACACCACAGAAACTTGCACACTTGCACTATTAATATCATCACAATTATGGGCTGGAGTTTGACATTTTGTATAGGTTATTCAATTGTAAGGCATTTTGTTTTTTTTCTCACCCAGCTGCTTGGCTCTGGTCCCAACACCGACAAAAAGAAGGAAGACCTCGCCAAGCTTAAGGAGCTTCTAACTAAAGCCAGGCAAGAACAAGCAAAGGTAGGAAGTTTTAAATTTAGGCCACAGCAAGTAAATTTTATGGAAGACATCCTCCTTAGAAGGAAGATATGTTGTTTGTGGGGAACGTCTGGGCAAAGTTTGGACACATAATTTACGGAGGCTGACACTTGACAATGGCACTGTTTTCTTCTCTCTATTTTTGACTAGTGTAAGATTTCAGGTGGTTAGAACAAAAAGGGGAATGTGACATGACTTTTTTATACAGTTTATACAGTTTTTTTATACTACATGTAGTTCCAGATGTTCAGGGTTTTTTTGACTTGAACATAAACACTTCCACAAGTCCGGAACTAGTTCCAGCGAACTGGTACACAGCACTATTTGAAACCTTGTTTGAGTGGGCACAAGATTGATGACTCGGCAGGATTGCAAACATGTGTTAGAGTACATGAATTCTGACCGTTTTGCAAATAACAGGTCCAGTTGCAGGCTACAGCAGCCAGCTCCGGTGCCAAGCCACAGCTGGTCAAGGTCCCCGTGCCCAGCGTCAACAGTAACACCTCTGTTACCATGGCAACACCGTCTCCCGTTCTCCCCAGGCTGGGCGGCTCAGGACAGAACCATTCAGCCGGCAGGATCAGTCCAGAAGGCAGCCAGGTACACTCTGGTTTTGTTGTGATAACAATGCACTCTTAAAATCTTTGGGAGTGTTGAAACATGAGGACTTTCTTATATTTCTGTGTGTACTGTACAATGTATGTAGTGTCTGTCTTCTTATCTCTGTCATGACCAGAGGAAGAATAGCTCTCCAATGTGCTAAAACTGAATCAAGATCACTAATTGCAGTTAGTTAATTGCTGGGTAATATGGTTGAAGTAATGCAAAGATATCTAATGGGTACATTGTACCATTGCAGTTGATGACATTTTTTGCAATTGTTACCAATCAGGTCCTATCGAAGCGACGTTTACAAGACCTTGTCCGCGAGATTGATCCTACGGAGCAACTGGATGATGATGTAGAAGAGGTAAGAGAAATACCAGCTATTCCCATCTTGGTCCCTGGCCAGCTTTCTTTAAAAAGATATAGTGTTGTTAGTAACTTTTTACTGACAGTTCTGTCTTCCCTAGTTGTTGCTTCAGGTTGCGGATGATTTCATTGAGAACGTGGTGACGTCATCCTGTCAGCTGGCTAAGCACCGTAAATCCAACACCCTGGAGACCAAAGATGTCCAGATGTATTTGGGTAAGGTCTATATTATTATGTACAAAATTTACCTGTGAAAGTCATTTCTTTTACCTCATTAAGACCTGAATGTTTTTCTGACAAAGGAAAGTTTTTAAAGATTATTTTTGCTTTTATAAAATGAATTGTTGATGAACATAACTTGATGTTTTAGGTTATGATGGCTGCAAGATTTCGTAGTGAAAAAAGATGATGTTAGAAAATTCATAAAATCTGAATAATGTGTAATGACAGTTTACACTGTATAAAAATGTATACCATTATCGAGAACAGTTTTCTGCAGTACATTCTCTTGTACATGTAAGTAAACAATTTAGTCTGATTGAGAAATAAGAACTACATTGTATAGTTTTAGTTAAACATTTTAGTCAATGTCATATGTTCTCCTTACCAGAGCGGAACTGGAACATGTACATTCCTGGTTTTGGGACTGATGACATCCGTCCGTACAAGAAGGCATGCACTACAGAAGCTCACAAACAGGTCAGATTCTCCTTTCTTTTTGTCTTCTTCTTTGGCAGTTCAGTCTATCGTAGACTATCTGGGTCATGCCTCTGGTGACCTCTCATGTGGCTTGAAAGTCACGGCCTTGGTTTTGCAGACCCTCCTGCATACTCTGCATGTGTGTAGTGATGCATACCTAAACCCAATTTTGGGTTCAGGTCCAGATTCAAGTCCAGAGGTTTAGGTTCAGTCCGGACCTAAACCCATGGCATATACAAAATTGCATGTTGGCAACCTTGCAATGCTGTTTGGGCAAAACTGTGGCCACATAACATGGAGGCCGACACTTGACGATGCCGATGGCAATGTTTTCTTCGGTTTGCAGCAAAGATTTTACAATCTACGGAAGGTTTTAGGTGGTTTGGAAAGAAAAGGGGTATGTGAAATGGTCTTTTATGGTAATAAGTCCGGACTCAGTTCTTGACTTTTAGGTTTTTTTGGACTTGAACCTAAACATTCTTACAAGTCCAGATCCAAGTCCAGTGAACCTGTATGCAGCACTACTTTCGCAGTCTCCGTTTCTCTGCTGCAGCTTCTCCCCTTCTCTTGTCTGCATCTGCAACACCATTTTTCACATCTCTGCGCCAGGCGCAGTTTCCTTTTGTATGTCAGGGTATATACAGTATAGAGACTCAGTACTTTAAGATCTATTCTGGGTGAATCGGCAATAATATTAATTCTACCAGTAGAGGTCCCGATCGGAGTCTCTGTCAACTAAAACTCTGACCAGGATCTCTGCTGGTTGAATCAAAGATGCTGATTGTGTGTGTAATCTTCGTTGAAACTACAAAACTTTTTATTCATAATAGTTCTGACATGATACTTACCTCCTTTCATAATTTGTGCTTTCCAGAGGATGGCCTTGATCAGAAAGACCTTAAAGAAGTGACGAATATGGAGGGTCAACTTCACTTAATACACACACAAAAAAAACACAGTATTTATGTCTTGTACATGTAACTACCATGGCAGCAGCACTACTAGTGCTGCCTCTTCAATCATAACAATATTTCAGTACAGCTAGAGAATATGTGTCAAGCAAGGAGGTATACTGTACGAAAATGGTATGTAGCACTAAGGATACCGTGTCATAGGTTGTCAAAGTAACTGTTTGACCAACTAGGCAATCGCAAACCTATCTTTTGAAATACATTTAAGGCAGATGCATAGTTGCTTTTGTCACACGTACTGAGTATTACGTTATTCTATATTAAGTAATGACTTGTCAACTATAATTATAATACAAAGAGAAAAGCGACATTCTAGACTATTGCACAAAACTGACATGTTCAGAGATAGAAATGCCTTAGTGTTGGTGGATTAAATACCATTTTCTTGTTGGTGCTAGAAAGACTCCTCCATTGCTTAGAAGTTGCTCGAAGTTGTCTCGCATCAAAAGAAACAATGGTGTGTGACGAGTGTTACATCCTGTAGTGCAAGCAGTTGTACCATCAGTACTGCAAGTATCTTTCTCTCACTACCAGAAAAGCGTTTCAGCTAAAGAAATTGGTTAACCTGTTTGATGGATTTATAATGCAATAGTATCGACTGAAGGAGGAAAAGAACAAAAAAATTGTGCCCCCTTATTTAACGACATAATGAACTGGTTTGGTAGCAGCTATGGTAAAGTTATAAACTGCTCATTGCCCCTTTTTTTCAACTGTTTGCACAGGCACAACCTAAATGTAGGATATAGTGAGGGATTTTTAGGGGGTAATAAAAGAAATGGGTATTATATCATGTGAAATCTTGGTCTTATTGTTCTTGGTTTAATTTAATCTTATCCAAAAGTAAGAGGAACCACTACATGAACCAGTGAAAAAGTGTACAATATCACACCGTTGCTGACACTTTTTTTAAACCATTGCACACGAAAAAGTTTTGCATCTAGGAAAGGCAAAGAGCAGAGGTAATTTAAAATCCTCTGTAGATTATCCTTCTGCAGTGCTGAAATGTTGACATATTGATGTAAAGGACTAGCATTCACTAACATGTAAGTTGTTTGTAACAATCAGTCCCCACCCTTTTTCATTCTATACATTGTAACTTATGTCTACATGTATCTTAATTTGTAGTAGTTGGAATTATGCTGGAACTGATCCATGTCATTTCAACATATTAACCAGCAACATGGCCACTGATTATAATGTTGTTGCTTATGTGAATAAAATGCCATAATGATAACTGACCAACACAGCTCCATATTAATGAATGAAGTGTGTCTCTTGTCTGATCATTCCTTAATGCTGAACAGCTAAACTGATGCCTGCATCATCTTCATAATCATAACACTTAGTAAAGGTTAGTACAAAATCTCTTATGAGTGTTAACTAAGGACTGACCACACAATTCAATGTTAAGTTGATTTTATTACCTTTTCAACAATAAGGGATCTGTAACATCAAATATCTCATATCATCATCTTGTATAAACTTAGTTTTATTATACATTCATTGTTGAGAAGTTTCTCCAAGTAGTCAGTAGTAACATCAAGTAATTATATTTTAATCTAATAATAAAAATTAAGTGACCTGAGTTAGTATTACGTCTCTCAGAAGTATTAAGTATCATCTTAGTTAAACGTAAATGTAGATAATCTTTATGTATATTGCAAAAATACTATTTCAAAACATCACAAACTTAGTGCTTAGTGAAATACCATACATTTGTATAGTGCAAATGCTGTACCTACAGCCCGTCACACTACAAATTTTGCCTCCCGAACAGTAGCCGAATGCTCCGCAACTATGGCTAGGAGCAGGTCAATCAAAGTCGGCTTGTGTTTGGATGGCTGCTATTATGCTCTGCCAGCCCTAGCTTAATAAAATATGTTTATAACATTTGGGGGTTGGTCGGGGGGTTCGACCATCGTTGGCTGGTATTCGGCTGTAAGTCAGCAGAACACCAGCCAACCATTCGGGAGTAAGTCAGCAGTTTTTTGAGTGTGTCCGAGAGTCAAATTTTACTCAAATTTCTTGGCCAACATTTGGTCTGATTGTTCCTGAATGTCAGTTGAAGGTCCTGAATGTGTAACAGGCTTAAGGACTATTGATTAAAGCATAAAGATATTGACATTTTACTACCTATGCAAAAAATCCTAGCTATGTTTAACCTAAACTCTTATATTCATACAATATACATTCATACGTATTCATGATTAATTTGTGAAAGTAGTAATGTCTAGTATATCAACTATTCTACTAACAGCTAATCTTAAATCTCCTTTGATACTTAGAATTTACTAGTAAGAATTTTTGACAGTTCAACTTGATGTGTATTTAAACAACCAAAAAAATTTGTTTGCAACATACATGTGTATAAGTTTTGAAAACAATTTTGAATCAAGAAAAATAGGTATAAGATCATTAGTGATAATCAATGTTTATCGTTTTGTTGATTAGCACAAGTTGACACATCTAAGTCAATTGTGGCTAACCTAAATGAGTAAAACAAGTGAATTACATTTGTACATCACAAAAAATCAATCAAAATACTTGAACATTCACAACTCTCATACATACATGTACATGTATATCAATCTATACTACTATGTACGTATATCTGTTTCACAGCTACACCTAAAGCTGGTTACATCAAAGTTAACGTTGTTCAGAATTTGTTGTAACCAAAGTGAGTGACTTTAGCATATCGGTCGACAAGAGAGCCCATAATCTGGCGAGGCTGGGACCTGGAAGGATTTGGTACAGCAGCGTTGATGACTGTCTCACCGGACCAGGAACTGCCAGTGGCCTCCGAAGTGTAGCTCGTCGTCTCGCTGTATTGGGTGTCGGTCGTCTGAGAGCTCGTCTCGGATGCCGTCTCGCTCATCCGCGATGCCGTGTCGTCATTGTCATCCGAGTACCGCTCGGTGGTCGTGGCGGTGGTTGTTTCGTCTCCGAACGAAAAGCTCAGGTGGCTCCTGTCGTCATCCTCGGTGGAGAAATCCCAGTTGAAGACCTCGCTGTCATCCATGTCGTAACCAAACACCGCGCTGCGTGCGTCGTCGCCTGCGGCGCTCCTGGCACCACCCATGCTGACCCTGTCCCCTATGTCTATGGACATGACGCTCCGTGCACTTCCCGAATGACGTCCGTCTATTGAAGGCGTAATCACGTTCAGAAGGGCTTGCAAAGCCCGCGGGTCGATCACTGGCCGCGGAAGACGATACTGAAGAAAATAGAGAACAGTTTTGTGATTTTTTTAATCATGGAAGACGGCATCCCAACATATAGCATGAACAATAATTATTGTAATAACTGTACACTGTTAAGTGTTTATTGGCACTATGGCACTAAAAACACCCTACAGTTTAATTTGGGACTTCAAATTTAACTAGGGGCTGACCCCCCTCATCTCAGCAACCTTACATCCAGTTGGGCTGTTATTGCAAAATAATCATAAGTCAAACTTATGTCAGATATGTAACGTTAGCAGCCATTAATCACGAAATAGGGCTTTGAAAAGTTATACATAATTATGCATAATGATAAAAGAGTTATACATAAAATGCTTCCTACACTTATGCATAATTGTTCATAAGCCAACATTATGCATAGCAAATGGAAACCTTATGCATAATTATGTCTTACCCTTGTAACCTTATGCATAATTATGCATAACCCTTGTAACCGTACTAGTATGCATAATTTTGCTTAACCCTTGGAACCTTATGCATGATCATGCATGACCCTTTTAACCTTATGCATAATTATTATAACCCTTGTAACCTTATGCATAATTTTGCTTAACTCTTGGAGCCTTATGCATAATTATGCATATCCCCTGAAACCTTATGCATAATTTTAGTTTACTCTTAATTGAAAATGGTAGAGGTAAGTAGTTGCAACTTTTCTTACCCGTACACTCGACATAAAGATCTCCTCATATATCTCCTTATCCCTGATGGCTCCGGCTACAGAAGAAGACATGCTCCTGACACTGTTGTGTCTGGAGGACTTGCGTCTGTTGCGCACGCCGGGAAGGAACCTGGTGACCTGGATGTCGTACAGGTTCTCCTGGGAGTCTGCCTTGTCCACGTCCGACGGATGGGACAGCCAATGATGACTAGGCTTGGAAAATGTCGGCCTATAGAAGGAAACATTTTAAGTATCATAGAAGCAGGTACATGTACATGTGCTGCTATTTCAATTACAAGAGCTTCAACACTATTTTCTGCCTTGATCCATGTACCAGTATTTATACATGTAGCTCTGCTTAAAATTACATGTTACAATGTTAAAATTACAATGTAAGCAATTGGTTATCAGGTCACCGGACACCAAGTGTTTACTACTACCATGGACATTGCCAGGCTACCATATTTGGTTATAAAAAAATCTACCAGAATTATCATTTTCTGTTCTGAGTCATTCTTTCCCTTTTGGTAAGTTAGAGAATGGAAAGTGAAAAAAAAATTATGCAGCACAGAAATATGAACAGTTCATTTTGTCTCAGTACATGTATTTCTGAAAAATTGAAAGGCATTGGGTTCTATGGTAATTCCTTTCAGATGCATGATGGTCCTTACTTGTACTTCTTAGCCTTTTCCTCCAGGGTCTGATTCCTGAAGATGATTATGAAGATGCCCAAAACCAAAAAGACTGCAAAGAAGCCAGCAGTTGTCCCGGAGACGACTGGAATGAAAAAGAAATGTACTGTCAACTACTGTGATCATACACTGCACAGTGTCCCTGTTGATTTGTATCCAAGACTTGCTTATATCAAGACTTGCTAGATGCTTATTTCATATCTTCATACACTGTAAATGGCCTGTACCTTTCTCAAGTTAATTTTAGAAAATGAAGACTGAAATCTGTGATGGTGATATGTTCGAATTTGAAACATTTTAAATGAATATGGGTGGCATACCTGATACAATATTGATCTGGCATCTAGCTCCAGTGTACTGCAATGGACAGCTGTAAAACAGTAATCAGTTTTGAGTTAACAGGCTAGGTGAAAAGGGACATTAAACAACCTTGCACGTTGTTGCATGCATGTCTTACAGTCTGAATTTGGTGAAGAATAAAAAGTCTGATGAGAAATTCAGAACTTAGAAAAGTCTTTTAGCCAATGATGTACTCTTCAATTGGAAGTTTTGGCAGATTTGCAGTCAAAATTCCTTGTTCAAAACCCACAATCTCCCCAGCCTAAATTCTTTAACTGAACAGCGTCATATTGGCAGATTTTGTAAGAAAGGCATAAGCTGAAACAATACCTGCATGACTTTGCTTTGTTCTTGATGGAACAGGACCCTCCATTCTGACAGTACCCTTTGTAGCAGAAAGCTAAAATGAAAAAAAAAAACTTTCAGTGATTATCCATGGTATTACATACATGTAGGTACAGTACCAACAAATGGAGGCAATTTTGTATTATAGGCTTACACATCATGGATGGTACCTAATATGTCGTAGACATGGGAAACCAATGTACATGTACATGTAACTTAAAGGAAAAAAATCCTTACAGTCAGCATTAAGATCTGGTTAGAAATAGAATTACAATGTCATGTACATGTAATTGACAGTAATGCATTACACTGCTGTCTCGTACCTTCGTATGTAACCTGGGACACATTCAGGCCCAGTAGGTCAATAGAGGTGTTCCTTGCCCCGTTTTCGAATGCCTGGGTGATGTCAGCATTGGTGAGAGCAGCAGAGGGGTCAGTGGCCAGCAGGATACTGGCAATGACACTTCCATTCCTGAGCTCCGAGATGGACACCGAAGAAAATGCGGAGCGGATGGTCTGGTTGAAGTGGGTCTCAAAGAACATGGTCAGCTGCAGAAAAGAGAATGTAAGTTTTTTTTTAATGATACGTTTAAACTTACTGTTTTAAGCCATCCAATGCAATTCCAGGGTGGCAAAACAAACAATATTCTGGATGAGGAAATCTGTCTGTCAGTATGTCTAATATTGACATTTACTGCCTTTCTTAGCACATTTTCATCATCATTTTCATACTAAAAGTGTTTGAAATAGCCCCAAATAGATAGCTAGGACCAATCTACTATACAAAACAGCAACCATTTTCCATCAGCGACATCACATTACTACATTTTTTGTACGTGTATATTAAAAAGAATGTCCAGAAAATTGACTTAGAAAAAAAAAGCTCTGAAATCACTATTGAATATGTGATGGAAAAGTCGAATTCTGTTCCTTATAGAATGGCCAATCATTATCAGTTTTGTTTCTTTGCCTCCAACATAAAAATGAGAAGAAAAAATGTTTTTATCCTGATTAACATATGACCATCCTGTTGTGAAAGAAGAAATATTCCCCACTGACCGCTAACTCTATCTGCCTCCTGGTATTCTTGTACCCATCAGTTCTGCAGTCCGTCAAGTCTGAGGTGAAAACAAGATCTCCGAAGGACAACTCCAGGCCAAATCCACCGGAGTCTGAAACAAAACAGAAGATTGTTGTCATTTCTCTGACAATAGACCAGAAAGCGTTGCAGGTAACAATGGACTGCTGACAATAGTCGTACTAGTACATGTAGGTATGTAATATCAAGGTAGTCCAAGATGGTCTCGTGGTTAAGGTTTTAACTCAGAATCTGGAAGGTTCTGGGTTCCGATCCCTGTCAGGCCCCACTGTTATGTGTTTGGGAAAGACACTTAACACCTATTTCCTCTCAAGATTCAGAGTATGAGTCCTTCCCAGTGTGTGCATAGTTCAAACCTTTCAGTCTGGTTTACACTGCTTGTATGTACTGTACTAAATTAGTGTGTTACCATGTTTACTGTTCATGTAAAATAAACAGAGATGCTTACCTATTTCACATGTGGTAGTGCCATCTCCACTCCAGCCAGTTTTGCAGCGGCAGAAGTTGTGTGTGCCATTGAAGACGTACTCTGCATGCTCGTGACAACCGTCATTGCACTCTGTCAAGAAGAAGTATGATAAATAAAACGTATTTTAACAACTTGCAATGACTTAAACTATTGAATTTTACATTGATGACTTAGTATCAAGCCAAAAGAAATGTTGAGATGAAGATGTACAGAAGACATGCAAAATTTGGGGGTATGTGTTTCTACCTTTCAAAACATTGTTTTGAGTCACTGATTGATGAATGTTCTACACACCCTAATGTCCTATGTTTAACCATTCAGATGAAATTATTTTGGGAAATAAAAAGTTACCTATTTCAACACAGGTACGTCCATCTGCGTGGAGAGTGAAGCCGTCTCTACAGGAGCAGTTGTAAGAGTCGACAAGGTTGGTGCAGGTGTGATCACAGGGGGAACTGTCACACGCGTTCCATGCTGAAATGTCAGAGAAACATCCTATTAATACAAATAAAACCAAATAAAATGTACAAAAGGTAAGATGAAGAAGAATTCAAAAGTAAATGTTTTTCATGTATGACTGCTACATCCATACATGTACATGTAACTCAGGCTAATGGAATATGCATGTCTGGGCCACACCAATTTAATTTGTTGTTTCTCGGATTTGCCTCTTCATTTTTTTCTGATTTACAAAAAAAAGATTCTGGTTCCGAATCAACTAAAAATGCTCATGTTTTGCTCCCAACAGTTGAGGAAAGTCCTTTTCTTTCTAGTTGTTACAGTTTTTCAATCTTATAATGCAGTGAATTGGTTAAAAGTTTAAAATTCATTGTTTAAATTTTATCCCAGCTTTTTGTGTTGACTTCATGGCTCCAATCGAAGCATTTGGGGCTATAATAGGATGCCTATGCCTGTTTTCATTTTTTGTGCCCTTGTTTCTCTGAAAAAATCCAAGAACCAACAAATTAAATTGGTGTGGCCTTGCTTGTACAAACATCATGACAGTAACATGCTTTACATGTAGATTACTCATTCAGGCTATGTTCTTGTTCATTATTCAATTTGAATGAGAGGAGAATTGTAATGACTCAGTCGTACCTATGCAAGTACAGTTGTCATCTGCCAAGACAAATCCAGGGCCACAGATGCACTCAAAACCGCCCACGAAATTCCGACAGCCGACTTTGCATCCTCCTTGTCCTGTATCACCAGCCTGCAGGCACTCATTTATATCTGAAAAGCAACAACTCAGTTACAATCAAATACATTGTACAGTGTAATATCAGCAAATAAGTGGAAAAGTCATCTCTACCTCCAGAGGCATCATACATGTACTTATACATGAAGTGCTGTAGACACATAATTTTTCCTTTCGTGTGATGTCAGCAATGGGTCAAAGTTTGTCAGAAGTTGGTATTCTGGCACACTGAACGTAACTCTTTTTGTGAGAGGAGTGAAGGGGGCTACTAGTATATACATCAGGGCATACCAACCTTCTCTCAACTGAGATTGGGACTTCCGACAAAATTTGACTGATGTCACATGTGCGGAAAATCATGTGTCTACATTACACAAAAAACTTACAATAGGTAGAAAATAACGCTGTAAAGAAGGAACATGAAATAACAAACATATTGCAAGCTTTCCATTGACATGAGGTCTCTGTCCTTGGTGCTGAATGCCTTCACTTCACAACAGTTACTGAATTTTTATTTATTTATTTCAAAGGCACTTTATGGATTGTGATGATATTTGGTATGCTGGTAGGTCTTAGGAAGACGAAGGTCAAGGTCAAATATGGGCCTCCTGGTGGCTGACCTTGGTACTGCAGCAAAACTTTTGCTTTTTTTTTGTCCTGAACATGCTATGGTCTTGACTTTTTGGTGACAGATAGCTTTTCCTGTCAGGAATAAGTGGCGTAGGTTTCGTCACCCTAGCAGCTTGTTTATTACACTGTAAGTTTGTGATGTTGACAAACCTCCACACAGTGATCCATCTCCTTCGTAACCCTGTTTACAGTCACAGTGGAAGCCGCCAAGATCGTCCCTGCAGACGGCGTTGGAGCTGCAGTCGTTGGTCGTGTTGGACGCACACTCATCGATATCTGGAGCAAGAACGGTACACTCGTCAGGAGGATGGCAGGAAAGATGGTGAGATAAAACATTGATTATCGTCATCATCATCAGAACATTAGATATCTTTTGACACTAATTGCATGGATTTTTAAGGGGAATGAACCACAGCAAAGACATACTGATGTATACGAATGAATGAACACACCAGCTGGTGTAACACATGAGATTCCAAGGCACACAGCATGGCGGCAGCTGGCTATATTACACTGAATGACTTAAATATTCTTAGTCCTTGAACATCTAAACCTAAACATTGTCTAAAGCTATCTAGTGAGGATGCCTCCACTGTACTTGAATGAATGAGTAGAATAACATTATATGACATGTACAAATGTATACATGTACATGTCATATATACACAAATACATAAATTGTATGATAGGCAACTAGCAACAGTATTTATAATGCATCAAAGATTCTTTATATCAAGTTTTGAAAGATCAGTCTGACAGATAATAATGGCCAGAATAGAAACGGGTTTAGACAGAAAATGACTTTTTTGAGGATTTTTTGAGGATGCATCGTATTCTCATCAGGACTTCTTATTAGTCTCTGGCTATTGGTTCTGAGCAGTCTTGTATTATAGAAGCTGTACAAAATCAATATCTACAGGATGTGGGTCTTACTTATACAAGTGCATCCATCGGTGTCCAGGTAGTAGCCCATCTGGCACCTGCAGTAGAATGACCCCTGTGTGTCCTCACATATCTGACTGCAGTTCCCGTTGTTCACTAGACACTCGTCAATGTTGTCGCACCTCCGCCCACCGCGCTGTGACGTCCGCCGAAACCCGTCCTTACAGATGCACTCGTAACTGCCGGGGGTGTTGCGGCATTCCTTCGCATTCTCATCACACATGTGAGTCCCTTCAGCACATTCATCAACATCTGGAGAGAAAAACGTTGTTGTTACAACTTCTTTTGACCATATGTGATTGAAAAGACTGTACTTTTGTTTGTTGTATCTTGCTGATATTGTTATTGGCCAGTATACACTACTGGTAAGAATGCTTGTAAAAAAAACTATGTAGTCAAAGGAAGGTTTACACAAATTCGGCTACTCAGATCGATGAGGAGACCTCAACAACTACAAGTGAGTGAAGTATACCACTGAGTCAACAACTTATTTCTAAATACAAAATTTTATATTTATGTATTAATTTCATATGGGTCCTGGGTTTGATTCCACCTACATGCCCCTACGTTGTGCCCTTGGGAAAGGCACTTAACACAACTTTCTCCCAACATGCCAGTTATTGCCAATTTTTCAGAAGATGGTCTATATCGGAAGAAGGCATTCAGAATATTCAGGAGGGAACTGTTAATTGTTTTTAAACTCTCATACCTTGACAAGAGTTGTTTGCCTGTAGTTCGTAACCAAGGTCACAGACACAAAACTCAGCTCCTGTAGAGTTGGCCGCACATCCACCAATGGGCTGTGCATGACAACTGTTATTGGCTGAACAGTTATAGAAGGCTGTAGGAGAAAAAAAACAGAAGTAACACAATGTGAAATATGTCGATGAATGTTAGACATCCAGGTAATACGATACGCCAAAAAGCAGTTACTCAAGCGACTGGATATGATTTTGGAAACGGTCAGACATTTCAGCTAGTATCCACTAGCTTCATCTTGAGTAACTGCTTTTTGGCGTAATGTGAGATTTGCTTGTGTCTGTCTAGTATCTCATTGGAAAAGTTTAGTTCATTCCTGTTTCTGTAGCCCTTGGGCCACACATTTGTGCAATCACTACAGCAGGGGATGGTCCATTTGATAGTGGTGTCATATACTCATTCCAAATGCTGAGTGCTAAGCAGAGAAAGCAGTATGTATGTGTACCATAATTAAGGGTTAATGACCCCCCCCCCCAGTGTATATGGTGTGATAAAGCCTTGTCAGTTGCTATTACCACCGAATAGAACCACCGAGTGAGCGTTTTATTTTGTCTTAGAAGTCATCATAATGGTGGTACTATTGCAGCAGTAGTTGAAGCACAAAAGGAATCTGGAGCTGTATTCAAAAGGGGGATGAATGTAGAAAGATTGTACTCACGAGTACACGTCCTGGCATTCATGTCGAGGTTAAAATGGGGATGACACTGACACTCGTAGTAGCCCACGTGATCAACACAGATATGTTCACACTTGCTTCCAGCCCTGCATTCATCAAGCTCTGTTTCAAGGAGAGACATAATGTTTGCAATAAGAACAACAGAACAACAATGCAAAATGATCTTTCAAAAATGAGGAGTGCCAATGGGGTACTTCAAATTCACGGTTTTCACATCTGCAAATCTATCATTACCACAAACAAATAATTCGCCAATTTTGTTTTTGCTGCAACTGCTGCCACTGCAAACATATAGTTCTGCGAACATGCCCATTTTTCTCAGACCGCGAAATTTTGCTACCACAAATTTACAGTATTTTGACTGCAGGAAAAGTAAAGGGAACTGAAGAACTAGACTGTACCTAGACAAGTCCTTCCATCAGAATGAAGATAATAGGCTGCTCCACACTCGCATTCGTGTTCCCCATCTGTGTTTATACACAGTCGATCACAGCCTCCATTGTTCACCAGACATTCATTGATATCTGTAATGCAGGTACATGTAATGTCAGTTACAGCTTGCCCAACCTATCAAAGGTACATGACATATACATATTAAGATAAAAGAGATGCATAAGTTCATGTATCGGCTTACATGTAACTGTCCTCATGCTTACTAAGCTCTTGAAATGAATTACAACTAAGTAGCGTGCGTAGTCCAGTGGTTAGCGATCCTGCCTCTGGACTAAGAGGTTGGGAGTTCGAATCCCAGCTGATGTCGCTCACCCGACATGCACCCTACTTTTTAGGGTCGCAGTCCTTAGGACGGGGCGTTAAGCCGTGGTCCACTGTTCATTGTGCTTGTTGAAAAGAGCTAGGGGAGTTTCCCCGGTACAATGAACCTGTAAATACTGTACATAGCGTCTGTCTTCTCTGTCACGACCAGTGGAGCTCTTCAATGAGCTACATGTAAACTGGTTCGAGATCACTTTAACTTTTCACTTTTACTTGAAGCATTCTTTATAAAAACATGTTTGATGTACATGTGTGCATCATACAAAAAAGCAACAATTTAAAACATTATAATTTGATTCTGTCCAATGATACCACTTACCTGCACATGTTTTTCCATCACTTTGAAGCTCATAGCCAGGGTTACAACCACAAACGTACGCTCCATCTGTGTTGTTACAGTAGCCGTGGTTGTCGTCACACTCGTTCTGTGTCGGCTGCCGACATTCGTTGATGTCCACACACACGTGGGAGTCGCCGCTTTTGTGGTACCCCGGCAGACAGTCGCAAAAGTACGAACCAGCCGTGTTGATACAGTCTGCATTCACACACTGGTGTGCTTTGGTGTGGTTGACATCCAACAGGCATTCGTTGAAATCTACATTTGCACAAGGACATGTAAAAGCAGGACAACAAGATTCAGTTTTCTTCATGATGAAAATGGTATTTGAACTACTGGTGTTAGCAAGATGTGTACGTGTACAATTGAAATGTGACCATGGCCATGTGTACATGTACAAAAATATATTGTTCAGATGTTTACAGTTAAAGTGGTCAAGACTATGCTGTGTTGTTGTGCAGCTGAACTCCCGGTTTTGACATCTCATGATCTGGACAAGCTAGGGTCACAAATTTTGGATGGTACTAGGCTAGGGAGGAAGGGACATGAGTTTGGGCCCCCTAGCCGCTTGTTCTGGAACTGCAGTAGCATTTGTTGAGAAATATTTGAAGGAGGATAACTATTGTCAGTTGACCTTACCCTCGCACACCTCTCCGTTCCCTATCATGTCTGTTGGACATGGTCCACACTCATACCCAGTCTGGTTAGCCAGGAGGGGAGCTGGCTGGTCTTTACACGTCACACCTAGGACAGGAATAGAGGAACGTAGTGAGAATGAATACCTAACAAAAATACTTTCAATAACATTGAAATGCCTAGTTACTTGTCTGATGATTAGTTTATATCCAAGGCCCCAGATGTAGCTATATTGACTTTATGCAAAAACTGTTTTATTATAGAACATCTCAATCATTTCATCTATCCCTTAGTCTCATTATTTGACCATTTGGGTGCCACTGACAACCTTTTTCATCACATACTGTTAGGACATACATGTATCATTCAGAGACAGTTTGTGTCTTTTCAGTCTAATTAACATGCTATAATCCTATACAACTTTTTACAACTGTCACACTCAGATAATTACAAAACCTTGAAAGTGACTGATACACTGTATGAGGCTGAAAGGCACTTGTACCTTGAAAACAAGGGTTGCCGCTGCAGCCATCAATGTCTTGTTCACAGAATGGCCCTCCCCATCCACTGGGGCATACACAGGTCGCAACACCAAATCCCTCGGTCCGGGATCCAACGTTGTTGTAGTTACATGTTCCAAGATTGACGCAACCACATACCTAAAAGTGACACACGTCATTTTTTTCATGTCAGTTCTTTTCTTAGTATAGTAGTTGTTGCTGTAAAGAAGACTGAAACATTTGCAAAGCTAATGCATGTTTAGCTTCACATGGTCTAGCCTAACAAACTACTGCTCTTTTTTTACTCAAACACATTCATCATATGTACAATGTATGGTGACCAGCCCCTCCAACTCTGCCCTGCAACTTGCTACATAATTGTAATCCAACACCACAGGGTGTAAGATACATTCTCAGTTACAGTGGGGACAGTTGTCTGGTCCAGATCATTGACCTTTTTTGTTTGGAGAAGAAGAAGAAATGTAGCAAAAACAATGTTTAATCCTTAGGTAAAGTTTAATTTGATAATAACTTAACATAAATATACTAGAAATGTCAGCTGCTCTGTTGACTTACTGTGATGTCTGGGGAAACCGTTGTTGCAGCATTGAGAATATCAGTAGCTGTCCAGCTGATAGTTGTCTTGTTTGTACTGGTTGGAGTCCAGACAAAGTTGGCTTCCAAGCCTACAGACTGTGTCAACGTCCCAGAGCCGCCAAGGGTGAAGTTCACCACAGGCTGCTCGTCTGTCGCTTGCAGGGTGGCTGTGAAAGTCTCACCCACCTTAACTCGTACTTCACTTGGCGCAGTCACATTTGGTGGATTATTTGCTGCAGAAAAAAAAGTAGTTTCATTGCATCATTTATAAATAGAAGGAAGCACTGCATAAGCCACACCAATTTGATTTGTTGGTTCACAGATTTGCCCTCTTCATTTTTTTTCTGATTTGAAAAAAAAAGAAATTTTAGGCTCTGAATCAACTCCCAAATGCATATTTTGGCCCCAACAGTTGAAGGAACTCACTTCTCTTCAGAGTTGTTACAGTTTTTCCATCTATCAATGCAATGGTTTCTAATAGTTTTGGGACTATCATAAATGATATTTTTTCCTGTCACTTCATATTTTTTTCTGAAAAATCAGAGAACAAACAAATCAAATTGAAGTGGCATCTACATCTGTACATATCAGTAGTAATGGTGAAACTGGGTACATGTGTATGTAAGGAAATGCTTTAATTTTTACTTACCCAAGACAGCGGTTGCCTGCTGAAATGCCAACAAGCCCTGTGACGTTGCAAGGCCTACTTCAATAAGGCCAGTAACAGCAATGTCATGAAGACACTGCGTGTTGTTCTCTCCACCACAAGCGGCGATGGCCTGGTTTTTTAAGTTGGTGTTCCCATCAAAGAGGACATCCAGGTCTCTGGTAAAGAACTTGGGCACAAAACTGTCGTCTCCATATGAAGCGGCAGACGACCCAGATGGATACCGTGTGAAAAGTGTCACGGTAGACACGTCAACTCCTTGAAGAGAACTGACATTCCTCAATGACCCTAGAAAAATAGCAATGGTGAATATATTCTGTTATTGATCATAGGCATTGATCTGTGAAGTTAAAAGTTAAACCAAAGGTGTTGTTCACTTGAAATTTTATCAAACTTAAGAATCCTGTGTTGACATCTCTGATGTCCCTGTACAAGGTTCAAGGTTATCAAACGATGGCTTTAGAATGATGCTTAGCCATTGATAAGGCTGTGTTAGGCATAGCATCATTTTAACACAGCCTTATGAAAGGCATAGTATCATTCTAAATCCAATGATTATATATGGCAAAGCATCATTCTAAAGCCACGATTGTAATGCCTAATGGCATTTGTCTCCCTGCAACTACTGATTTTGTACTGATAGCCTATGTGACATTTTTCAACATTGAATATGCAGACACCAAGCACTGCAACAACTGGATTGTTATGACAATGGAGATGCCACAGAAATGGTTAGTTATGGTATACGTGTACCATGTTTTGCTGTACTTACAAGCTTGACCAAAGGGGAAAATTTCCGAATCTTGAGGCTTCGTTGGGTTTGATGTTGGGTACAGAGATCCGTCTGGCAAGACGAAGTCATCTGAAGAGTTGCCGTTTAGATTTCCCAGAATGCCTTGCAGCTTCCCAGACATCTCTGCAGGCATGCCCACCACGTAGGACAGCAGGTCCAGACCCCTCGTCACGGAGATGGAGATTCCAGACGGGAAGGACACAAGAATGCCCGTCAGATTTCCTGCATTGTCTGGAAGGGAAAGACAGTTTCTCAGCTATGACATCACAAAGAATCATCATGGCTCTCATCTAATGGAATTTCAGGGGGTTAAAGCTGGATTTTCAAAGTCAATTTTCTTTTGATCATCATCATCATATCTTGTCGGCCCACTGCTCTAGCCAGTCCAGGGCTTCCTGGTTTGCATCGTACAGGTCTCGTTTGGTGACGGATGGTCCTAATTCGCAGTCCTGTAGGATGTGTTGCATGCTTTGGGTAGGGTGTCCACATGGGCAGTCAGCTGAGCTCACCCGTCCCCATGTTAGCAAATTGACTCTAGTCCTACCTACTCCACATCTAGCTCTATTCAGAGCACCCCATTTCCTTCTAGGCAAATGAGTGTCATGAGGTAGGGACTCACATGGGCTCTGTAGGGCTCTTTTGATGTTACAGTAGTAAGTTGAATCAAACTTATCCCATACCATACATTTCTGTGAAGCAAAATGTGATGTCACTTACAGAAAATGGTTGGTAATGCTTGTTTTGTATCGTAGGCTGGTTTGAGCTATTTTTGGGTACCGTAGTACCCAAAAAATTATGAGATGCCTCACATATCCTATTTTGGGGCTATTTCAAACGCTAAAGTATGAAATGATGAGGAGACTGTGCTAAGAAATGGCAGTAAATTTCAATATCAGACTGATTTATCATCCAGAGTATTTTTTGTTTTATTTTTTGCCACCCTAAAATTGTATGGGATGTTAATAGCACAAATATGAAGGAAATTGAGTGTATAGATTCTGAAGAGATATGCCCCTCACCATTTTTGGCAAAGACTCTTCCATCACTGAAAGTCTTCCCTGCAATGATTTCTTCCTTCTGCAGCTCCACACCATTGATGACAACATAGAACCCAGGGCTGCTGGTACTGAGATGTACTTCCACCGATTCTGATGGTTGTTTGAAAGCAATGCCACTGGAAACAGGTGAAAATATTTTGATAAAGATCTATATATGTAACATGACTTGAGAAAAAAAGTAATGAAACTGCCAGGTTTATGCACTGATGTTCACAAAAACTGTTTTTCTTAAAAAAAGTTGCCATGCCAACTAAGGCCTTCTTAAAATTTTACATAAAGCAAGTTTAAACTGTACCAGTGATTTAAACAAAAAAATGGACATACCAAAATTTTGGAGTGTACAACATTTACTCTACTCTTTCTCAAGGAATGTCCAATTTCTCGTGTTGGAAATTACAGTTTAAACTTGCTTCATAATCACTTCTACCAACACAGATGAACTTCCAAGATATCACGAATGTGAGTGGTAATATTGTTACTATGTCTAATGCGCTTGTAGCTACACAATTGACTTTCACAGTTGAATGTTATACTCTCTCCATTAACCAAAAGTGTTTCCTCACCTGTAGACTGTGCCTCTGACTTCAACACCGTTGATGACTGGCCGTTTGGTCCGTGCCTGGAGCTCAAAACTGTACGGAGAGTCGCTGGTGTTCCTCAGCAGAAGAAACTCACCATAGGCGTTCAATGAGAAGGAGGCTCCATCAAGGGTGGTGATGTGAGGATCACCAAGGCCAGAAGCTGAAAGGTTCAAAGATGCAAGTTTTTTTTTTTTGTTCCAACACAAACTAAACAGTCACACCATGAATTTTCAGTCAATCTTGCCAACCTTCATCAGATGTCTGATTCACTTCTGTCAGCGTGCAAAATACCTGGTTGCCCAGTTGCCCCGGGCAACTAAATTTTACTTGGGGCAACCTACTTTGGAACCTAGGTACCCAAGTGTACTACCTGAATTTTAACAATGCCCCCCCCCCAAAAAAAAAATCATGCCCACTTGGCTTCCACCACTGTATCCGGAAGATGCCTTTTAATTTTAGGTCTTAATGGCTATTACTAGTATCAGTTAACTGAAGGCTGTTAGAAATATTATCAAAGGCTTATGTATGTAACATTTCTTAATTTGAGGAAAGTAGTAACTTATACTCTGTAGGTGGGGCAACCAAAAATTCTGATGGGCAACCTAATTTTTGCCTAATAGGTTACCCACTGGGCAACCTGGTTCAAAAAATTATTTTGTACACTGCTTCTTTGACTTACCCCAGGACATACATTGTACATGTATGGTTACATTGTAGCTTGACAAGGTGTGCATTTTGGCTGAAAATTCATGGTGTTTCATTTGTGTTGGAACAAAGCTAAGATTTTACAACTCTGGATTCCACCAATTTACATGTACAGTTGAGCTTTGATTCATTTGTACATGTTTTGCCACTTGCTCTAATGTACATGTATTCTGTCAACTGAATGCCCAATGATAACAATTGTTAAAATGCTGATACAGAAATTTAAAAGTTATCTTTTGAAGGTATGAAGTCAATGTAAGTTGTCATTATGACATGATAATCTCTCTACAGTACAATCTAATCTTACCCTGGACAGTTTGGCGATAGTTGCTTGATGACGCTATTGGTCTCTTCCTCCTGAATTTAGCGCAGAACTCGTCATCTCCAGACATCTCACAGCACCAGTTTTGAGGCAAGTAGTCATTTTTGTAGTAGCTGCTATTAGTGTTCATATCCTAGAAGGCAAAATACATTATTCTTGACTATCAATGTGCCATCACCATTATACAAAGTACATTGTACATGTAAGTGTGATATGTTACAACTTTTAACCACTGGTTTCAACAGTCACTGTGATAACCAATGGATTTGTTAGAGAAAAGTCAAGTGTTGAAGCACAGATCAAATTTTTGTTACATGTACATTTGTATCATTTTGATTCAAATTTTAATAAAGCATGACAGAATGACTATGGATTTCACTGCACATTCAAGCTAATTGTAGAGGATGATATACATTTTGTATGTCATGTACACTGTGCTGCCAGTGGCTCATTGGGAAATTTTCAGTCCTGTACGTTGTTAGCCATTAAATTCTATGTAGCATTTAGATTCCAGGTAGTAAGATTGATCATACATGTACATACCTTCCTGTATCTATGCAGGAACCCAGCTCCCGACCCATATCTGCTGACAGAGTCGATCAGGGCTCCACGGTTGTCATAGCAACACTCGTAGTTACCACCTGACCAGAGAACACAAAGGATTGCAGGTAATGTACATTGTCATACAAAATAACTTCATACATTGTAAGACAATATTAGTACAGACATACAGGGCACTAAACAGGCACTTTAAAATAATGCCTCCCTTAAAAGGAGGCCACAAAATAATTGAAAATAATACATGTAAATACCCAGCAGATATTGACACTAAAAATGTTAAATTGCTGACAGATTCTCAAGTTGTCTTAGGATGCATAAGTATGTCACTGCTTTTGTGTTTGCTCTTATTACTTATACATGTAAATATGAAGTTGACTTTTGATATGTACCGGATAATGTGTAGGTTATAGGGCGCAATTCAGTCTAACCAGGCCCACAAATCCCTTGGCTAATAAAACTTGACTTGACAAACCCTTACAAAGATGTTTTATGGAAGACAAGTTAACTATATACTGTCAGTCAAGTACATGTAAATCAACCAACCTGTGGATAAGGCAAAGGCCTTGGAAAAGCAGTTGGCGCTTGTTAAAACCCAGCGGCCAGCCTCAGCCTGCGCTTGTCTGAAATACCTCGGACATGTTCCGATCAGGTTAGAGGCATACTCGGATACATCCGGCTCATCCTAAACAAGAAATGAAAAAGACCATCTTTTGATTTGCAATTAAATGATAACAAAAGTACCAATACCTTAATCAACGGTTTTCAAAGGAATGGTGATATCAAATACAAAATCAACCATTATTATAATACTCATATGATAATGCAACATAGAATTTTGAGCTTCCTGGAATCATGTTGCTGGCTACTCAACTAATACACATTACAATTTAACAATCATACTAATAATATACATGTAGCAGACTTGGTATTGAAGAACTCAATGATAGTCTGGTCTAATGTCCTGTCTTATCGTGGTTTGAGATGGTTTTCTTTGGGCATGTAGATGATCGCAGCTGCCCAGTTCAACTAGGCCTCGAAGGTTTTGGATGACAAGAGTTTAGAATCAGCCCAAGACAACGTCATGCAAAATCTACCAGGGAGCTTAGTTGCACTGGGCGGCTGGAATCATCTACAAGATAAGACTGGACATCAGGCTATCTCAGTGATGGAAAAATAACTGTTCTGTATACTAACCCTTGCCCAGTTGTCACACGCAAGCTTGGGATTGATGTAGTCATCTCCATTGTTGTCCACCTGGTAGAAAATCTGTCCCCGTTTTCCAGTTGTCGGACTGACTTTCTGGCTCATACGATACGCATTGACGTCGTTGTTACTGAAGCTCCACCAAGCCGAGTTGGGGTCCTCTATAGCGTAAGAACTGCTTGCTGTCCTGACCATATAGCCTATCCTCGCGGGGTAGCCATCGCGGTAATAGACAAGGAGAGGCAAGACTGGGATCCATGTCATGTATCTGTCTCTGTACCGGTACATGATATAGGTGTGGTAGTAGTCAGTAGCCACAACTGCTTGAAATGTGTTCTCCTGTGTAGAGTGTGAAAGGGTAACAGTACATGTAAGTACAAAACATATAGTGTTTGACATGATACACAGAACGATGTCAATTGTTATAGTATACGTAGGCATCCTTCAATCTCGAAAGATGATGGTACAACACTAGTCTATACATATAGCTAGGTCTGGTTTTGTGGCAGTGGGCAGCGTCTATCTTTGCAATGGCAGTTACAGCCAGAGTTTGGACACAGGAAATTTGAGATATTATGTGGTTGTGGTTTCTCTCTTAATCACTGGTGCATAGATCTAAAGAAGGTATAAAAGTAGGTACAGTGTAAAATAAACTATTGAAAGGCAGCACACATACAAGTAGCTGTAACAGTTGTATGTAAACCAGGTTTCTTAAATCATGATTGTCATTTTTGTTGCCCACCTTTTATCGTTTGTTCCTTTGCACAGTTAGAAAACACATGTTAGTTACAGTCATGAAATTGTCACAATGAAGTTTTTAAAAGCTGTTTCAGATTGTGAAAGGCTTTGTTACCTCAGTAGCGGCAGCTGCCCATGCAGGGACCATTCTTTGCCACGTTGCAATAAAGACGAAAGCAGCCGAGAAATTCCCAGTCGTGGAGTTGTTCCTTCGTATGGCAGAGTTTACTAACGCTGTCACAGTTTCATTTTCAGCAGTGTATGTATTGTACCAAACCTGTAACATACATGTACATATGAGAAAGCAGCATGTATTGGTAACAATAGAGCACATAATTTATCTCTTTATCTCTGGTGTGGCATAAAAATCTAAAGATTTTGCTCCCGTAGAAACACATTTAAAAAAAAAAGAATTAATTTCTCAAAGCCCACACATGAAGCAACCTACATGTATGATTCTTCTTTTTTAGCCACCCAAGATTTAAATCAAGTTGACCAAGACCCTAAACCAAATTCTAACTAGAAAGGTAACATTTTGCATAGCACATAATATACCTTCACATAGTCTAGCCCGGCCAACTACATTTTGTACTCTGTTTATTCTTACTCAAGCACATTCATATTGTATATGGTGACCAGCCCCTCCAACTCTGTCCTGTAACTTGCAACATACAGTGTAATGTAATCCAACACCACAGGTTGTCTGTTACAGCACCATATACTATGGTGACAGACATCTTGTCCAGGTCATTGACGTTGTGTTTGGAGAAGAAGAAGAAGAAACTGAACAAAAACATAATGTTTTCCTTCTGTGAATGTATGAAATACATGTACAACCAGATTACTACCTTTGGTGCCATTCCTGGTAGTAGTCCACTGAAGCGATTGTTTGCCCAGAATGGGGAAAATAATGCACAGATGTCCGTCTGTTTCCTCAACTCATCTTCTAACCTCCCCGGATTGCGCAGACTTGGAATTCCGTAGTAATTCTCACCATTCGTGGAAACAATGAGGCCATTCTCTGTGACCTGTATAACAATGTAGGTATGAAATAATACATGATTTAACGACTCTGCAGAGATGAGAACAGCAGAGGAAGATTTACATATATATGTATATATATATCTTTTCAAAAAAGAAACGTTGCCTCATTAGGCCATGTTGATTTGATTGTATGACTGTATGACATCCTCTGGGAACTCCAAAACTGATGCCTTGCCTTCATTTAATAATAATATGAAATCTACATAATTCTACACAAGAGTATGGTATGGCAAATAATAGACTCTTCATTTTTATCTATTCACATTTTCCTCTTGACCTTAAGAATTGTTCTGGCATTCTACAACATTAAGTATCATTTTCCAATATATTTTTTTTGCAATTTACGGCATATATATTTGCTCTTTGTATGACTTACAGTATGGTCGAAATTTTTTTGGATAAGGATGAAAATTCATGCGCGCATGCCATCCATATACAAAATGTAAGAAAAGAGTGTTGCCTCATGTACTGTATAATACTAAAGAATACTTTCAGCTGACAGAATTGTACAGAAGAAAGCCTTACACAAAGGTCACTGCAGAGACCCCCAGGAACTGGAAGTCCATAGGGGACTTTGATAGGAGCAGATATGGTCTCGCCATTCCCTGGTGTGGTGTCTAGTAGCTTGTCATTGGCGGCCTCACCAAAGGGAAACAACCTGTTTTCTGCAAGGAAGTATGAAAGATCATAGTATTATTAATTTATTGGTTTATGTAATATTTCAGTTTTTGGTCCTGATGTGACAAGTGCATTAAGTTTCTGCAACCATTGAATGATGTCAGGGCAAGATACAATCATTATGTGAAATTCATACACACACACGTCATACATTTTTTGTACACGCGCACACACGCACACACACACACATGCTCGCACACACGCAGCCACACACACATGCTCATCCACACACACACACACACACACACACACACGGATGCATGCACACACACACAAACACACACACGCACACAGCCACACACACGTGCTCATGTACATGCACGCACACACATACGTGTGCATGTACATTATTTTGTAGTCATGAATACGATTTAAAAATCAATGTACCTCTACACTGTCCTACAAAGCCAGTGCCTTGTGTGGAAGTGCTGTGGTATCCTGTGTTGCAGGTGCAGTTGTAGCTGCCTTCGGTGTTCACACAAGTTGCATGTGGGTCACAACGGTTCTTGGATTGCTCCTGGCACTCGTCAATGTCTTTGAGCAAAGGTGAAAGAAACATCAAGCATCAGTGTGAATTCAAAAGTGATGTATGACAAATTTCCCAACTCTTGCAGTATGATCATCATGATAATGCAGTAATGTGACCTAATATTCTTGGACTTGGAATAGGCACAATGAACAGAGAGGTTCACAGTATTTTTTCATTTATGCACAAATATGCAAGTTGCCCTCCCTCATACAAGCAACAAAAAACATTGATAATACATTTCAAACTCAACAAACTCAGCAATATATAAAAATGTACAGAACAGAATCTGATAATAAAAATTATGGTAGTATACATGTACATGTATATGACATGGAGTGTTGGCATTTGTTACAAATAGTTTGGCAAATAGTGAATCGGAAATCTGCAGTTTTGTACCTTCACACTCGTAGCCGTCTCCTTGGTAGCCAGGCTTGCACTTACAGGTGTAGTCTCCGATCGTATTTGTGCACGTGGCAAGGTCAGGCTCACAGTGGTCCATATCAAACGCACACTCGTCTATGTCTGCGGAAGAACAAAAAGTTGATCAAACGAAGTACTATAGCCTTCTTTCTTCATGCATACACGCACACATACATGTGTACACACACACACACACACACACACACACATGTGTACACACACACACACACATACATGTGTACACACACAGTCACACACACACACACACACATGTGTACACACACACACACACGTGTGTACACACACACACACACACACACACATACATGTGTACACACACACACACACACATATACATGTGTACACACACACACACTCACTATCCGGTTTCATCTTAAGTACTGCTAAGCCCAATTTACATTGAATTACTAGCAGCTGCACATGGGTTTAATACATATTAAGAAGATAGACACATACAACAAAATGGTTTGTGCCTGACATGTACAAAATGTACATGTCTTAACTTTTTTGGTTAATCAATGATAGTCAGATCCTCCTCATCTTGCAGATTTTACATTGTGAAACGTATGAGGCTATTCATTTAAAATGGCAATTATAGTATCCTACCCTGGCATCTGATGAACTCTGTGTCATTGTTACTGAGAATCATCTCGTAGCCATGGTCACAGTAGCAGTCGTAATCTCCGTTTATGAGAAAACAGTTTCCAGGTCCAGAGGTCTGGGAGCAACGGTCATCTTCAGGAGTGCACCAGTCAATATCTGCGAAATTGGCAACAGTTGATTTTTCATTAGCTTTGACCCCCAAAAAGCCAGAATCTGCATATTTTTTTATTATGGTTGCATCGTAACTGCACATCAGGAAAATTATTTCTTATTCCTTAGCTGTTGTTCGTAGGTAATGAACTAGCAGGTAGACCAGGGGTCGAAATAGATTTTGGGGCCAACTTGCACTGGTGTAGATAAAATGAAAAATACTTATAGGTACACAACCAAAAGTACATGTAGTAACTTTAATAGCATCCAATATTTGCTTACACTACCAACCTTACATGTATGTCAGTAAAGTGGATGAAGCAAACTGCACTGCTGTGCATACTGGCAAAAAATTAGCTGCATGACACCAAATTTACTTGCACCAAGTTGCACCTCACCTCACCGGTCCCATAGCAGTCTGTCCTGCTGTCGGGGCAACTAAACTGTCAACAAGATTGCACACAGAGGGGTATTTCGACCCCTGTAGACTAATCCAGTGGCTTCCCACTGGGAAACGTAGAGTGGGATGACCACATACTACACTTAGACTACACACGAAAGCCGAAACATGAACTTACATCCTTTTGGACAGTCTGGCAAGTTACAATCCCGTAATTCCACCGACGTTCCATTGCAGTAGCGACCGTTGCCCTGGGGAGGGGGGCTGTCACACTTCCGCGTACGAATCTGTGTTCCTTGTCCACAGGTCGACTGACAGTTACTCCAGGAGCTCCACTGGCCATACTGACCATCTAGTCAACAAACGAGCACAAAGAAGTTTAATTCTGAACCAGTTTTATCAGGTGAACATGTCTCCTCCACCAATTTACTTAACTACATAAACACAATAAATACATGTATGTAAACTATAAAGTTAAATTATATATTAATATATAGAAATTCAATATAGTATTCATTGCTTATATTGATCTTACCTATCACACGTGTCTCACAATTGTCGCCAGTGTAGTACACTGAGCATCTGAAACAGCATTAAACAAACAAGGCCCTGGTTTGTTCATACATAATTGTAAAATGTACATTTGAAGCTATGATAAAAGTCTGGCTGAACCTTAATTGCAGGCTTCCATAACAACATATCTTTGCAAGGAAAAAAATGACTTGCAAACTGAATTACCAGTATTGATAATCCAAGACGCATTTGAAATATTTAGCATTTGTTAAAGTTACAGCAAATTTGACTGAGTTTGTAAGCATAACAATCAACCAAAATAACAAGGTGGCATCGGCGTTCAAGCAATATTTATGTGAACAACTCAATACTGGCATTAACTCACCCGCAAGTTGTTGATGAGTTGACAACTTGACAGTTTCCCCCATTGGAGCAATAGCTTGAATAGCATATCTCTGTAATTAAGGTACAAATGAAAATAATTATCATTCATACAAATGTAACAGTTATTATGCACTGTACAAAGTTCAGAGTGAGATCCAATCATCACAAGAGGAAAGCAACAACAGATTGAAAGTGGGGATTGTATTGAATATTTAGACAAACAAAATTTAATGTATATTTCGTATTATGAAGCAGGTACAACCAAGGAGGTTAAATACCTTGTATTTAACCTCCTTGACAACTGTACAACTGTAATTTTGCAACATAAGAAATTGGACTTATTTCAACTGTACCACTCCAGTCTTTGTCAAGGAATGAGCAATCCACAGCTTCTGTGACATGTAAGATTTTGCCCTACATCCCTCAACAAAGATGGGGGACGCCACAGGCTTTCTGCAACCTATGATCCGCTGCTCACTGAGTCACGTGTGTCACAATAGTTTACTATCAACACAGTTAAACTTTCAATAGTTAACTACCTTGAAAATTTATCTGAGTGTGTTCTTAGACTTCAGTCATAATGAAGCCAGTTTGAACTGTCCTTGTAACATAAGGTATTGGGCTGTGCAACTCCGGTCTTTGTCAAGGAATGAACAATCCACCACTTCTGTAACATCACATTATGCAGATGACACACATGACTTGGTAAGTTGAGTGGTCATAGGTTGCTGAAAGTCTGTGTTGCGCCCCCTGTCTTTGTTGAGAGATCGCAATACAGTACCCTGATGTAGCATATACAATTTCTGTAACACCATCTGACTACTATAGTATTAGTATTTCCTGTTATTGCTTATTGCTGACCTGTTGTGTTGACATCCAGGCTGATGCCAACAGAAGAGATGAAAGCGGCTTCCAGGACATCGTAGGTGATTCCAGCTGCCGGGTCAGCGGTGACAGTCAGTTGTGCTATCAAACTACCACTCGAAAACCCTGTTACAGTCACCGAGTACATGTGGGCAGCAACGGAGCTGTCAGAATAGATCTCTGTCACCTGTAGAAAACAGCAATCAATCAATCAAACTGCAAGCATCAGGGCAGATGCATGGTGGCTGCAGACATGTCCCTCCAGGATGTTCTGTTATACATGTAGCAATGCAGAACCCTTCATTAGGCCACACCAATTTAATTTCTTGGTTAACGGTTCATTTTTTCTGATTTGCAAATAAAACTAAAAATTCAGAATCAACTGCAAAATGCTCATATTTTGCCCTGAACAGTTGAAAACAGTCATTTTCTTCCTAGTTGTTACAGTTATTCCATCTTTCAATGCAATGGTATCATTAAAAGTTCAAAATTCATTGTAACAGTTTAAATTTTGAACCAGTCTGGTGTGTTTACTTCATGGCTCCTATCCTACCATTTTGGGCCATAATAGGATGCCTAGGCCTGTTTTTATTTTTTTTCGCCCACCTGCTCCATTCTACAAAAATTCGTTAACCAAGAAATTAAATTGGTGTGGCCTTATATTGTTTCATATTATAGAGTTTAATTTGGGACATCCAATTTAATTTGGGACTGACCTCCCATATCTGAGCAACCTTACACCCAGATGGGCTAATATCGCAAACTATTGAATAATAGGTGAAAATGATAAAAAGAAATACGTAGCAGCCATTGATGATCCTTGGGATTAGTCATATCATAGGTAATTATGCATGATTATGCATAATTATGCATGAGGCTTTGAAAGGTTATACATGGTTATGCGTAATTATGCATAACCCTTGGAACTATATGCATAATCAAGGGATAACTGTTATGCATAATGATATCAAGTACATGTAATACTTCCTACATTTATGCAAAATTGTTCATAAGGCTTGAAGTTCATAAAGCATAGCAATTGGGAACCTTATGCATAAATATCATATATAACCCTAGATCTTTTGCATAATTAGATTTGCATAATTTTGCATAATTGTGCTTACTTAGATTAATCCCTAGGGGGGCATCAATGGACGCTACATACATGTATTTCTTACATCATTTTTAGCTATAAACTGATAAAAAATTTATTATATTTAAAAGGATGGACGCACTGTAGTTTCCAGTTGTGCCTTCGTTGCCACAAAGTCATCAGACGTACAGTCTGCCAGTGTAGCGCTGTACGTCAAACCTGTGAATCTCACAGATTGGGAAAAACCTCTGGAATCTGGAAGCAGATGATAGTAAGCGTTAGACTTCTGTAGTCAAAGCATGCAAAATAATACAGAGATGATCTTAGTCTATTTCAATCATACATGACATTGTAAAGCTTTTCAGGTTCAAATGTGTGACGTTTGATAGAAAAACCTACTCACCGAGCTCGCATGTTGTTCCATTGCCAGTAAACCCCTTTCTACACAGACAAGTGCCATTGGACAGAGCGTCTGCATGCTCGTCACAACCTGAGTTACAAAGTTTGGGGGCTGTCGTCATCACTGTTGTGGTAGTTTGTGTCGTAATCTGCGGTGTTGTGACTACTGTTGTTGTGGCAGGTGTTGTAGTTGTCATTTGGGCTGTAACTTGTGGAGTTGTTACAGTCGTTGGAGCTTGGGTTGTAACTTTCTGTGTGGTGGTAGGAGCACCTGTTGTTTGGGTTGTAACCAGTGGTGTTGTAACTTTCATTGTGGTGGCAGTTGTTGTTCTCACTGTTGTAGGTTCAGTTGTCATTTGGGTTGTAATTTTCTGGGTTGTTATCCTTGTTGTTGGTAAAGTTGTTGTTTGGGTTGTCACTACAGGTGTTGTCTTAGCTGTAGTTATAAAAGTTGTATCTTTCTGCGTTGTTGTCGGAGCACTTGTTGTTTGAGTTGTAGTGGCAGTTGTTGTCCTTGCTGTTGTAGGGCCAGTTGTCATTTGGGTTGTAATTGGTGGGGTTGTCATCCCTGGTGTTGTTGGAACAGTTGTTGTTTGGGTTGTCGGCTTAGGTGTGGTCACAGCTGAGGTTACCACAGTTGTAACTTTCTCTATTGTTGTAGGAGCACTTGTTGCTTGGGTTGTAATCTGCGGTGTTGTCACTTTTGCTGTTGTAGAAATCGTTGTTTGACGAGTTGTTACTTTTGGTGTTGTAGCAGCTGTTGTCACCAAGGTTGTAGCCTCTGTTGTTGGAACCGTAGTAACACGGGTTGTTGCTTCTGTGGTGGCATCTTCTGTTGTAGGAAGGACTGTTGTAACGTCTTCTGTGGTGACAGATTAAAAAAAAGGAAGAAATTGAGATTAATGTGAGCTTGGCCTTGGCTTTGAGATCACATCTGTTTAGTGTTGTATTTTGTGATGGAATAGCCCTAATGTTAGTCCTCATTTTAACGGAAAACACGACAACATAAATATCATGTGCATATTGGTGATGTTGAAATAAAAACAAGGCTAGAACAGAAGTTTACCTGTTGTGTATTCCTCTGTGATTGTCGTAGGAGCACTTGTTGCTTGGGTTGTAACCTGCGGCGTTGTCACCTTTGCTGTTGTAGAAATCGTTGTTTCAGGAGTTGTTACTTTTGGAGTTGTAGCAGCTGTAGTCAGAACAGTTGAGGTCTGTGATGTTGTAGCAGCTGTTGTCACCAAGGTTGTATCCTTTGTTGTTCGAACTGTAGTAACGCGAGTTGTTGCTTCTGTTGTGGCATCTTCTGTTGTTGGAATGACTGTTGAAGGACCTTCTGTGGTGACAGATTTTTTAAAAAAAGGAAGAAAGTGAGATTAATGTGAACTTCGCCATGGCTCTGATATCACGTTTGTCTAGTGTTTTACAAATGTAGATTGTGATGGAATAGTCATTTTGAGGGAAAAAACATGACAACATTTACATATTACAATGATTTAATTTTATGAATGACATCCACGCGCACATTGATTTTTGCCTGTTCTCAAAAAAAAAAAAAAAAAAAGATCTCCTCCGACGAGGCTCTGGCCAGGGTGCCATCCTCCAAAGTCCATGGTAGCTAGCATAGCAACAAGAGGGAGCCAGCAGTAACTACACAAGATGACACGCAAGCTGCCAAAGTTCCACGGAACTCAAGACCTCAGTACAGTGCAGACGCATAAATGCTACAAAGGCATATGCAGGCTTGTCATAAAATTCATTACATACTACCGTAAATTTACAGTACCAGCTTTGTGACCAATGGCAGCATTTTTTTATGGCAGGAATTTTTTTATTTGCCCATTCGCACTTGTTTTTTTTTTTTGGGGGGGGGTTCTTCTGAGGATGTAATCCATAAAATTAAGTCAGTGTGGCCTAAGGTCCCTACCATGTTAGTGATGTTGAAATAAAAACATGGTAAGAACAGAAGGCTACCTGTTGTATATTCCTCTGTAGTTGTAGGAACACTTGTTGCTTGGGTTGTAACCTGCGGTGTTGTCACCTTTGCTGTTGTAGAAATCGTTGTTTCAGGAGTTGTTACTTTTGGAGTTGTAGCAGCTGTAGTCAGAACAGTTGTATCCTCTGTTACTAGAGCAGTTGAGGCCTGTGGTGTTGTAGCAGCTGTTGTCACCAGGGTTGTATCCTCTGTTGTTGGAACTGTTGTAATGCGGGTTGTTGGAATGGCTGTTGTTGTAACAGTGGTGTCCATTTCTGTCGTTATGCGTGTTGCTTCTGTTGTGACATGAAGAGTTGTAGGCTCAACAGTGGTGTCCATCTCTGTTGTTGTCTTCTGTTGTTACATCTGTTGTGCTGGTTGTTGTTATTTGAGTAGTTGTTGTTGCATCAGTGGTGCCCATTTCTGTTGTCATGTGTGTTGTTTCTTTTGTGACCTGAATAGTTCTAGGCTCAACAGTGGTGTCCATCTTTGTTGTTTCTTCTGTTGTTACATCTGTTGTACTGGTTGTTGTCATTTGAGTAGTTGTTGTTGCATCAGTGGTGCCCATTTCTGTTGTTTTGCGTGTTGCTTCTGTTGTGACATGAAGAGTTGTAGGCTCAACAGTGGTGTCCATCTCTGTTGTTGCCTCTGTTGTTACATCTGTTGTTGTACTGGTTGTTGTGATGCGAGGGGTTGTAGGCTCAACAGTGGTGTCCAATTCTGTTGTTGTCTCTGTTGTTACATCTGTTGTTGTGCTGGTTGTTGTGATGCGAGGGGTTGTGGGCTCAACAGTGGTGTCCAATTCTGTTGTTGCCTCTGTTGTTCTGATTGTTGTTGAGGCTGTGGTTGTTTCTGTTGCGGTCTGAGGAGTTGTTGGTTTTGCTGTGGTGTCCATTTCCGTTGTTTGCACTGTTGTCACAAGTGAAAATGAGATCATTAATAACGTAACGTGTTTCTAGCCAATAAAACAATTGTGCTGTCATGAGAGGCAGATGCAAAGGGGCTGAATACTGTAAAATCCTCACACTGCATTGTTATTATGTGTTTAATGGGAAATGCAATCATTGATGAGACCATGTTGATTTCATTATATGGATTACATCCGCACAATGAATTTTCGTCCATTTCCCCAAAAAATGTTTGACCATGATGTAAATTGTACAAAGCACCTACAAAATGAGCATGCAAATATATGCCGTAAATTGCAAAAAATATATTGGAAAACGATACTAATGTCATAGAATGCCAAAATCATTTCTGAAGGCAAAGAAGAAAATGAGAATGAAGACTCTTATCATTTGCCATACCCATACTCTGTGCAGTTAGTCATTTGTTCAACATTCATGGCCAAGAAGATTTCATTTTCAACATGGCCTAAGGGGAAAATGTAATATTTCACAAGAGAAGGATAATTACCAGTACAACAAATTTAGTTATAATCTAAATGCAGTTTGTATAGAAGACTAACAATATCAATTAGTATTAAGAACAAGAGGGATACCTTCAGTTGTTGGCTGTATTGTTGTTGGCAGTATTGTTGTAGGCATTACTGTGACAATGCCCTCTGTGGTTGGTTCTGAAGTGCTGGATTTGCTGCTAGTGCTTGATGCAACAGTGATGTCCTTCTCTGTTGTTGCATCTGTTGTAATAGTTGTTGTTGTTGGAGATGAAGTTGTTTCTTTTGTGGCCTGAGTTGTAGGCTCAACTGTGGTGTCCATCTTTGTTGTTTGCTCTGTTGTTACATCTGTTGTAATAGTAGTTGTTGGAGATGAAGTTGTTTCTTTTGTGGTCTGAGTTGTAGGCTCAACTGTGGTGGCCACGTCTGTTGTTCGCTCTGTTGTTACATCTGTTGTAATAGTTGTTGTTGGAGATGAAGTTGTTTCTTTTGTGACCTGTGTTGTAGGTTCAACTGTAGTGACCACTTCTGTTGTTAGTTGCTCTGTTGTTACATCTGTTGTACTAGTTGTTGTTGGGGCTGCAGTTGTTTCTGTTGATACCAGAAGAGTTGTAGGTTCAACAGTATTGTCCACCATTGTTGTTGCCTCTGTTGTTACATCCGTTGTACTAGTTGTTGTTGAAGTAGAGGTTGTTGTTGCTGTTACTACAGGAGTTGTTGTTTTGACCATCTTAGTTGTTTGCTCTGTTGTTACATCAGTAGTGCTGACTGTTGTGCCCTTTGGTGTTGTAACTGTAGTTGTAGTCTGGGTTGTTCCTGCAGATGTTGTAACTACTGTGATAAAAGATCAAGGGAATGTGATGAAGTAAATTAGTTTTAATAAATTTGTATCTTCTAGTAGGGTACATACTGCAAAATCCTCACACACATTAAAACACTTTGAAAGATGCAAATACACCTAATACCAAGGTTAGTTTCACACTGGGGGGATGTAGAAGTCCAAAACCCATGTGAGCATCCAAGGAAGAAATGGATGGACAACATAAGGGAAGACTTTTTCCACCTTAACCTGCAGAACATCAAACCACAGGACAGAGGCAAATGGTGGGCTGACATCAAGGCTCAGCACCAGTGTGCATGCACATGTAACCCTTGGAGTGAGAGTGAGTTTCTCTTTTCCCATGGAATGGTTCATGCAACAGTTAGAAGTCCTCTTCTTTGTCCATACACATGGACTGTTGATGAAGTTTAGGCAGAAAGAAAAAAAGAGGGATGGTTTTTCATGCTGTGGAAATAACATGATGATGTGCAGCGGCAACCAGTTAGTATATGATTATATAGCTGCTGGGGAGGAATCGGGGATTATGAAATGAAGTCTGATGGAAAGAATGGAAGACTACCATCAGTTGGCAGTACTGTTGTTGGCAGCTTTGTTGTTGGCAGTATTGTTGATGGTGCCAATGTGCTTTGTTCCTCCGCAGAAGATGTTGTTTCTGTGGGAGTGGTTGTAGGCTCAGCTACACCTGTTGTGCTTGTTGATGTTGTAGGAACCAAAGTTGTTGTAATAAGAGAAGTTGTTGGTTGGGCTGTGGTGTCTGTCTTAACTGTTTGCTCTGTTGTTACATCTGCTGTGCTTGTTGTTGTTGGAGCCAAAGTCTTTTTTGCTGTGGTTAAAGGAGTTGTAGGCTTAAATGTCGTGAACATCGCTGTTGTTGGCTTTGTTGTTTCATCTGCTGTACTGGTTGTTGTTTGGGCTGATGTTGTTTCTGTTGTTACCAGAAGAGTTGTAGGAACAACTGTTTTGTGCATTTCCGTTGTCATAACTGTTGTTACATCCGTAGCGCTGACTGTTGGTTCTGTTGTTACATCTGTTGTACTGCTGGTTGTTGTTGTTGGAGCCAAGGTCTTTGTTGTCGTCATAAGAGGAGTTGTTGGTTGGGCTGTTGTGTCTATTTTCACTGTTGGCTCTGTTGTTATATCTGTTGTAATAGTTGTTGTTGGCGATGCTGTTGTTTCTTGTGTTGTAGGTTCAACTCTAGTGACCTGAGGAGTTGTAGGCCCAACTGTTGTGTCCATATCTGTTGTTATGACTGTTGTAACATCCGTAGTGCTGACTGTTGGTTCTGTTGTTACATCTGTTGTGCTGCTAGTTATTGTTGTTGGAGCCAAGGTCTTTGTTGTTGTCATAAGAGGAGTTGTTGGTTTTGCTGTTGTGTCCATTTTCACTGTTGGCTCTGTTGTTACGTCTGTTGTGCTGGTTGTTGTTTGTGCTGATGTTGTTTCTGTTGTTACCAGAAGAGTTGTAGGCCAAACTGTGGCACCCATCTGTGTTGTTGCCTCTGGTGGTACATCTGTTGTAATAGTTGTTGTTGTTGGAGATGAAGTTGTTTGCTTTGTGTCCTGAGTTGTAGGCTCAACTGTTGTGTCCATTTCTGTTGTTATGACTGTTGTTACATCTGTAGTGCTGGTTGTTGTAATCTCAGGAGTTGCTGTAGCAACAGTGGTGTCCATTTCTGTTGTCATGTGTGTTGTTTCTTTTGTGACCTGAAGAGTTGTAGGCTCAACAGTGGTGTCCATCTTTGTTGTTGCCTGTTGTTACCTGAGTTGTAGGCTCAACTGTTGTGTCCATTTCCGTTGTTATGGCTGCTGTCACATCTGTAGTGCTGATTGTTGTTTCGGCTGACGTTGTTTCTGTTGTTACCAGAAGAGTTGTAGGCCAAACTGTTTTGTCCATTCCCATTGTCATAACTGTTGTTACATCCGTAGTGCTGACTGTTGGCTCTGTTGTTACATCTGTTGTTCTGCTGGTTGTTGTTGTTGTTTTTGTTGTAGGGGCCAAGGTCTTTGTTGTTGTCATAAGAGGAGTTGTTGGTTCGGCTGTTGTGTCTATTTTCATTGTTGCTTCTGTTGTTACATCTGTTGTGCTGGTTGTTGTTGTAATCTCAGGAGTTGTTGTTGCAACAGTGGTGTCCATTTCTGTTGTCATGTGTGTTGTTTCTTTTGTGACCTGAAGAGTTGTGGGCTCAACAGTGGTGTCCATCTTTGTTGCTGCCTCTGTTGTTACCTGAGTTGTAGGCTCAACTGTTGTGTCCATTTCCGTTGTTATGACTGTTGTTACATCTGTAGTGCTGATTGTTGTTTCGGCTGACGTTGTTTCTGTTGTTACCAGAAGTTGTTTGGGCTGATGTTGTTTCTTCTGTGATCTGAATAGTTGTAGGCCAAACTGTTTTGTCCATTTCCGTTGTCATAACGGTTGTTACACCCGTAGTGCTGAATGTTGGCTCTGTTGTTACATCTGTTGTACTAGTTGTGACTTTAGTTGTTAGAACTGTTGGAGTGTGTGCTGTTGTGTCTGCTGTGATGAGACATCAAAGACATTTAAGATGACAATGAAATTAGCAAGTCACAAATGGCATTTGGCCTGGCTCAGAAATGCATGCTTGACTGAAGCTTGATGTGAAAACTCTGTATAAATGAATGAATGAATGAATGAAGATTCAATAAACATGTCCTGCGACTACACGCCGCCCAGCACATATGGGCTTATCTAGAGACTCCGACAAAAGACAACATCATAATACACACTGTATATACAAGGTCAAATCAAATTAAATCATAAGGAAACATAAGTGGAGGATACATGTATATAGATTAGGTGGTAGTGTGCATAATACAGAGATTTCAATTCAAATACGACATATTAAGTATAACAATGTTTTTTATTACCTTCTGTTGTCGGTAGGATGGTTGTCTGACCAGATGTAACATCGGCTTCATCTGTGGTAGGGATCAGGGTCTTCGTCTGCACTTCAGATGTCTGTGCCTCTGTCACACCTTTCGTAGTTTTGACAGTAGTAATCGGCTCCTGGGAAGAGGACAATACAGATGTAGGTTGATAAGGGGCTGTTGTAGTGTAAATGGCTGTGGTTGTGTGTTCTGTTGTAGAACGTTTGGTAGTATGAATTGTGGATGTGGTCTTTGGCAGTGTAGACCAATTTGTTATGGACCCTGTAGTCTCCGTCTCTCCTGTTGCAGTAGCTTCTCTTGATGTAGTCATTGGCCTGGTTGTAGCTCCGTCCATTATTGAAGTTCCAGCGGTCGTGGCCATAGTTGTTCTTTGACTTGTGATGACTGGTGCTGTAGTCTCTGGTTTGGCTGTAGTCTCTGTTGACATGTGGTCAGTTGCTGATGCGAGTACTGTTGTCATCTTTTCAGTAGTTGAAGGTGGTTGAGTGGCTCTGTCAGACTGGGTAGTGTCTGATAATGTTGTTCTTTTTGTTGTAGTGTCAGTTGTACTTTGATGTGTTGTCACTGATGCAGTTGTTCTTTCAGGACTGGAGACAGCTGAGGTGGTGAAGGCCATTGTTACCTGCAAAAGACGGAAAATATTTCTGACTTTTGCTGAGTTGTCTTGCAAACAAACACAGTTTTAAGCTGGTGTGTTACGCCGAAAGGCGGTTATACCGGCTATACAGATACAGTGCTGAAATGCCATCAGAAAGGTGACCACATCAAAGTTTATACCCGTTGTATTTTCACCAAAGCAAGGTCTTTAATATGGTTTGATATGGTTTTTCTCCTCCACCAAGTATGTGCAATTATCTTGGGTGAAGAGGTTATAAGTGTGAAAAACTCTGTGCCTGTGCTGAAAAATGAAATCTTTAAATATTTGTGAGTCAGAGTAATGAATTTCACTCACCAGAGCAGCGAGAATATGGATTATAGGACTATGAATGTAAAGAGAGTAATAGGTCTTGTATGGTTATCAATCAATTGGACAGCACATTAAAAGTCTAGTAAAAATGTATTTTACAACACAGCAAACAGACCAGAGCTTTAATTAGTACCGCCAGGTTTTTACCTGTGTGTAAATTGTGACATACACAAACATTGACTTCAATATTCAGTATGGCTGAACATAATTTATTAATTAGATATCCTACCTCTGTTGTAGCCTTGAATGTTGTGGTTGGTGATGCTGGTAGCGTGGTGGCTGGTGTTCTTGAAATGACTGAAATCAATGAAGACAGAGAAAAATGATTATCTTGAACATTCCAGGTAATATTTAATGTCTTATTGAATACAATACACAGGGATTATGAACATAATGATTTCAACATATGACAGGAACACAGTAGATGTAATGTTAAGGTGGCAAGGTGGTCTTGTAGTTAGGGTTCTTGACTTAGACCTTAAAGACTAGGGGTTCAAATCCCTGAATTGCAGGCTCCAATGCTGTAGGAAAGGTACTGTGTAACTATTTTTCCTCATTCGACACAGGTGAAAACAAGCAACATATTTTAGTAAGGGACGTCCTCCCAGGATGTTAAGTTGGAGGCTCCGTGTTTGAGAAGAGCCACACCTCTCATTATCCCACCACAATAGTAGTCTATCCGAGTGTGAGTGGATCAAACCTTAAAGTCTGGTCTTACTGTACTTACTGTATAAAACTAGCTGGTGTGTTACACCGAAAGATGGCTTACTAGTTATGCAAAATTAACAAATTTTACAGGGCAGAGTTTTATCTAAAAATCAGCCAAACTGTAGGTTGATGTTATAAGGAACTGACCAGTTGCGTTGACTTCCAAGTCTTCACCAAGAGATGACTTCAAAGCTGTGGACAGTTGTTCAGCAGTAATCCCAGCTTCTGGGTTGGTGGTGGTAGTCGTACTCACCACCAGACTACCGCTTGAAAATCCAGAAATGGTCACCGAGTACACATCATCAGCAAGGGAGCTTGCAGAAAAGGCCTCTGTTATCTGGTGGTAAAAATACATGTAGAACAGCAAATCAAGACCCCATAGTATTACAACAAATACTGCAAATTTGCAATTTAAGCTTGCACTTTTAAAATTTTTTGAGATCCTTGCACTAAGTCTTATGGTACAAATACCACTGTGACACTATAATACAGAGAAAGGGAACTTCTGGTTTTAATGTAGTCTATTATATATTATAAGTTATTAGACTAAAACAGAGCACCCACTGTTGCTTCTATTTCATCCTTGGCTCCCACAAAGTCATCAGAGTTGCAGTCTGCCAGCGTAGCGCTGTATGCTTTGTCTTTGAATTTCACCGACATGGAGAAACCGGTGGAAACTGAAAGGCAGATGTAAAACATTTTAGAACATCTTAGTGAAATATTCTCACATTCAAAAAGATGGGCAACGTTTATGATGAACCAGAGCACCAACTAGACCATCAATATGAACCAGCACAAAACAGTCACCAACAATTACCAACACAGATGAAGTTTAAAGATTAGACCATCAATACTTTGACAATGGACTTCTCAAATGTTGGTAATAAGAATTCTGTGTGTACTATATAATCTAGTTGAGAATAAAGACTGTGTAATGTCATTTAGGCCACACCGACTTAATTTATGGATGACATCCGCGCGCGCATTGATTTTCGCCTGTCAGCCTAAAAAAAAAAAAGATTACGTCCACCGAGGCTCTGGCCTGGCTCTAGGCCTGGGTAGTCCATGGTAGTTAGCGACAATACGGAAGCCGAAGCACCCAGGCTATCGAATTCGAAGCTCCATGACTCAAGAACTCAGTACATACGTACAGTGCCGATTCATAAATTCCGCAAAAAGCCAGCATGTGCCGGCTTGCCGTATACTAGTATGTCGCTAAGTACTGCCGCGAATTCACAATACCAGCTTTGTATTCCTTTGGTTTAATAGCATTTTTATTTTTGCCCGGAATTTTTTTTTATTCGCCCGCGCGCACTAGTTTGGGGGTCTTCAGAGGATGTCATCCATAAAATTAAATTGGTGTGGCCTTAGGTTCTTACCTAGCTCGCATGTTGTTCCATCTCCACTAAACCCCTTTTTGCACTGGCAAGTGCCATTCGACAGGGCTTCTGCATTCTGGTCACAACCCGAGTTACAAACTTCGGGGGTTGTTGTCATCACTGTTGTTGTGGTCCTGGGAGCTGTAGAAGTCTGTGATGTAGAATGAACTGTTGTAGCAGCTGCTGTCCTCGTTGTAGGGCCAGTGGTCACTCGGGTTGTATGCTGTGGGGTTGTAGCAACTGCAGTTGTATCTTTCTCTGTTGTCAGCACAGTTGAGGTGTGGGTCGTTGCTTGTTTTTTTGTTGCTGCTGTTGCCACTACAGTTGTTCCAATCTCTGTTGATTTAACTTTAGTCGGTCGAGTTGCTATCTGTGGAGTTGCAGCAGTTGTAGAAACTGCAGTTGTATCTTTCTCTGTTGTCAGAACAGTTGAGACCTGGGTCGTTGCTTGTGGCGTTGTAGCAGCTGCTATCACCACGGCTGTGCTTGGAACTGTATCGGCTTGTGTTGTTACTTGTGGTGCTGTAGCAGTTGTAGTTGCGACAGTTGTACCTTCCTTTGTTGTTGGGAGTGTAGTGGATTGGGTTATTGCTTGTGGCATCGTTGCAGCTGCAGTCACCGCTGTTGTTTCCCTCTCTGTCGTTGGAACTGTAGTGGTTCGAATTGTTACCCGTGGTGTTGTAACAGCTGTAGTCATCAAAGTTGTATCCTTCTCTGGCGTTGATACTGTAGTGGGTTGAGTTGTTACTTGCGGGTTTGGAGCAGTTGATGTCAACAGCGTTGTTTTCTGCTCTGTTGTAGGAACTGTAGTAGCCCCCGTTGTTACTGGGGCTGTTGTCACCACAGTTGTTTCCCTCTCTGAGGTTGGAACTTTAGAGGTTTGGGTTATTGCCTGTGGTGTTGTAGCAGTTGTAGTCATCAAAGTTGTATCTGGTGTTGAAGTTGTAGTGGATGGAGTTGTTACTTTTGTTGTACTCAACGGCGTTGTTTTCTTCTCTGTTGTAACTCGCGTTGTTACTTGGGGCGTTGTAGCAGCTGCAGTCACTACAGTTGTCTCCGTCTCTGAGGTTGGAACTTTAAAAGTTTGAGTTGGTCTCTGTGTTGCTGTCGTCACTGTAGAGGATTGAGTTGTTACTTGCGGGTTTGGAGCAGTTGTAGTCAACAGCGTTGTTTTCTCTGTTGTACGAACTGCAGTAGCCCCCGTTGTTACTCGGGGTGTTGTCACCACAGTTGTTTCCCTCTCTGATGTTGGAACTGTAGAGGTTTGGGTTGTTGTCTGTGGTGGTGTAGCAGTTGTAGTCGCCACAGTTGTGTATTTCCCGGTTGTTATTCGGGGTTTTGTCACCACAGTTGTTTCCCCCTCTGATGTTGGAACTGTAGAGGTTTGGGTTGTTGGCTTTGGTGTTGTAGCAGTTGTAGTCGCCACAGTTGTTTCCTTCTCTGTTGTCAGAACAGTTGAAGTCTGGGTCGTTGCCTGGGGCATTGTTGTCTCTATTGTAGCAAGTACAGTGAATTCTGTTGTCACCTGTGGTGTCGTAGAATCTGTAGTCGCCAAAGTTGTATCCTTCGCTGTTGTAGAAACTGTAGTAGTTTGAGCTGTTACTTGTGTGGTTGTAGCAGCTGTAGTCACCAAAGTTGTATCCTCTGTTGTATGAACTGTAGAGGTTTGCGGTGTTACTTCTGGTGTTGTAGCAGCTGTAGTCACGGCAGCTGATGCCGTCTCTGTTGTCAGAACAGTTGGGGTCTGTGGCGTAGCTTGTGGTGTCGTAGTAGCCGCAGTCGCCACTTTTGTCCCCGTCTCTGGTGTTGTAACTTCATTACTTCGGGTTGTTACTTCTGGTGTTGTAGCAGCTGTAGTCACCACAGTTGTATCTTGCTTTGTTGTACCTTGACTTGTAGCTGGCGCAGTACTTATTTCAGGTGTGGCTGTGTCCATGGTACTGAGAGATACCTTTGCCTGCAAATTGTAGAAAATGTTTATGATTTTGTTCCTATTGTTTTAGAATGAGAAAATTGATTAGTCTAGGCCTTTAACATATTCAAATGAAACCTTAGTGAAGGTCTGTACAATTTGTTTTCTAAAATCTTACCTCCTTTGTTGTCTGGAGTGTAGTGGTTGGTGTTGCCTGACTGGAAGGCGCGCCAGTGGAGATTTCCGTCGCTGTTTGAGGTGACGTTTCTGTCGTCGTGATTTCAGCGGCGGAAGTAATTTGTCCGTCTGTTGTCATGTCGGTGGAGACGCCCGTGGTAGAAGATGTCGATTGCTGCGTTGTTGTGCTTTGCCGCGTTGTCACTATGTTCGTTGTAGCTGTGTACATATCTGTACTTGGAACTGTATCCGCCTGTGTTGTTTCTTGTGGTGTTGTCGCAGTCGTAGTCGCCACAGTTGTATCTTTCTCTGGTGTTGAAACTGTAGTGGGTTGAGTTGTTACTTGTGGTTTTGCAACAGTTGTAGTCAACAGAGTTGTTTTCGTCTCTGTTGTAGGAACTGTAGCAGCTCCCGTTGTTACTCCGGCTGTTGTCACCACAGTTGTTTTCCTCTCTGCGGTTGGAACTTTTGAGGTTTGGGTTGTTGCCTGTGGTGTTGTATTAACTGTTGTCATCGCAGCTGTGCCTCCCTCGGTTGTTGAAGCTGTAGAGGATGGAGTTGTTACTCGTGGTGTTGTAGCAGCTGTTGTCGCCACAGTTGTTTCCCTCTCTGAGGTTGGAACTTTTGAGGTTTGAGTTGTTGCCTGTGGTTTCGTAGAAGCTGTTGTCATCACAGTTGTGCCTTCCTCGGTTGTTGAAGCTGTAGAGGATGGAGTTGTTACTCGTGGTGTTGTAACAGCTGTAGTCGCCACAGTTGTTTCCCTCTCTGAGGTTGGAACTTTAGAGGTTTGAGTTGTTGCCTGTGGTGTTGTATTAACTGTTGTCATCACAGCTGTGCCTTCCTCGGTTGTTGAAGCTGTAGAGAATGGAGTTGTTACACGTGGCGTTGTGGCAACCGTAGTCGCCACAGTTGTTCCCTTCTCTGTTGTCAGAACAGTTGAGGCATGGGTTGTTGCCGGGGGCATTGTTGTCTCTATTGTAGCAAGTACAGTGAATTGTGTTGTTACACGTGGTGTCGTAGAAGCTGTTGTCACCAAAGTTGTATCCTTCTTTGTTGTAGGAACTGTGGTTGCTTGAGTTGTTGCTTGTGAGGTTGTAGCAGATGTAGTGGCGGTAGCTGATGCCTTTTCTGTTGTCAGAACAGTTGGGGTCTGGGCTGTAGCTTGTGCTCTCGTTGTCCCCTTCTCTGATGTAACTTCAGTGGTTCGGGCTGTTACTTCTGGTGCCGTAGAAGCTGTTGTCACCAAAGTTGTATCTTTCTTTGTTGTAGGAACTGTGGTTGTTTGAGTTGTTACTTGTGAGGTTGTAGCAGTTGTAGTGGCGGCAGCTGAAGCCTTCTCTGTTGTCAGAACAGTTGGGGTCTCGGCCGTAGCTTGTGCTGTCGTTTCCCCATTCTCTGATGTTGTAACTTCAGTAGTTCTGGCTGTTACCCCTGGTGTTGTAGCAGCTGTAGTCACCACAGTTGTATCCTGCTTCGTTGTACCTTGACTTATTTCAGGTGTGGTTGTGTCCATGGTACTGAGAGATGCCGTTGCCTGCCAAGGGTAGAAAATGTTAATGATTTTGTTCCGTATTGATTTTAGAAGGAGAAAAGATTGATTAAACGGATTGTACTATTTCTTGTCTGAACTCTTACCTCCGTTGTTGTCTCGGGTGTAGTGGTTGGTGTTGCCTGACTGGAAGGCGCGCCAGTGGAAATTTCCGTCACTGTTTGAGGTGGCGTTCCTGTCGTGATTCCAGTGGCGGAAGTAGTGTGTCCGTCTGTCGTCATGCCGATGGAGACGTCCGTAGTAGAAGTCGATTGCTGCGTTGTTGTTGTGGCTCGTTGTGTTGTAACTATGTTCGTTGTAGCCCTTTCAGTTGTTGTCGTTTCGGTAGTGCTTATTTCTTCACTGGGCAAAACTGTGGAAAACTCTTCGGTTCTGTCTGGGGACGTCGTGGTTGGTCCTGCCGTTTTGTCTGTGGTTTTGTGCGGCGTTGTGAAGGTAATGTCAGTTGTCAAAGTGTCCGTCGTAGTTGTAGTTTGTCCGGTTGGTGCTGTTGTTCTCTCGGCTGTACTCGCAACCGATGTGCTGGAAGGAGCTGTCGTCTGAGGAGAGCAAGAAATATTGATTGCATGTTACTTCGAAAGCTAATGAGGTTATGATAATGATAAGGTAAGCACACACCTATTATACCCAACTACTCCAGAACTATATCGCAAAGTAAATACCAATACTCCGAATTTTCCCTTGCAAGGATTCTCATGGCTTGTATGACCTTCTTTAATCTTGCTCAACAGAATTTGTTACATTTCATGCTATAGATAAATTCAATTCTATAAGGCAACAAGCCTTATTGTATACGTGTGGAAAGTCTTACCTTTGATGTTGTCTGAGGTTCAGTGGTTGTTGATCCCTCAGTGGATGGGTTGAAGGTAGTAGGTATAAAGGTGGATATCCCCGTTGATGTGTCTGTGACTACGGTGGGGGTAGTTGTAGGTGATATTGTTGTCCGTTGTTCTGTTGTTGGTTGTTCTGTCCTTATGCTTTGAGTCGTAGATACTTCAGTTGAGGCTTGTGGAGATTCTGTTGTGGTTTCAGCCACTGCAGTTGTATGCGTTGTTTCCAACAGCGTTGTAGACCCTTGGGTTGTACGGGCTACTGATGTTGCCTGTGAAGGCGTCAAAGTTGGGGTTATGCCCCCTGTTGTATCCTGTTGTTCTGTTGTTCTTGAATATGTGGAAGTCCCCTGTGTACTTGTTTTGAGCATAGTTGTGGCTAGCTCTGTCGATGGTTCAAATTCTGTCATTGTTGTTGTTGTATGTTCTGTCGTAGTCTCATCTGTTGTGATTTTTTCTAAGGCTGTAGTTGATGATTCTGCCATTGTTGTTGTTGGTACATGATCAGGGGTAGAAATTATGTCTGACTGGGTGGTTTGTTCTGTAGTTGTTGATGATACCTCAGTAGAGGCCATGGTAGTTACCTCTTCTGTTGTATGTTCTGTCGAGGTCTCATCTGTTGTAACTAATTTCTAAGGTTGTAGTCATCTCTGTTGCTGGTTTTGTCGAAGCTTCGGTGGAAACCATGACAGTGGTGGGCATGACGGTGGGTATCTCAGTAGATGTGTCTGTATCTGTGACTTCAGTGATGGTAGTTTGTCGGGTTGAAGCCGACACTGTAGTTGCTGGAACTGTCCCTACTTCTGTTGTTGGTTCGTACGTCGTGACAGAAACAGTGGTCGGTCCTTCAGTCGTTTGGAGAAATTCTGTTGTGGTCTCATCAAGTTTAGTTGTGAACCTTGTGGTAGTTGGCTCTTCTGTTGTATGTTCTGTCGTAGGCTCATCTGTTGTAACTATTTCTAAGGTTGTAGTCATCTCTGTTACTGGTTCTGTCGAAGCCTCAGTGGAAACCATGACAGTGGCAGGCATGACGGTGGATATTTTCGTGGATGTGTCTGTATTTGTATTTGTGACTTGGGTTGTACTTGATGGTTCTGTCGAAGCCTCAGTGGAAACCATGACAGTGGTGGGTATGACTGTGGATATCTCAGTAGATGTGTCTGTATTTGTTACTTCAGTGAAGGTAGTTTGTCGAGTTGAAGCCGACACTGTAGTTGCTGGAACTGTCCCTACGTCTGTTGTTGGTTCGTACGTGGTGCTACTTTGAATGGTAGATCCTTCAGTCGTTTGGAGAAATTCTGTTGTGGTCTCATCAGGCTGAGTTGTGAGCCTTGTGATAGTTACCTCTTCTGTTGTATGTTCTGTCGTAGTCTCATCGGTTGTAGTTTCCTCTAAGGTTGTAGTCATCTCTGTTACTGGTTCTGTCGAAGTTTCGGTGGAAACCATGACAGTGGTGGGCATGACGGTGAATATTTTCGTGGGTATGTCTGTATTTGTATTTGTGACTTCAGTGAAGGTAGTTTGTCGAGTTGAAGCCGACACTGTAGTTGCTGGCCCTACTTCTGTTGTTGGTTCGTACGTCGTGCTACCTTGAATGATAGATCCTTCAGTCGTTTGGAGAAATTCTGTTGTGGTCTCATCAGGCTGAGTTGTGAGCCTTGTGATAGTTACCTCTTCTGTTGTATGTTCTGTCGTAGTCTCATCTGTTGTTATTTTCTCTACGGATGTAGTTATGTCTGTTGCAGGTTCTGTCGAAGCTTCGCTGGAAACCATGACAGTGGTAGGCATAACGGTGGATAGTTTCGTGGATATGTCTGTATCTGTGACTTCAGTGAAGGTAGTTTGTCGAGTTGAAGCCGACACTGTAGTTGTTGGAACTGTCCCTACTTCTGTTGTTGGTAGGTACGTCGTGACAACAGTGCTACCATGATTGGTAGATCCTTCAGTCGTTTGGAGAAATTCTGTTGTGGTCTCATCAGGTTGAGTTGTGCGCCTTGCGGTAGGTACCTCTTCTGTTGTATGTTCTGTTGTAGGCTCATCTGTTGTTATTTCTGCTAGAGTTGTACTTGATGGTTTTGCCATTGTTGTCCTTGGTACATGATCAGTGGTAGAAACTATGGTTGACTGGGTGGTTTGCTCTGAAGTTGTTGGTGATACCTGAGTAGAAGCCATGGTAGTTACATTTTCTTCTATTGTTGTATGTTGTATCGGTGTCTCCTGTGTTGTTATTTTTGATGTGGTTGTAGTTGATAGTTCTGTCGAAGCCTCAGTGGAAGCCATGGCAATGGTAGGCATGACGGTGGATATCTCAGTAGATGTGTCTGTATCTGTGACTTCAGTGAAGGTAGTCTGTCGAGATGAAGCCGACACTGTAGTTGTTGGAACTGTCCCTACTTCTGTTGTTGGTTCGTACGTCGTGACAAAAACAGTGGTCGGTCCTTCAGTCGTTTGGAGAAATTCTGTTGAGGTCTCATCAGGCTGAGTTGTGAGCCTTGTGGTAGTTGGCTCTTCTGTTGTATGTTCTGTCGTAGGCTGATCTGTTGTAATTGTTTCTAAGGTTGTAGTTGATGGTTCTGCCATTGTTGTTGTTACATGGTCAGTGGTAGAAACTATGATTGGCTGGGTGGTTTGCTCTGTAGTTGTTGGTGATACCTCTGTAGAACCTATGATAGTTACATTTCCTTCTATTGTTGTATGTTGTGTCGGTGTCTCCTGTGTCGACATGGTTGTAGTTCTCCCTGTTGATGAATCTGTCGAAGCCTCAGTGGTGGAAGGCATGACAGTGGAAAGCATTACAGTGCTAGGTATAACTGTGCTAGAATATTCAGTCGTTTGGGAAGAATCTGTTGCAGTATCGTCAGGATGGGTTGTGCTCCTTCTTGTAGTTACCTCTCCTGTTGTTTTATGTTCTGTCGAAGTCTCATCTGTTGTCATTTTTTCTAAGGCTGTAGTTGATGGTTGTGGCATTGTTGTTGTTGGTACATGATCAGTGGTAGAAATTATGGCTGACTGGGTGGTTTGTTCTGTAATTGTTGGTGATACCTCTGTAGAACCTATGATAGTTACCTTTCCTTCTATTGTTGTATGTTGTGTCGGTGTCTCCTGTGTCGACATGGTTGTAGTTCTCCCTGTTGATGAATCTGTCGAAGCCTCAGTGGTGGAAGGCATGACAGTGCTAGGCATGACAGTGCTAGGTATAACTGTTCTAGAATATTCAGTCGTTTGGGAAGAATCTGTTGCAGTATCGTCAGGATGGGTTGTGCTCCTTGTTGTAGTTACCTCCCCTGTTGTTGTATGTTCTGTCGTAATCTCATCTGTTGTAATTTTTTCTAAGGTTGTAGTTGATGGTTCTGCTAGTGTTGTACTTTGTGCATGATCAGTGGTAGAAGTTATGGCTGACTGGGTGGTTTGTTCCGTAGTTGTTGGTGATACCTCTGTAGAAGCCATTGTAGTTACCTCTCCTATCGTTGTATGCTGTGTCGAAGTCCCCTGTGTTGTTATTTCTGATATGGTTGTAGTTCTCTCTGTTGATGGTTCTGTCGGTGCCTCAATGGTGGAAGGCATGACAGTGCTAGGCATAACTGTGCTGACTTGAATGGTAGAATCTTCAGTGGTATGCCGAGAATATGTTGTAGTATCATCATGATGTGTTGTTCTCCTTGTTGTAGTTACCTCTCCTGTTGTTGTATGTTGTGTTGAAGGCTCCTGTGTTGTTATTTCTGACATGGTTGTAGTTCTCTCTGTTAATGGTTGTGTCAAAGCCTCGGTGGAAACCATGACAACGGTAGGCATGACAGTGGATATTCCCGTGGATGTGTCTGTATTTGTGACTTCAGTTGAGGTACTTTGTCGACTTGAAGCTGTCCCTGCTTCTGTTGTTGGTTCGTTTGTCGTAGTTGAACCTGTTGTTGTATATTGTGTTGTAACTTTTGCTAAGGTTGTAGTTGATGGTTCTGTCGTTTTTGTTCTTGGTACATGATCAGTGGTTGGTTGGGTGGTTTGTTCTGTAGTTGTTAGTGATACTTCTGAGTCAGTAGAAACCATGGAGGTGTATATTAGGGTCGGTTGGGTTGTGAGCTTTGTGGTAGTTACTGCTTCTGTTGTGATATATTGTGTCAAAGTCTCCTCTGTTGTTATTTTTGACGTGGTTGTACTTGGTGGTTCTGTCGATGGTATGACGGTGGTAGGTAAGATTGTGGATATCCCAGTAGATGTGTCTGTACTTGTGAGCACAGTGGTGGCAGCTTGTCTAGTTGAAGCCGACACTGCAGATGTTGGACCTGTTCGTGGTTCTGTTGACGGGGTTGTATGAGATTCCGTGGTTTTTGTACCACGGTTGGCACTAGTACTTCTTGATGACACCTGGGAAGGTATCATTTGATGAAAATATGTTGCATATAGTAGTCTGTTGTAGCCTGTCCGTTGCAGTACCAAGTCGTTGTCACTGTTCTTGTGGTTGTTGTTGTTGTCGTAGCTTTCTTCATTAATCGGACCTCTGTTTTACGTCCCTTCCGAGAGGACGTCCCTAACCGAAGCTAGGTACTCATTTTCACCTGAGTCAAGTGAGGAAATTCGTGTAAAGTGCCTTTCCTAAGGGCACAACATCGGAGCCTCTCAGGGCTTCGAACTCAGGACCACTAAGTTCTGAGTTAAACACTAGACCGCCGATGCCACTCGTAAGTGTCGCAAGCCTAGATATTTGGTGTCTCGAAACAATGTGTTCAATGGAAGTGTGAGTTCTTATGTGATACTTGTCTGTGTTTGTTTGTTTGTTTGTTTGTTTGTTTGTTTGTTTGTTTGTTTGTTTGTTGAGTGTGACAGTGGTACTGAGGCTAAGTTATCTTTTCTTCAGTATGTACTAAGTATGTAGTGCTGTACACTACCTGACATTGCAGCGAGTCTATCGGTAACCATACCCGACATTGTAGCAGAAAGTGTGGACTATAACCAGTGCGACTATAACCAGTGCTGTGTATTATATGTTGCTATTTTACAAACAACCTTTACAAGTAGCTAATTCAAGTGTTGATTAGTTATTGTAATTGTTTCCGAGTTAAAAGAATGCAATGTGAGTATGTAGTGCTAATCTACTTCAAAAGGAAAAGAAGACAAAATAGCACAGTTACGTACTACCTTCTATCAGCAAGCTGGAAGATGGGATATAGTTATATACTTCAGAGTACCTCAAATGATAAAGTGTGCACTTAAGATATGAAAAATTGTGCTCTCACCTAGTTCGAACTCTATCAAAAGGCCTACCTCGGTTGTTACCATTTCGGAAGTCGGTTCAAGCGCCTCAGTGGTAGGCATGACAGTGGATATCCCTGCCGTTGTATCCTCTTCAAAAAGCGTCGACATGCGATCGGTGGTTCCTCCTATTTCTGCCATTGCGGTGGTGTCCACTTGTAAGATTCTCCTGACCCTGTGACGTTTCTCGAAGCCCGGGGCCGTGGTCATGTTGGCGTGTTCGGGGCACTGGCATAGAGAGCCCGCAGAGTTCTTGTGGTCGCCTGGGACAATGAAGGACAACAAACCACAATTGTGAGAAGGAAACTGCTTAGTTAATTTCATGTCACACATAGCCGGATATGGCCTCCCGAACACAGCCGAACTCCCCCAACCATGGTTAGGAGTAGGTCGGGAGCAAGGTCGGTTGTGGTTTCCTGGTGTTCGGCAAGGTCGGCTACTGTTCGGCTGCGCCAGCCGAATGTTTCAAGATGTTTAAAATATTCGGGTGTGGACGGGAGGTTTGGCCATTGATGGCTGATGTTCTGGGGGTCATATATGACTCCAATTTAACTCAAATTCGATTGGATTTCTATAGAAAAGTAGGCGTGGCCTAAATCTGGTCAGAATGCTCCGGAACTTCAGCCAGCCTTGGTTGATTGGTGGGTGGTCCGGGGAAGGTCCTGAATGTGGGCTTTATATACGCATTCATATAGAATTCGAAGATCTCGTGACATTAGATAGCCTTATTACCAACAAGGAACTTTCCCTACGCGGTTATTTGCGGTTTTTACACGCATAGTACGTACATCAACATTCAAGTACAAAGAATAATATTCTCGATTGCCTTGGGAAAATACCGTACATTTAAAAATGGTTCTGTTCTGGGCCAAAAATTGCAACTTTTCTCCTCAGTTGTTTGAAACCTCCATTGGTTGAACCAATACGTATACATTCATTTATACCCATTCGTGTTAGCTACTTCACTGGCTGACTGTTTCCTTTTTGACACGTATGGTACCTTCTCTACAGTACAGCCCATCTCTGTTGTCACGCAAGGATCGGACATGGGCCTACTTTAACAAAGTAACGTCTGTTATCTTCCAAGTCACCAGGCAAGACGGTGCGGTTTTCTCGCGTAAGCCTAGAATTAAGGCCAGGATTACGGATATGCTTCCACCCGACATGATCATTTGTTTGCCTCATTGCACGTATCTGTGCAACAATGTGTAGCTCGTTGACGTGCTGACTACACTGTCAGCGAATTTGTAGTGATTTTCACACCATTTTGTGCGTCATGTACAGCACTTTAACTTTTGTCACTCACAAATAAGGCGAATAGGGTGGGGTCGTGTGGCGTAACGGTTTGTCTCAGAACCGAGAGGTCCCGGGTTCGAACCCTGCCATATGCCACCGATCTTCAGGTTCTGAATCGGCCATCATGCTCACTGTGACGCCATTGCCGTAATCTAATTGGATTAACTGGTGGCAGATATCAAGAACTCGAAGAATGATTGGCAAGATTCGATGTTCCCTAAAATCAGAATAGTGTATTTTGGGTCCAAACGTCTTATTCTCATTTAATAATACCTATATCGCGTCTGACTATTTTCTGGAACTGTTGTATTTTAGGGTTATTGGTGTCATGTAGTCTTTAAAAGAGCTACACACATTAGAGCACAGTGTCAGATGGGTGTGGCAACTACATTTTTTTGATCCACCGACACCCAAACACCTTTTGTGACCATCCAGCCTACATTTCGCTCGTTAAAAGTCTCCTTCACCTACTTCAGTAGAAGGTTGTAAATCTGTGTTTCACGATATGGCATCAGCCTGGAGGCTTAACAAAAACGACACCAACGCTGCGGTTGAAAAGAATTATTGTTAAGAGATGTAATAAGGAAAGCTATGGAGGCCCTCAGGCGGTTTCTCTGGTCAGATAAACTCGTACCTTTGTGAGGAAGCGGACACACCCAATAATTAACCCGGGGTAAGGGTCTTATGTTTCCCTATGAAAACGGTTATTTGCTCTGCAGGTGCAATGACACAGATAGTTACGACCTGTCAGAGGAAACGAATTGGCTGGTGTTTGACTATATGACTGCTGTCCAATGATATACAGATATCTACCACTCAAACACAGTTATCGTCATCATACCCTTGCCTGGCTTGCCTCTGTAATGATCCACAAGTGAACAAAGGTGTAGACAGGGAGGTAAAGATGTATCAAAGATAGATTATTAGTCTTAAAACTGTATCTTTAGCCTTCAAAAGTAACTACTTACACTTCCAAGTGACTGAAGCTTTACATACTGATTCTGTATCTGTATAGCCGGTATAACCGCCCTTCGGCGTAACAAACCAGCTTCGCAGGCACGCAGGGCGGCACCAGCTAGCTATATTACATCGAACGACCTGTTACACCGAACCTTTGCACATCTAACTCTAATCGTTGTTTAAATCTATCTAGTGATGATGCCCCTGCTGTACTTGGTGACAGCAAGTTCTACTCTGCGATAAGATCTAGATTGATTTCTACAGCGTTTTTAAGCATGACCCCTTCCTTGTCTGTACTCAGTCTGTGCCCACAGGGAATAATTCTCAGCAAGCCTGCTACATCTGACGATGCACGTCGGAATTCTGTGAGAATGTCTTTGAAGGCGAAAAACAATCTACTGAAGATTATATACCGGGGAATTGGACAAAGAGAACCCTGTCACGACCTGACCCTGAGATACTAGAAGTGAAGTCTTATCATGGATTACGATCTATGTTCTAACTGCCTCCTATATATTAAAGATTAGAAAATGCCGCAGTCTTTTAAATTGTTGACCAGATAATTGTTTTAGAAAGAATGTCCACCACCCATAAAGGTTGGTATTTTCTTTCCAAATGTCAGTTGTAACCTGAACCACAAAGATACAGATGGAATCACCGGTGGTATTAGTGCAGCTTGCCCACTGTGGCATGTTGGGCAATGCCCTAAGGGCATGCAAGTCTTCCTAGTAAAATGTACCTTCAACACTTCCGTCATGCAACAAACACACGGAAGAAGGAAACAGAAAAAAAGATCCAACTTTCACCGCGTATGGACGCAGATGTACGAGTTTCTGTTCTAGGAGAGCTTTTCTGTCAGAATTAATTGGAGTAAATCACTGTGTGTTTAGCAAAAATGTAACTGTGTCAATTCTCTGTCCTAATGAGAAAAGGTGAATCACCTCACCCAGATCCGTTAATCATGTTTATGGTGCCATGACGTCTGTTGTCTATTGTCAGCCAAACCTTCCGATGGTAAACTGAATTCCAACCAAAACGAACCAAACGTCCTATGTTGTGACAACTGGGAACATTGTTTGTAAAGATTGTGTGTATTTTGTCAAGACTTCTACGCTTAGATGCTTTTAAAGACTTTTTGGGAGTTCCTCTTGTCCTTAATAGTTGACCACAGGATACTAAAACGTACAGTTTAAACCATTCTTTGTTCATGAGAAGTTCCAATTGGACGCCAGTTTCCAGTCACAAAGTTGATACTTTTGAAGTATATTTTCACACTATAACCTCACCTGAAGCAATGCTGGGGCCATGGCCCTCTCTGGTACACGTTTTACTTCTTTTGTGTGTTCTGTTGTCTAACATACATCCAGTACGTTTAATGAATACATCAATCATGAATGCCCTGACAACTTCTTATGGGGACTACGAAGCCACTCTTGTCTGCACTTCATGTTCCTTGTTATGTGTACCCAACATATTTGTGATAGAAATCTAGCTTCTCAGCCCAGTGGCAGGTTTTATTCAAAATTTCTGTGATGATGTTTTGCATACAGTAGCTTATAAAAGCTGTACAGTTGTCTACGTACGTTCTCCCTAGCTCGTTAAAACGACCATATGGACAGCCATCCTGGGCCTAAAAGTAGTAATTTTGACTTGACCGCGGCCGACCACACAGAATTGACAATAACAGTAACTTTTAGAACAATCACATGATGTAATTTCAAGCTACTTCTGTAACCTAAAGCCATCGCGATAAACTTTGTGTATACGTAGAACTGGTTAATAACATCTCTTGGGCATTTGTCTAACTTAGCAGGACATAGATAGCCCCTACCAGGCTTCAGAAGCGACTGGAAGAGTGAATTGCCTAAATACTAGTAGACAGATACGTAGAAAGTAATTGTAGTAGACAGACAACACGCCAGGATAGTTGATCATTCCGCCAACGGAGTACATTTTCTGGGAGAGAAAAACTGTACTTCTCTTGTGGACCAACTAGCTTCGGACACCCCTCTATATGGCCATTTTCTACTTTTTCCAGCCGCTTCTGAAGCCTGGTAGAGGCTAAGAGAAAGAATTGAGCACACGGCTTACCTGCGACCACCTGTTGAACTCGGTACACCTGTAACACCACGGGCAGGATCATCGCTATCCTCAGCAACATGTTGTGAACAAAGTTTGTATCTATCCTGCCGACAAACAGCGTTGTCTACTCCGCCTGGGTTTCCACCAAACGTCCAATTGTCTGTATCTCACAAAAAAAGTTTCACACACACGATGAAAGCGTCAATCCCTCATCTTGTAATGTTGCACGTTGTTTCGGTTCTAGTCTGCGTGTAATAAGTACGGCCGCTGTTGAATCATAAGTTGGACTGTTTGTTCGGGGCACGCCCTTACCTACGTGACTCAACCTGTCGCACAGGACTTTGGGAAAATGATTGTCTAAATAGCAATTATCACGACTTGTGAAGCGGAGATGGTACGGTGGTGTGACGTAGTGTGGGCGGGGCTTAATTATTGTGGGTCCCCGGAAGAGTCGGAAATCTCATTAGGGATATGAAATAACGCAAGCCACTTCCGCAACAGCCTATTTCCGTGTGTTGCGTATAATAGAACAATTGTAAGTTGCGTATATTTCACTAGCTCAAAATATCTACTGTTCTTTGAAACAACCAAAATAGGCACGACCCTGTACAAATTAGTTGGGGAATGTTGTTTGTACCCCCACCCCCACCCCAAATACATTCGTACGCTTATGTACTGTTTCTTTTCACACACAAAAATGCATCGTGTTTTGTATTTAAAACTTCTTTTAAAGCTTTCAGATGACCAGTTGTTTCCTTTGATTGCGAGGCTGTGAGGGTACCATGCCCTAGCAAAGTAACGTGCTGTCAAAGTTCCCTATCACCATGGAGGTAGACAAAATTTCTACCTCCATGCTATCACATAATCAGACTACTTGTTCTTTCCCTTTTGCTTGCTTTTTTAAAAACACCTTGCGGGTGTTATAAGGTGACGTCTAAACTAGATCAATGGTACTTCAACTCTTCTGCATCTGTCTGGAAGGCGTTCTCAAATGACCCTAGGCCTGTGATATACAGGTCGTGAGCACAGACCATACTGCACCTATAAATACTACCAGTCGGACCAGTTCTTGCCTCACCAGCTTGTATGTGTGTATTAGGCCACACCAAGTAAATTTTATGGATGACGTCCTTTGGAGACCCTAAATCTAATGCGAGAGGGCGAAAAAAAACAGGAAGGGCCCTAAAAAACAAGATGCCTAGATAAATGTTAGGACACAAATTGAATGAGGTGACACAGTGTATCAAGCAAGAAGTCTTTTATTCATCATCAAAACAGCAATAAATCAGGTGGAACAGCAGTTTTCGTCCTGTGCTTTGGGGAGATAGAAGGAGCGGTCAGCAAGTTTCTTCAAATGTGGCAGCATGTACCAAACTGAATTCCTAATGGAAGTCATGATTTCCTTGCTTCATGGTTCATAAGCTTTTTGGTACGTACAAACCTATTTGCGGCACTGTCGTGACTCTTTGGTCATAGTTACAGGAAGCGGAATTTCTTGTTTTTTTCTAGGATCAGGCCAAAATCAATGCGCGCGCGGACGTCATCCATAAAATTTACTTGGTGTGGCCTTATAGTACTAGTATACATGTTTTCCCCTAGAACAATCGTAGAGTGGAACTCCTTGGTACCAAAGACATATTTTAGCGGCATCAACACTTAATAGTTTAAAACAACGTTTTGGCCACACCAATTCAATTTCTTGGTTAACGGATTCGCCCGCTTCATTTTTTTTCTGATTTGCAAATAAAAATAAAAATTCAGAATCAACTGCAAAATGCTCATATTCTGCCCTGAAAAGTTGAAAACAGTCCTTTTCATCCTAGTTGTTACAGGTATTTCATCTTTCAATGCAATGGTATCATTAAAATTCATTGTTTAGATTTTGAACCAGCCTGGTGTCTTGACTTCATGGCTCCTATGGTACCATTTTGGGCCATAATAGGATGCCTAGGCCTGATTTTTTTTCGCCCGCCCGCTCCATTATTTTTCTAGAAAAATTCGTCAACCAAGAAATTAAATTGGAGTGGCCTTACAGTTAGATGTGCAGAGGATAGGTGTAACGCCTATTTAGGGGTAAAATAAGGCCTAGCAAAATACGTTTTTAAGTAGGGGTCCTTTTTTGTCATTTTTCACACATGGCTGCATTGAAAAACGAATTTCCCAGGGTAACGGCTTCTAGTTCTCAGAGAAGCTCAGTATCTAATGTTTCAGAATAATTGGGAAATATTAAAATCGATGCGATAAGTTTACCGTTATCTTCGATGACCCAAACACACCCACAACGCACGTAGAACGCACCATCCCGGGGATCAGGCGAAAAGGCCACATAACCATCCGCGCGGACTAATACCAGGAACTCTTTGCTAAACCACCAACAGTATGCCACCTACAAAGGCTACAACTAACAGGCTTTTCAGAAAATACAAAGATATGTACACAGACATTACGATATCGCGGCGAAAACGTACGAAACAATGTCACGTTTCCGGCGATTTACTTAAAATGTCAATCCTTCCACAATGAAAAAAAAGGTTCGAATGAACTTTATATTGAATCCGTGCGTCATTCAGAAGCATTAACAACTGTTACGTAGAGAAGAAATCGCGTGTTTGAGGGGGACATTAAAGATCCCGACGCGCTTATCATCGAAAAGATTTAAAGACATCCATGCCAGTGCAGTTTTAGGGTTTGGACCTTGCTCCAGCCATTTATTTGCCTTGATTACCTAAAACACACTATCCCAATGTATATTGACCCTCATGGAGCAAAAATTTCCAAAATTCTGACGGAAAATATGGTTAGTGGAAGGGCCCATGGTGGATTTTTACGATACCACCCAGAAAAGACAGGATTCATCTTGGGGCTTGTTTCTGCAGTTTTAAAAGCCCAAAGTATGAAATGCTGATTTAAATGTGCTAATGTGAAGCAGTATCTCAATATCACAAAGTTTGCCTTATTCAGACTACATTGTACTAGTATTTCCAGTTTTGCTGCAATGAAATCGCATTGGGTGTCTTTAAACCTTACAGTCTGGTGTCAGGGTTGACGCTTTATTTCTTTCTTTATTTCTTTATTTGAATTTACCACATGCAAAAACAAGTGGAAGGGAGGACAAAACAGGTGTATCAACGCCTTTACAAGTTGTCCTCCCAAACCTGAAATGATAATACAAAACAATACGAAACCAAGTCAAACAATAAACATTAGACATCAAAAATCAGTAGACATGAAATATACAATTCGGTAAAAATCATACACAGAGTTAATAATGTACAAATTATCAAATATCATTATGTACAGAGTAAAAAGATTAATAATGATACTAATGCGGCCTTAAAGCAGTGCATGAGGCACACCCACAAGATGTGGACCAGGAGCAGGGGACGTCGATATTGAACTGGGTGTCAAATCTCATAAACGTGGCTCTCAGGTGAAGGCAAACCTCTATGAATAAAAGGTTTAAATGAACCTTAATTGACTCCATGCGTCAATACGTTATCCCGCCGGGAGGCACTTGAAAACACACATGAGAGAAGCGCGTTTTATACCATATTAGTGCACACATGAAACACCCAGAACCCATCATGCACAACTGTCTTCCCACGTTTCCTGTGGCCTGTCTCCTGTCTACTCGTCGAAGACATCAGAGGAGACGGTGTGCAAAGCTGCGTCGTTCTTGGTTCCCATATACTGTGCTCGCGATCGGTTGGAAAAAGTAAGTAGCGTTGATGTTGCTATAATGGATACTTAGTAGTTACCTTCACCGAGAAGGTTATGTTTACAGGGGCGTTCGTGTCTCTGTGAATGTGTGTGTGTGTGTGTGTGTGTGTGTGTGTGTGTGTGTGTGTGTGTGTGTGTGCGTGTGTGTGTGAGCACGAACGCCTGGATGGATTATCTTGATATTTGGTAGGTGGGTAGGTCTTGATGAGACCTGGAACTGATTAGATTTTGGGCCCCCTAGCGGCCTATTATGGTACTGCAGCAGATATCTCATGATCCAGGCATGCTAGGGTTACAAAATTTACATGTTATATAGCTCTTGTGTTGGAGATGTAGTGACATGAGTTTGAGCCCCCTAGCTGCTTGCTCTGGAACTGCAGTGGCGTTTGTTGAAAAATGCTTAAAGGAGGATAACTCAAGAACCGATTGATGGATCGTCGTGGTTTTTGGTATGTAGGTAGATCGTGGAACTCTAGTTATAACTATTTCCACCATTGTGTCGTGTACAGCACTATTCGCGATTCTTTGAAGGTATACCCAAAGCAATTTCAGGGCGGCAAAACTGGATTTCAAAGTAAATGTTCTGGCAATTTTTTCATGTAGTCTTAACGTTGACAAGAAATCCTATCTCGTCCATGGCATATTGATGTCTAGCTATAGCCTGCTGGGTGACATTCGTTCTGTGTCGAAAGGTACGTCGTAGGAGTCCGTTACAAAACGAATGGCACCCAGGTTAACTGACATCTGTGAGGCAAAATTGTGATGTCAATGACGAAAGACGGTTGCTTGATTTGTATCAATTTCAATTCAATTTATTTATTCAACCAGTAATAACAAGTCGGGCCATCGTTTATGTTTATGGATGTCACCCCACCCCCCCAAATAAAGAAAATTATAAAGAAATGCTTCACGTAGCTTGTATTGGGCCAATATCAAACACATGAAGGATGAATGATCACGAAAATGTGCTAAAAATGGCAGTTAATGTTAATATCAGACAGATATCCTCATCCAGAATATTTTTTGTTTGTATACTATATACCATTCATTGCAGTGCCATATTAGCAACGTGTTTTTCCGTTACGTTGCTGCCAAAAACAGCAGACAATTGCAACTTATTAATGACTGTTCATCACGATCGACAATTCAAGCATTGATAGCAAGTCAATTATTATATTAGGTGTTTGACCAATGGGATTGTGGCTGGATGTCTGTGAAATATTTCCTCTTACTTTTATGTTAGCTAGAATTTCTGTGTTTTGATGGAGGTTTCCTGTGCGATGGAATCGTCTGTCCTCGTGCAACCAGCTTGTTTTCAAACGCACGTCCTGTTGGTGGAGTGTGTATGGTTGGTTGGTAGGTTGAATATGCGAAATATAATCAAAATAAACTGGAGCGTGAGTAGGGCTCGACTTATTGCTCGACTGTTGCTGACCTTTCGACAGCAACAGTGGTCTCTTCCTACCCTGGGGTGTTACATGAAAATTGCAAGAAAATTCAATTCATATTCTTTATATATATATAGTACAGGAAACAATATCTAAAAGAGACCTAGAAATGTGATTTACCTTTGCGGACCTTATAAAAAAAAACGTGATTCCACAATTTGAGCATAAAAATCATACTGGGTGATGTGACAGAGGCCCTCCTCTACCACAAAATAAGGCCAAACCTTTCTGTAAAGTGGATGCCACGAAATCATATTTTTTCAGGCCTTGGATCCTGTACTAATAGATTTATATATTTAGATTTCTATAGGTAGGTTCGTTTCCTCCCACAGTACTAGTCTACGGGGAAGTGCCACCCTACCTGTTTGTGTATTTGAGGTCGTGCTTGAGGTTCAATATGGCTTTATTAGTTCTTAAACTGTGTCCTTTTTTCTGTTTGTTATAGATAACATAATAATATAATAAAAAATAAAAAAACAATATGCTGACATGCATGTGTCAGTGTGTGTGTGTGTGTGTGTGTGTGTGTGTGTGTGTATACGCGAACAGATATGTCACCAGAAAATAAGCCTCCAAGGAGGCCCAAATATAGTTGTATGTTAAACCTCTTCACAAGGCTCATTGTGCTTCTGGTCTCACGTCTCCACAGGTGTCTAACGTCATCCCCACAGGCGTCTAATGTGATCTTCATAGACGATTCAGGTTAGCTTTGTTCATCTCATACTCATAGCGCTAAATTTATATTTCTGTACATTGCCAGGCGTTAGCCAGAGTTAGCCAGGCGAACATTCCACTGTAAAGGCCCTTCCTGTACTCCTGCAGTACATTTCCATCCTGCATGGTGGGTTCGTGTGGCGTAAAACGGTAGCGTGTTTAGCACCAAGAGGTCCCAGGTTCATGTACTTTCTACTACTCTCCAAGCAGAGGTTTGGGTTTTGGGGGTATTTTTAGTCGTGTTTTTAGGCTTTTTTATTCGGGGTTTCTCTTTTGTCAATAAAAAAAAGACCTAAAACATGCTAAAAATACCCCCAAAACCCAAACCTCTGCTTGGAGAGTACTTTCTACATCTATATGTCTTTCAAATTGTGCAATGTTTAATTGCCGGACTCGTTTGTCAGAAAATCTTAGTTACCAATGGAGCCTATGGTATAATTATCTAGATTTCTTTCTTGGTTGAAGACAGTCTCAAATGGTCAAAGGGATTAATTTTCGGGCCACGAGATGTGAATAAAATCAACCTAACTTAAATGAACAATTATTTCAGTCAGCCAACAGAAAGGCAGCAGATAAAAAACGTACGTTTGTTTGACAATTCTCAGCACGTTCAATAATAAAGGGATTAGGATCTTTTAATCGGGCTTTCCTTTTTTGCACTGGTATTGTTCAATTTACATTATTTTATACAATGTACATAGATAGAGCTTCTGAAATGTTGCACTTTTCATCTAGAATTTGTCTGGTGCAGGTGATTTTCAGGGTTACCGGCACCAGGTATGTAGAAAAAGGACTTTGTCCTGGTTCACTAACACGGCGTAATGCAAACCTATCTTGTGAACATGGCTAGATGCTTACCTTTTGCCACATATATAAACATTAGGCTACAATTTAATTGTTGTTTCTTGGATTTTTTCAGAAAAAATATGAAGCGACAGGGTGAAAAAAACAGGCCAAGGCACCCCATGAAGGCCTGTTATGATTTGAGCCATGTTACGATATGAGCCAGGAAGTAAACATACCATGCAGGCTGGTTTATAATTAAAACAATAGATTTTGAACTTTTAATGGAACGAAGTTGCATTGTTACATTGAAAAACTTTAACAACTAGGAAGAAACTGGCTTTTTTCAACCCTTGTGGTCCAAATATGTCTCTCATTGAGCATTTTGCAGTTGATTTAGAACCTAAAATTTTTTTTGTTGCAAATCAGAAAAAAAATAACAGGGCGAATCTGAGAAACAACAAATTGAATTGGTGTGGCCTTAATGGTGGAGTAAAAAAAATTGACTCAAGACAGTTGCCATTGATGTACATAGTGTTTAATGGATAGTTCATAAGTAAGTGCTCTTTTCAAGAAACACTAAGGATTTTCTGGCTAATATACTATGTCTCTATCTAGTCACTCAGTCATGTTTACTATGATTCAAGAAGTTTTCACATTCACATAGATTGAAATATGGACAGTCAGTACAGATAGATTGAGCACCAACACAGTTAGAGACTTCTGACAATACAATGAAATACATGTATGTACAGTACAGTATGTTCAGACGTAACATTTATGCAAAAATAGATTGCTTCTGAGGAATGTAGAGAAGTTATTTCATTGTGAAGTATGTATATCATTTGTGTAAAAACTCCTTGTAGGTTTCAAATATCCAGTATCTTTCCACATGTTAACAAATTTTCCATCCTTGTTCCATCATATATGGACAATCGTGATTCCTTTCTTGCTGACTTTAAACTGTGCTACAAGGAGGAGAGTGGTTCTTTACACAAACGTTGTATAGTTTTGGCATGTTTGTGTCTTTGGTCCATGGAACACCTTGCTGTACAGGTGGATCAGAAGGAGAATCCTCCCTGTGGCACCTGGGCAGCTGCCTGGGTGAAGTTGTAGCCTTCTGCCGTGCTCTCGGGAGCCAAGTTCTCAACTTCTTCTCCCTGAAGTAAGAACATTCACGACATTAGTACAAGTTTATTATTTCAGTGTTCTACAAGTATAAAGTAGAGTGGATTCATTCCTCAAGCTAACCGACATGTAGCACACCATAGTTGTCCCTCAGTAAGACATCTGTATAGTTTCCATCTAGAACTTTTATTCGGACTGTCACTACCTGTTTTGCTTCGTGGGCCTCTTCAAGTGTACAGAGGCTAAATGACGCAAGTTCAAAGAAATTCTCCCTTTTGTACCTTTCTAGTACACATCATCCTGGCAACTTGATACCATACAGGTTGCAGTGCACAGTATTATACAACTACAAGTGTTATGGATATGATACAATACAACTGTATTATGGAAGCCCTTTAGGTTTCCTACCCCCTCCTGCACATCGTTTTTTCTTATTTTGTTTATATTTCATTGTGCAAATTAATAGATAAACAAAACAAACAGAATACAAGTCATGTGAGGGAGGTTATGATTCAAGTTGAACCATTTGTTTTCAAACATTTTTTTCTCCACAAGGTATGGATTCTTCTTTTGGGTACCCAGTGTAAGGGCTGACTACTAGTATTAGTGGTCAGAATTTTAGGTATAGAAAACCCTGGACACAAAACGAGAACTCACCTCTCCTGAGAAGTACTTTTCGATGAGCTGTAAGGCGCTCTGGTAGACAGACTCGTTCTCGTGGTTCTGGAGGGTCTCTATCTTGTCGATGCCTCCGTACTCCTCCACCCACACACAGATCTGCTCCACATGCTGCTGGCCCAGCTTCTCAGCAGCCTGAACAGTATTAACAATACTAGCATTAGTCAACAATGTACACATACATGTGTTTTGCTGGGGCCTAGGAAAAATGTTGTTTTCGGTTTCCCAACTGACCCTAGCAAAAAACACCTTTTGTTTTATCAACCGCTGGTAAGGTTATAAAATTTTCAATCTGACATGGAATGTCCCCTCTAAATTCTCAAATGTCCTTCAATGCATTTTCGAAAGCAATTTTTCTTCAGTAAATTAGGAGAAATATTTCGAAATCCCTATAATACCGACCCTAGTTTTTTTAGGACTGAAACCGGAAACAACATTTCATTTCATTTCAACATGAAATTTCCTACGCCTGGTGTTAGATCTATACCAAGATAATGCAACTTTGGCATAATATCCTGGTCTGTTTCATCTGTCGTAACAAACACAACATGCTAATTCAAGTGCTCACTGACTAAGTACAAATGGTGCAGGAAGCAACTTCAACTTTAAAACTACTACTAGTACATGTACTTTGTAAATTGTTGTGCCATTTAGACAAACTTTAGTTTTATTGATAGGTAAAGACATATTGGGTCATGAATATGTCACATTCTAGAAAACTAAACGGGACATACACGAAGATGCCCCGAGAAGTTTTCAATACACCATGGTGGAAACATATACTATTATGAACAGTTGTACGGTTCGTTACCAAATGTAACTACAGTAGTTAAATGTCGACGACTAAGCTTGGCCTGTCATGTTGTACGTAGTGAAGAACCAGCCAGTAGGCTTCTACTCTGGAACCCTGATACAAAGAGAAGAGTTGGACGTCCAAACATAACACTTAAGAAACTTATAGAAACTGAAACAGGCTTGGAGGGCCAGGAACTTATCTCTGTGATGAATGACAAACAGTTTTGGAGAGCTAACTTTGTATGCTCCACCTCTTCGGAGGATGATAGATGATGATGATGAAAGACTTACGGTGAAGATGTTTCCTATAGCATCCAGGATGACCAGGACAATCTTGGACTCCCTGACGACCAGCATGTCACACAGCGGCTTGATCACACCGGCGTTCACCAACTGGACTATCTGCTCCACAGATCCACCTGATGTGAAGTTTGTGATGGCCCACACAGCTTCCTTCTGACTCTTGTAATCCCCCTGGGAAGAAAACATGATCTACCATCAGAAACAAGTTCCTCAGAAACCTCAAATCACATTTTAAGATGATGATAACATGTTTGAAAATTTTCTGTCTAGTGATGAAGAAGTCTTGATGTCTTAAAGATGAATAGTTCCTTATTTAGAGTCTATGTCTGCTTTGAAAAAAGGACTTGAAATGCTTTTTCTACAATTTGAAACACTGAAAATTACCTGCACCAGACAAATTTTACCTTCACCACCAATTGATCATACTAAAAACTGTTCAGAAACCACTGCCATCATTTCTTTTACACTTCATAGATGGTAACAGTTAATGCTGACAATGCAGCAAATAAAAATGTATATATGTAAACCCACTACACAGACTGGTGCAGGTAGATCAGAAATACCTGCACAGTTTTAATTTTACCTGCACTTTTGGAGGTGGTATTTTGAGCTCTGGTAGTACTATAAATACTTGTAGACTAGTCCCTTCCTAGCCCGCTGTACTGGGTTCACAACTGTGTGACCCAAGTGCTATAGAAATGGATTGAGGCACTGCTCCATACATGGTCTATACACCAAAAGACATAGAAAAGATAAACTCATCAGTACTACACAACTCCTCCCCACCTTATGCAGCACCTCCAGGAGAGGAGGGATGAGCCCAGCATCGATGACAGACTGGATCTGGGTGGTGTTTCCTGCCGTGATGTTGGAGATGGTCCAGGCCGACTCCTTCTGGATGTTGTTCTTCTGATGACGCAGCAGGGCAGGGAAACAGGCCAGGGCACCCTGGTCCAGCACAGCCTGGTGGGGAAGTACAACTGGTCAGTGTGGGATGCTGTCATACATGCATTTTGTCCTACCTGGGCCGCGATGACGTTCGATACAGGTGTTCTGGCCCATGTGATAACTAGCAGTACCGCCCGTATTCTTTCCGTAAACGGCCGCTGCTTCCAAATGTTCTACAGAATAATTCGAGTGCGTTTTGCGCGCACCGAGTGTGCCACTTTTGAAACTTTGAACACCAAATTCGGATGTTGGAATTGACACCGTTACACTTTTTGTTTAAACTGTACCGCAAATTTACCATTACCGCAAACAAATAATTTGCCAACTTTCTTTCTTCTGCACCTGCTGCCACCACAAACAATAGTTTCAGAGAGTATTTTTCTTAGACCGTGAAATTTTGTTACCACAAATAGAAAGTGATTTTCAGTATTACATGTATGTCATACCTGGGCCATGACAACGTTTGACGTGGGTGTTCTGGCCTGTGTGATAACTATATTATTTGGGCTCTAAAGGTTATCACACAGGCTTTCCAAAATTCCATAGAATAATTGGATTGGGTTTCATGTGCACAGCATGTGCCGTTTCTGAAAATTTAAATACTGGATTTGGACATTCGAAATGAATTGATTAATTCTGATGGTAGGAAGACTCTTCAACCATATAGGTTTTTGTAGGAAGACAATCCAGTCAGCTGTACCTGAGTTTGAATGTCGTTCCCTGTGACGATGTTTCCCACAGCGCGGAGACAGGGAGTCTGTACAGACAACTCCCCACAGCCCAGCAGCAGCACCAGCCTGGCCACCACACCAGAATCCACCACAAGCTGGAAAAAACGTACACAAAGAAACAAGATTAGAAACTGTCTACCTTGCAAAGACTAACCTGGGTGCTGTTCTATTTGTATACCTGGGCTCCCTTAGTCATGCCTATAAGGGGAAAATCTCACATATAGTGGCAACCAGTAAAATCTGAAAAGTAGTGGCAATTGTGAAAAGTAGAACTCAGAGTGAGAAGATCTGACAGGCAAATGTGGGAAAAATAATAAATTCTTTGCTGCAGTATTTTTCTTTGGAAATTAGTTTTTCTGGCATTCAACTTATTTTATGTGGTGCACCCAAAAACTTTTTTGTGCACCCATACTTTCAGGTTAGGTGCACCACTCCAGTGCGCCTATTCGCAATTTTGAGCCTATGTTCAAGAATCCACTGTGTTACCTGGATGCGACTGTTGTCCCCGTCAGACAAGTACGAGATGGCCCAGCACGTGTCGGCCAGCACCTCGCGGTCATCGTGGTTGATGAGCGTGGCCAGGCACGGCAGGATCATCTGGACAGTGTCGATGGGGGGAGGGGGGTTCTTGTTCCGACACAGGTTGGACAGCGTCCAGGTCAGGTTACGCAGGAAGGCGACGGCCGTGCCTGGGTTGATGAGCGCCAGGAGAGGCTGCACCACGCCCGAGCGGATCACGAAGTCTCGGAACTCCGCTCCATCTCCTGTGGGGAGAAAGTAGGTTTGAATTTTGAATCTGAGTGTGACCTGCACAGTGCTAATAATTGATAGACCTAGATTCTACACAGTTTGAACAGTTATCTTGTATGGAGTAAAAGAAGCATCATTCTTGATCTAAAGGGGGAAAACTTGGAAAAGACACTTTTAATGTATCATTTTCAGGGTTCTCACATAGCGTAAGGGTCGGGTACAAAAGGGCAAACTCATTTTCACCACTCATACGAGTATCAAGTCCCAAAGACATGACCACAGTAGGGGTTCAGTATTCTGCCCAAAATTTTTTTAAACTCACAACCCTCTGCTTTTTAGGGACAGATTTTGTAAAGTCCTGTTCTTCCTCCTAGCTTCATTCTAATCTAAACTTGATTTTAATTTTTTTTTTAAGATCATCAAGGGCCATAGGGTTATCCCCAAAAAGAAACATCCCTACGCTGGGCCAAATCACAGCATAGGGGCTCAAACAGCCTGGTAAGAGAACTGATGTTCATATTAGGGCTGCGTACCTAAACGTAACATCAGGTACAGGTACAGGTACCGGTACAGAGGTTTAGGTACAGGTCCGGACCTGTACCTGTACCTGAACAATTTGACAAATTAACACGTGTTCTTCACTTTTTCAATCATGACACAGAAACAATAATAAAGTGTTGACAACTTGTCAGTATCTTTATCACAACCCTGGATCAGCCACACTCTAGCGATGTCTCGTGAGACTGAGGATCTCAAATCAATCCGACGGTGTTTACGTCTTTTCCAGTGCTAATTTTTCGTCTTTGTGGTAGGATTTACCTATCTTTAGTCATATACATGGTGTAAACTAGCTATTTCGGTATATACTCGTTACTTCATGATCCGGTATTTTGGACCTGTACCGAAACGATTTTTACGGTATTGGACCGGTACAATGTACGTCCGGTCCGCAGCCCTAGTTCATATATTGTACAGCTGTGAACTTGCCTGCAATATTGCCCAGTGCCCAGACTGCCTGCTCGGCCACATTTTTGTGCTGTGAGGACAGCAGGCTGATGAAGGCAGGCACACCACCCCCCTCCACCACAGCACGGGTCTGCTCTGACGTGCCTGAGGCAATGTTGGTCAGGGCCCAGGCTGCCTCAAACTGGATGGAAGGACTGAACAGAAACTTAGCATTAGCACAAACATAGAGCCTATAATATGGACAAACAAACACCAGTACAGTATTTGTCCACATCCACTTTTGCCAATGTTCTATCAAGCCATTGTGGTCTGTCAGAGCAAAACTAGAAATAGCTTTTTCTGCATGCCCGCACCTACATCAGACAAATTTTACCTGCACCACTCAGATTCAGAACTTGGAAAGTATGGATCAGAAATACCTGCGCAACTCCAATTTTACTTGCACTAACCTGCATACACCCAGTACATGGACCAGTGCAGGTTAGGTGCAGGTAGACATCAGAAATACCTGCACAACTCCAATTTTACCTGCACTAACCCGCATATACCCAAGTACATGGACCAGTGCAGGTTAGGTGCAGGTAGACATCAGAAATACCTGCACAGCTCCAATTTTACCTGCACTAACCTGCATATACCCAGTACATGGATCACTGCAGGTTAGGTGCAGGTAGACATCAGAAATACCTGCAGAGCTCCAATTTTACTTGCACTAACCTGCATATACCCAGTACATGGACCAGTGCAGGTTAGGTGCAGGTAGACATCAGAAATACCTGCACTACCCTGCATATACCCAGTACATGGACCAGTGAAGGTTAGGTGCAGGTAGACATTAGAAATACCTGATTATGATCATGTAGAGTCAGTGAGTACTCACTTGTCTTCATGAGAGAGGAACTCCACAAACTTGGGGATGACGTTGGCCTTGATGATGTGACCAATGGGAGGGTTGCGTTCGCGGGACAGGATTTTCCTGGCGCCCTGCACGGCCAGCAGCTGGTCCTGGCCGCTGTTGGAGTTGATGCCCTGGATAATCTCATCTACAGTCATAAAGCTGGGACCCTGCAGGAGGAATTAGATGGTTTAGGTCAGATAGATGAGTCATGACTATAGACAGGACTCAAAATACTGAGTGCATGTGCACCTTAGAGCACCCAAATTTGCAGCTGTGCACTCATTTTTTTCTGTGGGTACTGTAATACTACACCAGTGAACCCAAATATTTTTGTAGGTTTACATATGTAAAGATGTTAAATGTGTAGTAGTATACAGCATATTCTTAAGATCTAAGTGTCAGAAAAATAATAAATTATTTGTTTTAGAATTTTTCTTTAGAAATGAAACATAAGATGAAATTCTACTTACTTTATTCTATATGGTGCACCCAAAAACATTTTTGCACCCAATTATGTAGGTTGGGTGCACCAGTGCACCTACTCCCAAAAATTAATTTCAAGCCCTGATACTCAGTGATAGATGACTTACTGTTATGCTTGATTGTTTTATTGGGATCTCCATTAGTGTTACACAAATTTCTCACTATTCTTCCTAGAGTCTTCAAGACTGATGATATATTGGCAGGAAGCAGGAAATGAGGAGTAGTGTTACTGGATCTTCAGCGGAAGCCTTTCATTTGAAGAGGATAAGCTACCTGAGAGTTGGACTCCTTGAGTGGACTTGTGGCATCCTCAAGAACGGCCACATTCCTGCGTTTCAGCATCGACTCATCCTTCTTGGCCTTGCGAAGCTCCACGCTTGTCTCATTCCTTCTCCTGCGCAACTCCTATTCCATAAAACAAACAACAAGTACATGTACAAGGGGAACGGGTTTTCTGCGCGTGAAAAATTTGCGCGCGCGTGAAAAATAAAAGTCCCTGAAATATGTCAGAAAATATGCAGTACCAAATTCTTATGCAGTAAAATGTGATCCTGTGATATAATTTTCCATCTGTAACTCAAAATTTTTGTTGGAAATTTTAAGTCCCTTGGGAATACTAGTAGGTTAATTTTGCATATTTTCCATAAAATCTGAACATTTGAAAATCACTTGAATTTGTAAGAAATACATGGAAAAGTTACTAGTATAAGGTTTAGGATAGAAAAATGTAATAATCTGAAGCTTTTCTCCATTCTAGAAGCTTGCTTTCATATTTTAGCAAAATTCTTTCACGCGCAAATTTCAACCTTTTTTGCGCGTGAAAACTTAACTTTTGAAAATCACTGAAATATTGACAAAATACGGCTATGTAGTCTAGAATGCAACAAAATGATGTTCAATTCTGTTTTATGTGTTTTTTTCCAACTATCAAGCTTAAAACAGCCCCTTGGGAATTGGCTAATTTGCATATCTTCACGCGCAAATTTTTCACGCGCACAAAACCCCATCCCTGTACAAGTATTATTGCTAATGCATTGTTAATACAGTTGCAGAGGCTCATGACAATGTCCAATTGATATTATAAATAAGATGCTGACATATTTCCCAAACCTTTAAAAAAATTTTATCTACTAGACTAGGATCATCATACTCATAATGACATAATATTAATAATGACATTTTTGATCGACAGATTTTGTTTTAAGTAATTACTCTCGTACTGGAATTTCATGATGACCAGCTAGACAGAAGAATTTCTTACCGAAGAATCACGACCCTTGTTCTTGAAAGACTTCAGTCTGTTTTCCTGAGATGGCATCTTTGGTTATCGATATGTGGAGTGATGTCCAACAGTAACACAAGCAGTGGTGAAAGGATATTCCTCAGATTTATTGCCTGCAAATGATGAAAATATTGTTAACAATTTTCTTTGTAATAATTTTTCCATGATTTTTCAAGGGTATCACAAAAGAACCTTCATTGACTGATCATGAGTTTTTTTCACGGAAGTTTTAAATGTTATATCAGGGATGCCCAAAAGTTTATAGTATACAGATTTACTCGACTGAAGACGGTATCAAGGTATTAGCCTCTACCAAACCTTTTTAAATTCTAGCGTATCATCGGTATCATTTGTCTATTTGGCCAACAATTTTTGCTTTTTCAGCCACTTCCCGAAGCTTGGTTGGGGCTAAAATTATTCAGATGGCATCATGCCTGCTGCGTGTTCGTTGAGATTTAAATTTCGTTTTCTGACTCGCAGACACTTCGCCATTGTTTACAGATAAAGGGTGTCATACACACAAAGAAAAGCACCTCATGACATGAAAGGTAAGCAAATTATAAGCAGTAACTGTTTTAACTTATAATAGATTAATGAAAGATATCATTCTTTCTCGATAAGGTGTGAACAACCGACAGCAAAGTGAGGAATTTTTGTCATCCCTGACAACTTCGGTAAAACAGAAAAACAGGCTCGAATTACCGATATTCCGCATAGATTTCTACCCCAAACAGTAAATAAATCATGTAAAACATGTCTATTAATCCCAGGAAAGAGTTTCTTCCGAGAAATTGAAGTTTCTAGCGGCATAGAGGGCAAAAATCACACCAAAATTCTACACACGCACCTTCTCTCTTGTGTGGTTGCTCGAGACCTGACGCTATCGTGGCCAGCTGATTTTAAATATCCCGCCTTGAGGATGTTTGATTGGTTGAAGTTCTTGAACTGATCAGAAAAAAAGGCATTCGATTGGTCCATCCTCACCAATCTCCTCTCTGATTGGTCAAATTGAAAAACTCAGTCGTTGGTTTTGAGTTACAAACTCCCGTTCTCTGATCTCGCGAGATGATAAATCCAACATGGCGGCGGTGGGCTAAAAAATTTTGACAGCTGACGATAAATCTTCAATTATGAATTTATATCAGGACATTACTCCAGAATATATTCCTTCTAGGGTTTTTGAAGACATCCCGGTGCATCAAGCAGGGGATAGACGTAACTTCTTGCTGAAGGAGCTCCAGATTATGGTGGAGGATATACCGGAGTGAGCGCCCCCCTCCCCACTTGTACAAAACTTTGCAAGCTACATTTTCGAGTTGCAACTGACAGCTGTATTAAACGTTACAAAAGCACAGCAGTTGTTACATATATATATATATTTGATAGTCCGGAAAAGTGTACTTGTATTCAACTATAAACTCAAATGTTTCCGAATAAGATGTCAAGGTCTACTGCAGAATAGTAAAATATAATAGCAAAATAGAACAGAATTATGTTGTAAAGCTGTGAACAAAATAGTAAAGTAGAGTCATTTGAATTGGTCAGGTAGGACATCTGTCCAGTTTGAACTGCTTATAATATAGTTGGTTTCCGTGCCCACCACTTGAATTAGGCCCTGCAGTCTATGTGAACAAAATCTTGTGTATCAGTACCTTGGTGCTGAATTTTTTGGTGAAGCAGTAGTCTTTAGCTGCATAGCTGGCCAAACAAGGAACCAATTAAACAGCTAGCTATGTCAGCAAATGCTAAGTATCATTAATATTACTAATTTATCTCGTATACACCTCCTTGGCTCTGCCATACGTCAGATACATTCTTTAGTCACAGTTGTGTTAACTACAGATTGTTCATAACATTTACTTGAGTCCATCTCTTCACCCAGGCACTATCAGAACAAGTTGCCCGAGTCCCTTCTGTCCACCCTGGCCTCAGCCCTGATGGACGGGATGGTGTTTGACATCGTGAGTAACCTGGAGGAGATTCAGCAGGCCAAGGAGAGGAACCAACTGGACGTCAGAACAAGGGCCACCAATAAACATAAAGGTAAGATTCGAAACTTGAAAGCTCACCTGTGTAGGTAGAATCCATAGTTGCAAAATTCAAGCTTAGTTCCAACACGAAAAGGAAACTCACCATAAATTTTTGGTTCATCTCGTCAACCTTCATCAGATGTATGATGTACTCGCTGACTCCCTGGAAGTCGGGAGTGTGGTGGGAAGACGGAATCTCCCACCGTCACGGTTCAGAAAGGGTTGATGGGGCCTGATGTAAATTGCCTCCTTCGCATCCCTCACAAAGTAGTCCTTCTCCATATCCAGTATGTGTACCTTAGGCTATGTTGATTTCATTATATGGATGACATCCTCCAGGAGCCCCAATATAAAAAAAAAGAAAAAAGAAGAAAAAAAAAAGTTTTGCAAAAAAAAAGTTCTTTTCATTATGAAATCTACATGGTCATGAGGGTTGAGCAAATGGCACAGAGTATGGTTTGGCGAATAATCTAGTCTTCAAGTTCATTTCTTTACAATTTCGTCTTTTTTCGTTTGATTTTGGCATTCTACGACATTGGTATAGTTTCATTAATTTTTTTTGTAACTTATGGTATATTTTTGCTCATTTTACAACTGTTTTGTACGATTTACAGTATGGTTGAAAACTTTTTTTTTTGTAACGGCCGAACTTAC